CCTTAAGCACTGACTTGAAATAAGCTGGGCATTTGATGTTTCCTTGGGATGAGTCTATGGCCCTCTTCCCCAGTCTCTCTCCTGAACCAGCAACCTGGTTCAGATGCGAGAAAGGCAGGAGGGTCCGTGGGTGCTGGGTGGGGTGGGGTGACTGGACCTGTGGCCCATGTGGGAGGTCTTCGAAATGTACAGAATAGCTCTGGGAGGAGTGTTCTGTAAATCCACAGAGGTCCAGTTGGTGGTGGTGGTGCTCACCCGCTGATTTCCTGTCAGTAAGTGGCAGAGAATTGTTGGCATCCCCACTGCACTGTGGATTTACTTCTCCCTTGGGTTCTGTCAGTGCTGCTCCATGTAGGTTGAAGCTCTTTTGTCATATCCCTAGTCATTCCCTGGCTGCGGAGTCCACTCTGTCCGATAGTTACATGGTCACTCCCACTTCCTTCTGACAAATGCTTGGTTTATTGTCCCCCCTTTTACTTTCAACCTACCCATGTCATTAGATTTCAGATAAGTTTCTGTAGATGGCATGTAGTTGGGCTAGAATTTTTTTAATCTATTCTGACAATCTTTGTCTTTTAATTGGTATGTTTAGGCTATTTATGATTAATGTAATTATTGATATGTTTACATTTCGGTCTATTATCTGACCCCCTCCCCCTTTCTTTGGCTTATAACCCATTTCTTTTTTTTTTTTTTAAAGATTTATTTATTTATGCATACAAGGCCAGAGAGGTGAGAGGGTGAGTGGATTCACCAGAGACAGAGTGGGGAGCAGAACAGGCAGACTGACTGAAATACACTGCTGAGGGGAGTAGTGGGCGAGACAGGAGAGGTCTGCTGCACCATGTGGGTAGCTCCCTGGCCTGCCAGCGATCGAATTCCTGCTGCAGAGGTTGCGGACAGCTTCACAGTGCTGTGCTTAACCCCTTGCGCCACCAGGGAGGCCCTATAAGCCATTTATCACTCACAGTTCTCACAGGAGGATAGAAGCCTTAGATCTGTGTTAGGGTAGCAGTATGGTTGGGTTCTGGTGGGACCTATGATTTTGTGACTTATAGTAAGGAATATATGTCTTCCCCTGTGTCCAGCACAGAGCTCCTAACATCCTTGGAATTTAAGTGATAAGAAAGTTAGAAGTGTCTTGATATTCATAACAAACTCTTTTTAGTCGCACCTTAATTTATGTGAATGAGGTGGCTTTTGGAAAGCACCTGAGAATGGGGGCTGGTTGTCAGGGGAACCAACCATGTGATTGGAGGGTTGGAACTTTCATTCTCACCCCCATATTTTCCCTGAGAAGGGACTGGAGGTTGAACCCATTGCCGGTGACCAGTGATTTCATCAACCACACTGTGAGGAAGTTTCCATAAAAACTCAAAAGGTTGGGATTTGATGAGCTTTCTGATTGGTGGAGGTGCTGGGAGGAGGTGAACACGGGAGCTTTGTTCTCCTGTCCCGTAGCTTGCCCTGTGCTCTTCCATCTGGCTGTTCCTGAGTTATGCGCTTTCATAATAAACTGGTGCTTCTCTGAGTTCTGTGAGAACAAATTAGTCAAACCCAAGGAAGGGGACTTTGGAACCTCTGAGCTATGAAGTCAGAAGCCAGGTGACAATTTGGATGTGTCTCTGAAGGGATGTGGGCAGAGTGGGGGGAAGGCAGGCAGTCTTATAGGGCTGATCCCTTAACTTGGAGGCTCTGACTCTTTCTCTGAGGAGACAATGTCAGAGTCGAGTTGAATTGTCAGACACTCAGCTGATGTTGGAGAATTGTTGGTGTAGAAAAAACCCACACATAGAAATTGGTTACAGAATCAGAGAGAGCCCTTTTCTGGGTCTCAAACACCAACTTCTCCCTGGACCTCCCTAGTTTTCCATGGCTCTGTTTCCTTTTCATGTTCTCGTTTAGGTCATTTGAGCATTTTTTAGTATTCCATCCTAATTTATGCTAAATGATGTTTTTTAATGAATTACATTGCTTTGTATGGTACCACCACCCCACCCCCGCCCACCTTGGTCACTCTAGGAGTTGCAAAGTAGATGCTTAACTTTTCAGTTCACATAGAATCATTATTATACTATTAGTACTTTCAGTAGAATACAGAAATCTTAATACCACATAGGTTCTTTTGCCTTTCCCCCTTTGTGTTGGAGTTGTCACTTATTATACTTATATATAAGGAAAAAAACACATCAGACAATATTTCAGCTTTTGTTTTCAGCCACCACGAGTCTTTTAAAGAATTCTAGATGTATATTCTGTTCAATCACTGTTGATTTTTTTGTTTAGTTTTCTTGGGTCTTTATGTCCCAAGTCTCCATCTGGCATCATTTTTCTTGCAACTTGCTCTAGCAAGTCCGTAAATTATCTCAATTTATGTTCCTCTGGGAATGTCCTTATTTCATCTTTCTTTCCTGAAGGATATTTTTGCCCCATGTAGGATGCTGGGTAGACACTTCTTTTCTTTCAGGAGTAGAAAGTGTTGTTCCACTTCCTCAGGTCTCCCTGCTTTCTGAGCAGAAATCCACAAGCATTCAAATGGTCACTGTCTAGATAATCAAGCATCTTTCTGTGGATGCTTTCAACATCGTTTCCTCTTCTGTTTAGATTTCAGTCATTGAACTATGATGTGTATGTGTCTGGGTATGGCCTTTATCCTGCTTGGGAGCCATTGAGCTTCTTGAATCTTTCGATGAAAAAAAATTTTTAATTAATTAATTTACTTATACAAGTACTGGGTACAGTGAGAAGCGCGGGAGGGTGAGAGAATTCACCAGAGCCAGAGCGGGGAGCAGAGCAGGCAGACTGACAAAGTACACTGCTGAGGGGAGCAGCGGGTGGCAGGAGAGGTCTGTGCACCATGTGGGACCCTCGCCAGCGGCCGGGAATCGAACTGGCACTGCAGAAGCTGTGGGCAGCTTCGCAGCCCGGCGCTCAGTTGCTGCGCCACTGGGGAGGCCTTCGATGAAAATTTTTTGTCAAGGGCCTTCCTGGTGGTGCAAGGGGTTAAGACGCAACCTATGAAACTATCCACAGCCACTGCAGCATGAGTTCAATCCCCGGCCAGGGAGCTGCCCACATAGTGCAGCAGACCTCTCCTGTCTCTCCCACTGCTCCCCTCAGCAGTATATCTCTGTCAGTCTTCCTGTTCTGATCCCCGCTCTGTCTCTGGCGAATCCTCTCACCCTCCACACCTCTGGCCTGTACCCCAATTCTTGTATGCATAAATAAATAAGTATTTTTAAAAAGTTTTTTTTTGTCAGATCTAGGATGTTTTCATCCTTGTCTTCAGTTACTTTTACAACACCACACACTTGCTCACCCAGTGCGCTCTGCTGACACAGTGTCACACCATCTAGGCCCAAAGCTCCCTGAGGCGTTTCCTTGTTTTCAATCTCTCCGCACTCTGTCATTCACGTTAGGTCACTTTTGCTCTGTTCACTGAATCATTCCTCTGCTCTTGAGCTCATGCAGAGAGTTTTAAAAGTTTCACCATGATACTTTTTATTTCTAAAACTCCATTTTGGTTCTCTATGTAAAGATTTACTTTATTTGTAACTTTTACTTTTTTTAGTTTGGGAGTGTTATTGTTTTTTTAGAGCATTCTTGTAATACTTGCCTTCAAGGGTGGTACACAATTATAATGTGTTATCTCAGCGTTGGAATCTGTTGCTCATCTTTTCCCATATGAGTTAAGACATTCTTGGTTCTTGTGTGCTGACTAGTTTGGATTGCGTTTGGACATATTGGATATTATACTAGGAGACTCTAGGGCCTGTTTAAATCCAGGGATGTTTTCACTTTAGCAGGAAATCAACCCAGTCTGCTTTAGGCAGAAATTCTGACCTACCTTCTGAAGGGTTGTGATTCATAGTCGGTCTGTTTTCAGAGCCTCTTAGTATCCTGACTGGACCCGACTGTTTTCTCAGGGACTGGGATGTAGAGGGTTAGATCCATGCTTGTGCAGCTTGGGGTGGACCTCAAGTGTGTGAGCAACTTTGTGGGCTGCTCTTCTGAGCTTCTTCCTCTCTGCACTGCCCCTGGGGCTTTCCGGTGCCCTGAGGTTCTCTTTTTGGCTCTCGAACCAGTGCACCGGAGCTGTGGCCATCTTCCCCTGGTACTTCCACATCCTCTGCTTGTCTGGGGCCAGTGCTGGGAGAATTGCCTGGATGTTCCTTCCATTAAGTTTCCCATGCTGCCTGTCGGCTGCTGTGTCCTCAGAAGGCATGGAGCTGCCCTGCACTTACTGTCTGGCTCAGAGCTGCTCAGTGTGCCTTGTCTGGGGTTCGAGCTACTCCTGGAATCCTGACCCTGCTCAGAGCAGCATTCCGTTGGGACGCTCTCTCCCCTGAAGCCAATACCGAGAGGTATTGAGGTTATAGTGCCTCTGTTTCCAGGCTTCTCTACACCAGCTGAGGCATTTGTGCTTTAGATCCTTTGCTGACAGTCCCCTCGCTCCCTGCTTTACCTGCGTGTCTGTCATCTCCCCACCCCCTCCACTCCTTCATTGTCCCTGCAGGCTGCTCTGAGAGGCAGGACCCTGGCCCCCTCCATCTCTGGCCCAACAGTGTGACCATCTGAGAAGACTTGCCTGCAGGGGAGCAGGTTGCCTCCTTAGAGGCTGTGCTGGCTTCCTTGGGGTTGACGTGACCTTGGAAGGGGTGCTCCCTCCAGTCCAATGAGAAGGTTGTCAGCCCTTCTCAGAATTCCGCTAGGGGCAGCAGCCCAGAGGTGGGAAGGGTGGCAGGAACTGACTGCACATGTGGTGGTTTAGTACCTGACAACCCTGGGGGCCAGGAGGCACTACCCTGACTCACAGCCCTGCTGTGGGCAGGCCCAGGAGAGATACTCAGCCCCAGGGATGGATAGTCCGTGGTTGTCTCAGTCATCCCAGTGTCTTCATGGGAGGAGACAGCAGAGTGGGGGCCTGATGAGCTTACCCCAGAATTGTTGGGGTGCCCCTGCCTTCCGCATAGCATAGGCGGATTTGTGGTCTGTTCTAGGCCAGCATGGCGGCCCAGGTGACACTGGAGGATGCGCTGTCCAACGTGGACCTCCTGGAAGAGCTACCTCTGCCCGACCAGCAGCCCTGCATTGAGCCCCCGCCATCCTCGCTGCTCTACCAGGTGGGTCCTGGTGGCCACTGGGCAAACCGCCTGCATTGCTGACCTCCATGTGATGACTTTTCTTTTCTTTCAGCCAAATTTCAACACTAACTTTGAAGACAGAAATGCATTTGTCACTGGCATTGCAAGATACATCGAACAAGCAACTGTTCATTCTAGCATGGTAATTCCCATTCGTGTCTTTGTTTGCCTGTGGGAAGGGCACGTTTAAACAGCAAATGTGTATTTTGTGGATAATGCTGATGTCAGGTAAAAAAAAGAAAATGACTGAACTTTTGAACACTTTTCTGAAAATGTATCATTTGTGTCCCTGAGAAAAGTCTGTCAGCATTTCGAGGAAGCCCCTTCTCCCTCTTACATAGCTGCACTTAACTCGCTGTGCCTTCACACAGAAGTAAGATTACATGCATGAATTAGTTGTTATTTTAATGATTGTATTGTATGTATTTTAATGATTGTTTTTAAATGTATTTTAATGATTTCATAAACTTTTCCATGTCACTAAAATGTGCTAGAGAAAGTAATTTTTTTTTTAAAAGATTTTTATTTATTTATTTATACAAGCACTGGGTACAGTCAGAAGCGCGGGAGGGTGAGAGAATTCACCAGAGCCAGAGCGGGGAGCAGAGCAGGCAGAAGGACCGAAGCACACTGCTGAGGGGAGCAGCGGGGCAGCAGGAGAGGTCTGCGCGCCATGTGGGACCCTCCTCCGGTGGCTGGGGAGCAGCTGGGGATCGAACCGCCGCTGCAGAGGCTGCGGGCAGCTTCGCAACCCAGCGCTCAACCGCTGCGCCACCGGGGAGGCCCTAGAAAAAGTAATTTTAATGGCTGCGTGCCCATTTTGTAAATGTCCAGAATTGAACAACTTCTGCATGTTTACTTATATCCCCCTTTTTTTCCTAATAATAAAAAAATGCTGGAATGAACTTCTAAGTGAAAATCCTAAGGTTGTGAACAGTTGAAAGCATCTTAAAAACATTGTCAAATTGACCTTGATATTTTAAAGAACATCTTTGCAAATTTTTTTTTTTTTTTTTATAGAGGCATGCTTTATTTATTTGTTTGCTGGTTTGTTTGTTTGTTTGTTTTGTTTATACATGCACTGGGTACAGTCAGAAGTGTGGGAAGGTGAGAGAATTCACCAGAGCCAGAGTGGGGAGCAGAGCAGGCAGAAGGACCGAAGTACACTGCTGAGGGGAGCAGCGGGCGGCAGGAGAGGTCTGCGCGCCATGTGGGACCCTCCTCCGGTGGCCGGGGAGCAGCCGGGGATCGAACCGGCGCCGCAGAGGCTGCGCGCAGCTTCGCAACCCAGCGCTCAACCGCTGCGCCACCGGGGAGGCCCCATCTTTGCAAATTTTAGCAAAGGAAGCAATAGGAAAGAAGTAGACGCTAGAGCAGTTAAGTACTCAAAGATCTCTTTCTGCAGTATCTGCATCTTCTTAGTCGCTGTCTCTTGGCACACAGATTAGTGCTTGCTTATCTCTCCCTTAAAGAGAGAATCAAGATGCTTTCTGGTTCTTTGGATTGTAGCACTTTGACATTGATTTTCTCATGATCATCCCCCTTCTCACCTTTGATTTGCCTTGTGGATCGTTGCAGAACGAGATGCTAGAGGAAGGTCAAGAGTATGCTGTCATGCTGTACACCTGGAGGAGCTGCTCCCGGGCCATCCCACAGGTGCCTTGGGCCCGCCCACCAGCCCCACCCATCACTACTGGCCACACCCCACCGAGTCGTCTGTCCCTTCCAGCCAGCCCTGCCTTCATCTCTGCTGGCCACACCCTTATCCCTAGCTGGCCCCTCCCCGCCACTCCAGTCAGACCTGGCTGCTTCCCCATTCTGTCCCCAGGCAGCTGGTGCCAGCAACCCTTGCACATCTTCCCCTGTTTAGGTTGGCTGACATCTTTATGTCATTCCTGTTTCTTCCCAGGTGAAATGTAATGAGCAGCCCAATAGAGTGGAAATTTATGAGAAAACTGTGGAGGTCCTGGAGCCTGAAGTCACAAAACTGATGAACTTTATGTACTTCCAGGTAAAACAGCAAGATAATCCAGGGGTTTTAATGCAGAGAAGTAGGATGCAAAGTTTCACCCACCATCACCATGGCACTCACTAAACAAAGTGCAGTAAATTAAAGTCCTTTCTGAGACAGTAGGGAACTAACGCCTGTGACAGCCTAGAGCTTGACCAGCCCCTTCAGAATAAGTGCTTGTTTTGTGTTTCACTTCTCTCTCTTTGAGAACGAATTCGTATTTCCTTCGTGAAGACTGGTTCTGTCGGTTCCAAGTACAGTGTTTATCTTACTGCCAGTGTGTGCTCTTGAGCCCTCTGGCTTTTTTGGAGGCTTTCCTTCAGCCTTGCCTGACCTTCCATTCCACTGGGCCTGGCCCTGACTTCTCTGGCCTTTTGGTGAAGCAGGCTTTGGAAGGGGCTTGCTGGCTTTGGAAAGATGTAATTTGGAAACGTTGGAAGGCTTTTCTTTTTTTTTTTCTTTTTTTTTTTTTTAAAGATTTATTTATTTATTATTTATACAAGCACTGGGTACAGTCAGAAGCGCGGGAGGGTGAGAGAATTCACCAGAGCGGGGAGCAGAGCAGGCAGAAGGACCGAAGTACACTGCTGAGGGGAGCAGCGGGCGGAAGGAGAGGTCTGCGCGCCATGTGGGACCCTCCTCTGGTGGCCGGGGAGCAGCCGGGGATCGAACCGGCGCTGCAGAGGCTGCGGGCAGCCTCGCAACCCAGCGCTCAACCGCTGCGCCACCAGGGAGGCCCATGGAAGGCTTTTCTTATTGATTCCTTCTGAAGTTGAATTTTTAAGAGAGAGAGGATCCTCTTCCATAATTTTTTTTAAAGATTTATTTATTTATACATACAAGAATGGGGGTACAGGCCAGAGGTGTGGGGGGTGAGAGGATTCACGAGAGACAGAGGGAAACAGAATGGGCAGATCTACTGAAATACACTGCTGAGGGGAGCAGCGGGTGAGTCAGGAGAGGTCTGCTGCGCCATGTGGGTAGCTCCCTGGCCAGGGATTGAACTCGTACTGCAGCAGCTGCATTAAGTTTCATAGGTTGTGTCTTAACCCCTTGCGCCACCAGGGAGGCCCCCTTCCCTACTTTGACCTCAGAAAGCTAAGCCACTATTTTATAGGAACATTTTGCTCAGTAACTTTGCTGGCTTGATCAACAAAATTCTTTTACTAAAGGGACATAGTTGGTAAAGTGCAAAATAAACGATTGTGGCAGGACAGAGCAGTGTGGACTTTTATTTATAGAAACCAGCCTCTTCACCTGGCTTGTAAATACCCATTTGTAAACTCCCATTTGGTGAGAGTTTTTCAGGGAGTAGCAGTTAATCCAGACCCCGAGCTTGAAGCTGGGGGTGGGGTCAGCTCATCCCCTACAGTGACTTTCCTGCCTTTCTTTCCTCGACCCAGAGAAACGCCATCGAGCGCTTCTGTGGGGAGGTGAGGCGCCTGTGCCACGCCGAGAGGAGGAAGGACTTTGTGTCTGAAGCCTACCTGATCACGCTGGGCAAGTTTATCAACATGTTTGCTGTGCTGGACGAGCTGAAGAACATGAAGTGCAGCGTGAAGAATGACCACTCAGCGTACAAGCGGTGAGCCATGGCCAGCGCACAGGCAGTGGGGAGGCGGGGTGGTGCCTGGGGAACGGCCTGCCCAGCTCATAGCAGGTTTGCACACTATGTGTGCTGAAATGGTCACTGCTGGCCGGTGGCAGCTGTTTACCAGTTTTGGGACTGTTGGGGTATGTGCTCCAAGGGTCAGAGCCTGGGTGCTGCAGTGCATTCTTGTGGGCAGTGCATATTGTGGTTCCATGAAGCTAGTGGGGGCTCTGGTGTCCTAGTCACTTCTCAGTGTCCACTGAAGACCTCCAGGCACTCTGTGCCCTTGGGAAGAAAGATGTATACAAGAATTGTTCCTACTCATAGGGTGCTGGGGTCACTGCGGGGTCTTTGACTGGGATGGTATCTTGGCGGGGGGTAGGGGCAGATGGGTTCTGCAGCCTTAGGGGACACTTGCTTGTCACTCACTGGTAGGTGTACACTATCACAATAGTGAGAAGCACTAGCCTGTGGACTCAGGGGTTCACATGGAACTTCCAAATCCCCTGGACCACTGATAGGTATAGGCTGGGTTCATGGTGCTGCCTGTTACTACAGACGCTAGTAGCAGAGACAGGAATTGAATCTGTAAGTTGGCTTTTATTTTCTGAAAGTGGCCAGCAAATCTGAGAAAATGGTGGGCATAACCCCCTAAGAAGCCATTCTGACATCTCTTCTCAAGCTGGTCTTTTTATATTGATTTAAACAAAGTCAGTCATAAGCCAGCAGCCCATGGCAACAGCTTGTCATAGCTGATGTTTCTGGTAGTTGTCACATTCAGCCCTCAGACTTTGTTATTCCTCCTGGGTCATCTTGACCCCAGTACATCCTGGCTTGCTGAGCCTGGTTAATTTCTGATGGCATCACCAGCACTCATTTGGAAATCATCAGGGGCAGGAATCTCAAAGTGAGAGTTTTAGTTTAAAGAAAACAGGAGTGGAAAAGGTGGGTGTGGCATAGCAGTACACTTTTGGAAAACTTGAGGGGCACTTGGTGACGGGAAGAGAGAGGGTGGTGAGACAGAGCAAAATGGGTTATCTCATAGTGGACTCTCTGCAGAGAGTCTGCTGGGGCTGTTGAAGGCCTGTTTGGCTGGAATGAGATGCTGACTTCTGTTTCCTCTACTAGAGAAGGTATCGTAGCTATGCAATTATATTGGGAGGGATTTTACTTTGCTGAGTGGGCTGTAGTTATGCTGCATCTGAAATCATGTAACTTGCTGTGTCTTCAAAATAAAATTGACATGCAATTTAGCACCAGGTGCCAGAGATTTGTGCCTGACACAGCAAGAGTGGAGCTAGAGCACCCCAGTTTCAAGCCTTTTGTCTGTGAAATCAGTACTCACACTCCATCACTTAGAATCAGTTCTGTGCAGAACACAACACTAATGATAAAGGACTGATCACAAAAATCTACAAAAAGCTGACGAGACTCAACAAAAACAAAGTAAACATCCCAGTCAAAACATGGGCAAAAGAGCTCAAAAAAAAATACTTCTCCAAAGAGGAAATGCAAATGGCCACTAGGCATATGAAAAAATGTTCAACATCACTTGTAATCAAGGAAATGCAAATCAAAACTATGATGAGATACCATCTCACACCAGTGAGAACGGCACATATTAAAAAAAACTAGCGACAACAAATGTTGGCAAGGATGCAGAGAAAAAGGAACTCTCCTGCACTGCTAGTGGGAGTGCAAACTGGTCCAACCACTATGGAGACCTGTGTGGAGATTCCTCAATCTGCTAAAGATGGCAGCTTTCATATGATCCAGCAATTCCACTCCTAGGTATTTACCCAAAGGACACAGAAACATTAATTCAAAAGGGCACCTGCACCCCTATGTTTATAGCAGCACTATTTACAATAGCTAAGCTATCGAAAAAACCCAAATGCCTCAAAATAGATGACTGGATCAAGAAGATGTGGTACATATACACCATGGAATATTACTCAGTAATCAAAAAAGATAAACTCATGCAATTTGCAGCAACATGAATGGAGCTAGAAGGGATCATGCTCAGCAAAATAAGCCAGAAAGAAAAAGAAAAATACTGGATGGTCTCACCTATAGCAGGAATTTAGAAAACCTAAATAAGGGACCAGGACAAAGACTAATTATAATAAATTAAAAATCAAAATCAATAAGCAGCAAGCAACTACAAACCAGAGACACACTATGGGGGGGGGGGGTGGAGGAGGGAGCAGGATCAAAACAAGGAGGGTGGGAATTGTATGGGGACTATAACCAAGATGAAAATGCATACATTGTGCAAAAATGAAAAATAATATAAAAAATACATAAAATTTAAAAAATTAAAAAAGAATCAGTTCTGTGCAGAAGCCTAGATCTTCAAGACTAGAGATCTTGGAGTTAATCTATTTAACCACCTGAAATCAAACAGGAAGGTCTTTCAGAATTATTCCTATTTTATAATAGTGTTTGTGGGATTCAAGTACATGTGACTGGGCAGTTTGGGCTTTGTAGCAAGGAGGGTGGACAGGCCCAGCCTGGGACAGCAACTTCTGCACGTATCACTTCCTGTGTGATTTTGAGCAGCTTTCTAGACTTTCGACACACGGAAATGGGGGAGGTGGACAGCATCCTGATTTTTAATTTTAAAATAAGCATTTTTTTCCCCTTCGCAGTACTTTTATTCCAAAATCTGTCTGTTAAACAGTTTAAAGACGGGACTACTCTGTGGGAAGGCTAGGAGAGAGCACCCCTACAGCCCTTCTAGTGGCCTTTTCCCTTGACCTCTATATGGGACCCCCTGTTGGTTTGTTTTCCCAGACAGTAGCCCCCTTTTCTCCCCAGCTCTTACACCCACTCTCACATATTTTATCTGTACCCATCTGGTAGCTACCAGTACAACCTCTTCTGAGTGTCAATGCCAAGATAACCCATATGGTTATAACGAAGCTTCAGGAAAACAGAGAACAGTTTATCCTTGATCCCTTCCTTAGTCTCCACCCCCAAAGCCTCAGCAACCGTTAATACCAATAAACTGAACACTTCAATAATAATAAAGATTGTTTTACTTTAAAAAAGAGGGAAAGATGGGGGAAATTAAAACACTTTAAAAAGAAATGTCACTATAATAGTTAACATTAGGCTTAACTGTGTATGATTTAAGACCTAAAGCAGTAACAGTGACTTAAATAGATTGCAATTTCTCTCTCTCTCCCCTAGCCCCCTCCTCGAAAAGTCCGGAGGCAGGTGGCCTGTGACCCAGCAGGGCCCCGGGGGGGTTCAGGCCCCCGGGCTCCCGCCCCCCAGGGCTCTGCTGTTCATGTGTTGCTTGGTGGCCAAGATGGCCGCTTGCATGCCTGTGAGAGGATCCGTGAGGACCACCCTCCGACCCAGTGCTCATGGCCAACTAGCTGGTACAAGGTGGAGCTTATCGGGCTCCTCCCCCGACATGCAGCCAGTCAACAAAGGGGGAGCTTTTGAACTTGACCCCAAGTGGGAGCTTTTGGCACCTGAACCCCTGGTGAGGAGCCATTACAGACAGCCCTCAGCAGCCCCAGCCCCGCCCCTTTTCCCATCGGCCCCCGCGCAGGGGGTGGGGCCTGCAAAGCTCCACCTCCTGCCACCTGCCAGCCACGCCCACAGGCTGGAGGTCACTCCGGTCATCACGCCCAGGCTGTCCTGTCCGCCTTCCAGTCAGCAGGGGGGAGTGTCAGCCACCAGCAGGGCCCTTCACCCACGCAGAAACCTCTGACCCCCGAGAATGTCTTTTCACAGAGACGTTTACTCAAGGTGGCCACCCAGGGAGTCTGCGGGACTGAGCCAGTTCTCTGAATGGGGGGAGCTGGGGTTGTACCTCCCCGGGAGGAATGCAAGGATGTGCGGGCGTGAAGGGGGTGAAGGACGCGTGTTCCCAGGTCCGGGGAGACGCTGGTCTGAAGCTCCACAGGCAGGCGTCGTAAATTACGGTGTGTGTCTTATTCAGTGGGGTGGGGAGGGCAAGTATTCCTTTGGGGTGAGCAGCCTGGCCAGCCCATGCCCTTGATGTTGTCCATTTTGAAGGGGCGCGGGAAATTATTGTTGGAGACACAGCACAGTTTTCAAGGTTCCTGGGAATGGTTGGAGAAAAATACATTAGTTTCGTGTTGAAAGCTAATCATGGAATTTAGAAAACCTAAATAAGGGACCAGGAAAAAGACTAATTATAATAAAGTAAAAATCAAAATCAACAAGTAACTATAAACCAGAGGCACGGGGTGGGGGGGCTGGCGGGAGGGAGGGGAGGAGGGAGTAGGGTCAAGGTAAGGGGGGGGTGGGAATTGCATGGGGACTATAACCAAGATGAAAATGCATACATTGTGCAAAAATGAAAAATGATGTAAAAAATATATAAAATAAAATAGAAGGGCCTCTCCTGGTGGTGCAGCTGTTGAGCGATGGGTTTCGAAGCTGCCCGCAGCCTCTGCAGTGCAGGTTTGAGCCTGGCCACCGGGGAGGGTCCCACATGGCGTGCAGACCTCTACTGCTGCCTGCTGCTCCCCTCAGCAGTGTACTTCATCAGTCTGCATGTTCCGTTCCCCACTCTGGCTCTGGTGAATCCTCTCACCCTCCCTCGCTTCTGACTGTACCCAGTGCTTATATAAATAAATAAATAAATCTAAAAAAAATAAAATAAAAAGTTAATCACGGAGAGGGGATTAGGGAGAAAAGAGAACAAAGGATGGGTAGAATTTAATTCTGCTTAGTCCTATTTTTCTATTCTAAGAGGTTTTAAGCTACAAGAAGGAGTCCAGCTACAGAAGATGCATAGAGGGGCCCACATGATCCCTTATAAATAAACTTCCCAGCTCCTTACACCGCTTGGCATTATACCTCATGGGTCAGCCAGGGTCGTGTCGGTATGAGGAACATGGCTGCTCCATGGAAATTAAAGGTTTATTCCAAAGGAGGAAGGGAAGGAAATGACTTGGGGGCTGTATCAGTCTTTGCCATGGGACTTTTTCTTTAGGAAAATCCCCAAGGTTCTAGACTACACAAACATGTCCTTATATGAGCAGTTTCCACTCTGCACTAGATGTGCAGAGTCCTCACACCCCCACCTCACGCTCCTTTGCTTGACCATGGAAGCGCAGCATTTGCCTCGCATTTTTTCTGGACGTGAGTGTGCACATCCCTCTGCATGTGTCCTTCTCTGCTCAGCCCCATGGGGAGATTGGACAGCTGTTGTCAGATGAATTCAGGAGATATTGTGATATTGTGATGTATACTAAGGAAAACGTTATTTTGTCTCCTCCATTTCTGGCACAAAGGTCCTAAACCCTTAGGGCTTCCTGTGATGAGAGTGAAAAATGTGTCTTTCGTTGTTAATGAGGCAACTTTTGGAAAGCCCCTAGGTTACCTGAGGATGGGGACTGGCCACCAGAAAAATCAGTCATTCCATTAGAACTTTCACTGCCCCTTCCCCCTCCCACCTCTGCACTCCGACTTGGGGTGAGGTGCTAGAGATTGAGTTCAGTTACCAGTGGCCAGTGGTGACTATCAGTAATGCCTTTGCAATAAAGCCTCCATAACAGCATAAAAGGATGGGGTTCAGAGAAGTTAGTGGATACATGGAAATTTGGGGAGAATGGCGCTCAGAGGGCCATGGCATCTCTGTGACCCTCTCCTACTCCCTGCCCTGTGCCTCCCTTCCATCTGGATGTTCCCGAGTTACATCCTTTCATTAAAAAAAAATCCAGTGATCTACTAAGTAAAATGTTTCTCTGAGTGCTGTGAGCCATTCTAACACTAATAAATGAATCAGACCCAAGGAGGGAATTGTTGGGACCTCCAATCCGTAGCTGTGAGGCAGAAGCTCAGATGACAAACTAGACCTGTAATTGAGTCTGAAGGGTGGGGGGCGGGGAAGTACGTTTGTAGCCCCTTATTTGTAGGCTCTGATGCTATCTCCAGATAGATAGTGTCAGACTGGAGTCAAACCATAGGCTATGAAGCTGGTGTTAGAGAACTGCTTTGTGGTGTGGAAAAACCTATGCTCCATGTTGGCATTAGTGCCAGAATCTTTGGGGAGTTTGATCAAGATGGAACTGCAAATTGATGGAGGGACCAGGATTCTGTCTTGAAACCTTTGTGGAACTGGCTGTGGCCTCTGACTTGTGGGTGGCGTCGCAGCCCACTGGCTCTGATGAAGTTGAATGGTGCCAACTGACTTTCGTGCCAAGCCCTAGGAGTCACAGGGACTGTGACTTTCTCAGATTTGGGGACATGGAGCCCAGGGGTCAGGCCAGTGTGCAAGCTATCCTTTGAGGTACGCCTTTGGGTGGCGCCACCACATCTCTGAGAAAGTCCATTAATTGTGGATAGCGGAGTTGTGAGCTGTCCAGGTTGGTGAGAGACTAACCTTGGAGGCAAGGAAGCCAAACCCTTGACCAGCTTCTAATACTCACAATTCTGCATATAATTATAGCGAGAGTAAAGTCATCCTGATATTCCAGTTTTGCTTTCATTTTGTTTTTTAATAATCATTACACTTGTGAGTTAATTAACCCTATTTTTCTGCTTCCAAAGAGCTGCTCAATTTTTACGGAAAATGGCAGACCCGCAGTCCATCCAGGAATCACAGAATCTGTCCATGTTCCTGGCCAACCACAACAAGATCACACAGGTAAGACCTGCATGTCTTAGAGTGCATCTTGGGGAGGAGGGTAGGGCAGGGAGCCCTCAAGGGCATGAGTCCCCACTCTGTCTTCCAGTCTCTGCAGCAGCAGCTCGAAGTGATCTCTGGCTACGAAGAGCTGCTTGCAGACATCGTGAACCTGTGTGTAGATTACTACGAGAACAGAATGTACTTGACACCCAGCGAGAAGCATATGCTGCTGAAGGTATGTGGGGGTGGGAGCGCCCATGTCTCTTCTTGGAGGCTCCGCTTTTGTCCACTGTGCCTTCCGGATGGCACCCAAGTCGCACATACCCTCTGCTCTCAGGTTCTCAACACATTCCTGTGAGAGTGTGTCAGGCTGGACCCCATGCTGATGGGTCACACGCACACCACTGGAGAAGGTGCTGGTGGATCAGGTATTGGGTCAAGGGCCCACTTTCAGCATTAGCACTTGGTAGCTGAGGTTAGTCAGGACCTGTCAAGCATGTAAGTCCTAGGAATTCAGTATATTCCTGTCACCGTGATTATAATTGACTTTTGTTGGTCAAGAACAAGACGTTCACCATATTCTTTATTATTCTGTTTCCCATTGGGGAGATTTTCAACCACGTTCTCACAAGGAAGATGAGAGGGCATTTCCTCCTTCCCTCTGCTCTGCCCACCACCTGGCCAAGGACAGCCCCGCAGGTCCCTGCACTGGGTATTCCTCGGGCCCAGAGCCCTCCCTGCCAGTGTGCCAACACAGGCTTCGCCCAGGTCCTCTCCCCCGACAGAGCACCTTGGAGGGGTGGGACTAGAGCAGCGCTGTCCAGCGAAGTGCTCCTTGATGACTTCTTGGTTGCGCTGTCTGTGGAAGAGCCCTGGCTGTGGGTGCATGTTGAAACTGTTTAGTATTACGTTGTACTTGATGAGACTGTATGTACCTGTGGGACATTGAAGTAGCTTCAAGAAATGACCTATGTGAAAGAAAAAGGATGTGAAGGGCTATTTATTTATTAGCTATTTAAAGGTACTTTTTGGAAGAAGAGTGCTTTATCATTTCAGAATGAGCTGCGGTTCTCTGGTGGCACAGGGGTTAAAGTCTCAGTGCTATCAAGCTATCACTAGCCACTGCAGCATGAGTTTGATATCTGGCCAGGGAACTAACCCCTATGGCATGGCAGACTTCCCCTGTCTCACCCTCAGCAGTATATTTCAGTAGATCTGCGTGTTCTGTTCTCTACTATGACTCTGGTGAATCCTCTCATCCACCCACGCCCACCCCCATACCTGTGGCCTACATCCCTGTTCTTGTTTGCATAAATAAATAAAAATATATCTTAAAAAAAATTAAGAGCTGTAGCAGTATTCATACTTGGGGTAATTAACCTCAAAGGTCTGAGTTTTCTGTCCATTCTGTGACTTTCAGGTCATGGGGTTTGGTCTGTACTTGATGGATGGGAGTGTCAGCAACATCTATAAACTAGATGCCAAGAAAAGAATAAACTTATCCAAAATCGACAAGTACTTCAAGGTATGTTACATTCCCTTTTCCTGCCCTGTATCAGTTCTGCCTTGTTTGAACTGGTGGTGAAGACAATTGTGCCATGTGTGATCCTGCATCTGGCTGCTTCACTCACTTTGTCTGTGAGAATCCCCGCACACCCAGCCACTGCAGTCCTCAGGTTTTCATTGTGGCGCAGCAGTTCATTTCATGATTGTACCTGTTTATATATGCCTGCTGCTGTGGTGAAGGAAGGTGGTTTCTGGGTTTTAGCTGCTATGAGCAGTGCTGGTTTGTGTGCCTTTGCTGCTCTGTTGTACATATGCCTGGGACTGGGACCGGGGCTCACTGGCACAACTGGTTTCAGTGCCAAGAGGTAGAACCTAATGATTCTCCCACATGGCTGTGCTGATTTGAATTCCCACCAGCAGTGAGGGAGCATTCCCAATGCTCCACATACGCACCAACACTTGACAATGTCACTTTTGGAGGTGATGGGGGCTCCTGCACCGTATGTTCTTGGTGACCTAATTGTCTAGAGTTTCCCTTAGTTGACATTGCCCTGATGACCTTTCATGCTACATCAACCTTTTGTTTGTTCAGTTTTGTGAAGTTGCTTCAAGTTTCTTGTTCTTTTTTCCTATGTTAGTTTGCGGTTCTTTATATGTTCTGGGTACATGTGCTTTGGCAGATACAAGTATGTGGCTTTTCTTTTCACTTTCTTAAAGGTATTGTTTGGTGAATAGACATTCTTAATGCAGTCCAATATGTTGATCTTCATTGTTTAAGAAATTTGCAAATAGCAGACTCCTGTTTTTCTCCTGTGTTACCTTCTAGAAGCATTACTGTTTCTTTTTCCATCTAGAGCTTTAGTCCCTCTGCAGCTGGTCTCTATGTGTGGTGTGAGGTAGGGAGTTGACATACGTGGGTATTTTTTCCCCATTATGGATGTGCATTGAACTCTGGGCATGGGTGTCCTTTACTGAAAAGAGCATCTGCCCCCACCTACCCTCAACCTCCACTGCACTACACTGTTACCTGGGTCATAAAGCAGGTTTGTGTGTGTGTGGCTGTCTTAGGTTCTGTCCTGTGCTACTGGTATTTACTCATGCTCCAGGGTCACATTGTCTTGATTAGGCCTGCTTATCAAAAAGCCTTCCAGTTTTTTTCTTTAACATTTTCTTTGTTATTGTCTTTTCATATTTTGAAATATATTTTAGAATTGACTTGCTGATTTATGCACATGTACACACATACATTCACTGCCCAATTTTCCTCTGGGAAATTTTTTTCCCCTGTTGGAATATTGTTTAAGATTCCATTTACTCTGTAGCTCAATTTAGGGAGCATTGATATTTTTAAATTACCAAATCTTCCAATAGATGACCTGATACATTTCTCCATTTGCTTAGAACTTTAAAAATTCTCTAGTATTTTTGGTAATATTTGTGTTTAGAGATCTTCTGCCTATTTGGTTAGATTTATCATACATTTTTAATTTTTTTGATGTTATTGCCAATTTTTGTTTTCTAGTTGTTTGTTAGTATATAGAAATTTTTTTTTTTTTTTAATGACCATGTTTCTACAGCAAGTTAGGTTAATTTTAATATTTGAATTGGCTTTGTGAATTCTGGTTCTTAAACTGCATTTTGTTCCTCTTAAAGTAAATGTGGAGGTTATTTATTTTTTGTAGAAGTGATTTGCAGGGATTGCATTCAGCCCACAGTAATTATTAGCATTACTCATTCTTCTTGTGATTATGTATTTGGTAATTGAACACACATAATGACCCTATTTTTTTCCCTTTTGTTTTCTGAATGCAGCAACTCCAGGTGGTTCCGTTGTTCGGGGACATGCAAATAGAATTGTCAAGATACATCAAGACCAGCGCCCACTATGAGGAAAATAAATCTCGGTAGGAGGAGAGTGAGCTGCCTTCTGCAGTATTCTGATTGTTCTTTCTAACACTCTACTTATTTATCTAGAGATAATACCTTTGACATTACCACTCATCTGTAAGTGAATGCATAATAGGAATGCCTTGCTAGGTGTGTGGCTATTTACCCTGAAACTCATTTAAAAAGTATAATTTATTTCCTTAGTAGCACAGCCACATTTCAAATGCTCGGCAGTGTAAGTGGCTGCTCTATTGGGCAGCAGACCTTTTCCATCATCCCAGAGTTCTTTCAGACAGTGCAGGTCAAGAATGTGCAAGTGTAAGCAAGTTCTCTGAGCTGGTGGATGCTTAGCAACCAGCCTGGTAGGGGGTAGGTGTTTGCTCGTGTCTTGCAGTGGTCTGTTACAAAGCTATCACCTGAGGCTGGAGCCCAGGCCTCTCTTGTAAGGTTTCTGTTGCTGAGAGCATTCTACCTTTTGAAAGGGTTGTTTTTTTTTTTAAAAAAAAAAAAGGATGGGCCTCCCCGGTGGCGCAGCGGTTGAGTGCTGGGTTGCAAAGCTGTCCGCAGCCTCTGCAGTGCCGGTTCGATCCCTGGCTGACCCCAGGCCACCGGAGGAGGGTCCCACATGGCACGCAGACCTCTCCTGCCGCCCGCTGCTCCCCTCAGCAGTGTGCTTTGGTCCTTCTGCCTGCTCTGCTCCCCGCTCTGGCTCTGGTGAATTCTCTCACCCTCCCATGCTTCTGACTGTACCCAGTGCTTGTATAAATAAATTAATAAAAATAAAAAAATAAAAAAAAAAAGGATGATTCTATGACAGAGACACTTGGCCCACAAATCTAAAAGATTTAATTTCTGGCCTTGAACAGAGAAAGTTGGCCAACACCAGCTGTAAGGGCTCTATAGCTCACAATTAGCAAATGATAGTGAGCACACTTGACCCTTAAGCAACACAGTTATAACCACAGAGAGCCATGCTGTGATGCATAGCATTGTGTGGGCCCTGTCGGGTAACATGTGCATCCCCATCACCCCCAGATGGACGTGCACGTCATCTGGCAGCAGCCCACAGTACAACATCTGCGAGCAGATGATCCAGATCCGGGAGGACCACATGCGCTTCATTTCAGAGCTGGCTCGATACAGCAACAGTGAGGTGAGCCACCAACGCCCACACTCCCCCAACAACTCAAGGCCCCCCAGGACAGAGGGGGCCCTGCAGTGTCACTGTTTTCTCTGCACTGAAATGTTGACTTCTGTTACCATGAAAGCATATTTTACTATCAAATACTTAGGCCGCCCCCCTTTTTTTTTAATGAACAAGGTAGTGGGATTAGCATTGTTTGTTTCTGTTCACCTATACCAAAATTACCATTTTTTTTTTTTTTTCAGGAAAACATTAGGGATCCCAAAAGAAAGGATTGAGGAAGAGACCATGAATTATGTGGCGTTTCCTAGTCTGATCTCATGGTTCCAAGCTGCTAGGAGGGGTGCGGAGGTTCTGAGAAAAGAGGGGTGATTCTGACTCATGGTCTTTTGTATCTATAAGGAAGCTGTCCCCAACCCAGAGGCTGCATAAACCTTGGGGGTCAGTGTGGCATCTGACATCCAGAGAAAGGTCTAGAGTTGGGCATAGGGACATGTGATGTTTCCTTGGCTGTGGGTCTTTTTAATTCCTTCCCACTCCGTAGCCAGGCTTGCTATGGTGGGTTACACCCTCCCTACCTGTCACACATGGCTCCAGCTAGCACTGCTCATGATGGGTGGGTGGAAGGGGGTCTGAGTATGGGGGAGCAACAGAATATCACTTTTCAAATCCTGGTGTGCAGAGCAGTGAGGTCAGGGTCAGGGTCAGGGTTCAGCAGTTAGTGCTGCAGGACTGTCGTGTCTACCGAGAGATGGTCAAGCTGTAATACAGTCAGGAAAGGTGATTTTTCAAGAATAGGAGTCATGATTTGGGTCCGTGGCCATGGGACAATCCCAAGGCATGTCCCCACCTTGGTGAGGGCAGAGGGGAGATTTAAAGGGTCAGGCAGGGAGATGGCTTGAGGTTAGGGCTACAGCAGGATGGAATAGTAGAACAGCTGCACTTTACTTCTCTGGGAAACAGGGTCAAAGCTGGATTCCTTTGCTTTTTGTATCAGTTAACATTAAATACTGTTTTGAAATCACTCTACTTCAATTTGTTTCTTTTTTTTTCCTTCTTCCATGCTAAATCTCCTCGTTCTTAATGATTTCAGGATGCTTTGACTTAATATCTCAATATAAACTCAACAGTTTAAAAATAGCAGTACTGTCACTGCTAATAGCAATATAATTACTCAAAACAATGTAGTTCTGTATTGTGATATGTAATATTATAATGTATTGTAATAGAAATATACTTATTAGAAACAATATAGTTACATATTGTAATGCAATAGTTCCCCCTTACCTGTGGTTTCGCTTTCCGTGGTTTCAGTTACCCGACAGTCAACCACGATCTAAAAATAATACGTACAATATGATATTTTGAGGAAGAGAAAGACCACGTTCATATAACCTTTATTATAGTATATTTTTTATAATCATTCTATTTTATTGTTGTCATTAATCTCTTACTGTTCTTCATTTATAAACTTTTTCTAGGTATGTATGTATAGGAAAAAATACAGTACATGTAGGGTTAGATGCTATCTATAGTCTCAGGGATTCACTGGGGCTCTTGGAATGTATCTCCTGTGATTAAGGGGGAACTGCTATATAAAATAATATATGCTGGGGCCTCCCTGGTGGCTCAAGGGGGTTAAGACACAACCTATGAAGCTTCCGCAGCCTCTGCAGCACAAGTTCAATCCCCCCGCCAGGCTGGCTGGCCAGGGAGCAACCCACATGGGGCAGCAGAACTCTTCTGACTCACCCGCTGCTCCCCTCAGCAGTGTAGTTCGGTCAACCTGCCTGTTCTGTTCCTCACTCTGTCTCTGGTGAATCCTCTCACCCCCCACACCTCTGGCCTGTACCCCAGCTCTTGTATGCATAAATAAATAAAATCTTTTTTTTTAAAAAAGCTTTAAAATAATATATATTGTAATAGCAATGTAATTACTAAAATCTAAGATTGATTTTGCAGTTAATCTTGTCCTTAGGTTTCTAGGGATGTTAAATCATTGTTTTTCAAAGCAACTTGAAGTGGTTTTGTGTTGGTCTCAGTCCACTGATGATGCTTTTTTTATTAAACCATGCTACTGTGGCAGCCCCCACAGACATTGCCCCAGCTGGGGTCAGAGCTGTGACTAGAACAGGCCTTATAGTTCCTAACATTTGTAGTACCCACCTCTGCAACAACCGTCAAGGGCCTTCGGGGAAAAATAAGGTTTATTTCTTAGAGCTCGTGGAGGGTACACAGCAGATTCCAAGGACAGAGCAAGGTCACAGGTAGAGAGCAGGAGGGACAGCGGATCTGGGCTCTGCCCTTATTGGGGTTGAGTGCAGGGTGCTGGGGTTTTGAGGATTCATTTAAGTAGCAAATTTCAAACCTAAGAGTGGAAATTAAGTTTTGTGAGAGGAAGCTCAGGGTTGGTCAGCTACGTAGGCCAACCCAAACTTCTGATTGGGGAGCTTCATGAGTGTGGTGGCCTGGTTCTTTAGTTTAGCTGGTGACTGTCACACAGCTGGCAGTAAGTTGACTTGAGTCGGTTGTCTTTGTAACTGATGCCTCAGCACCAAAAGCCTAATGTCAGACTTCCTTTATAATCAGAAAACCTAATTGTCAGGCACTTTACTCTGTCTGATTCTTCTGTGCAGAACTGATGCCCGTTCAGTGCCCAGTTCAGATCGTTTCATTTTGCTTTTGAGTTTTAGGGATTGCTCTTTCCCCCTAATATAATTTTCTGTAGTGACCGTATAAACAGTGAGGTTCTAAAAGGCTGTACATTCAAAGAAGTCTGCCACCCCTTCCATCCTGTGCTTTCCTCTCCTTAGGTAGCCACTTTTCAGTCTAAGTTTTCATCGTTTACTGTAAGCAGATACATGCAAGGCACCTGGTTAATGTGTTAGTTTCTAATACCCTGATCAGCTGTGATCTTTCTCAGCCTTGAGGGCCCAGGACGCCCACAGTCTGGGCACTGCATTTACCAGCTTTTTGCTGCATGAGGGTGTGTCATTCTCACATCATTTCTGTGTTCTGCGAGTTGTTTCTTTGGTGTAGATTGCTCGGGCGCCAAGCACATAGTGTTTTTTTTTTAAATAAAGGGTGACTTCTCAACGTTTGTGTCTTGCTCCAGGTTGTCACAGGATCAGGCCGCCAGGAAGCTCAGAAGACCGACTCTGAGTACCGGAAGCTATTCGACCTGGCGCTGCAGGGTCTGCAGCTCCTGTCTCAGTGGAGCGCCCATGTCATGGAAGTGGTAGGTGGCTGGCACTCGCTTCTCCACGGAAGTTCAGGAAACTGATGTTTTTTCAGTATTAACTCTGGTCTTTTGGGTCAAAAGTGATTTATTCTTTTACCACTGGCAAACAAGAACACACAGCAGGTCCTCAGATAATGTCATCTCATTCAGTGTTTTTTTCCTAACGTTGATGAGAGCAAAGAAATGCTAGAGTTAAATGAAATGCTGTTACTTCAGGATAAGGTTTCCTTTTATGTCATTTCACTGAAAGTCAGTTTTCAGGAACATGTGCATGATTTAAGACTTGTCTGAATTTATGGTTCTAAGATGACTCAAAGTACATTTCTGTGTGTGTTATAATAATGGGCCTTGTCTTTTAAATATATTGATAGACTTAAGTTAGTGCCCATGTAATGATTTTTAATTCTCATTAAAAAAAAAAATTTCTCTGGAGTTCCAGCCATTGGTTTCTTTTGTTTACATTGGCATAATAGTTTCTGATTCGCATACCTGTAAATAGGATGCTTACAGATCCTATAAATAAACTTTCTCCAATGTTGTTTGTTTTGATCAGATAAAAATTATTAAACTGACTGAATACATGATCATTTAAAAGCTAACTCTTTTTAAAATAATGAAATGCCTCGAGTCTTAACTATACAACACAAAATATCCAGACCATTTTAAATGATGTATTTTCTAAACCTGAAATCATGAAATCATACAGCCAGACTCCTTTTCAGTTTTAGGGAGGTAGACTCTGTGTGTGTGTGTGTGTGTGTGTGCGCGCGCGCGTGCACGTGTTATGTAAGCATGCATGCATGGGTGTGTGTGCACACTCACTATGTACCTGTGCAGCGTGGGTACCTGCACTCATGCACACCTGTGTTTGAGTGTGCAGTTGTGTGTGTATAGGTATTCATGCATGAAAATAAGTGCCGTGTGTGGGCAGCAGGGGGCACACTTATGTGCATCAGACTGGTAGTTAAGTGCTGCCTTCGGTGTGACCTCTCCCCTCTCACCAGTATTCATGGAAACTCGTGCACCCAACGGACAAGTACTCCAACAAGGACTGCCCAGACAATGCTGAGGAGTACGAGCGTGCCACCCGCTACAACTACACCAGCGAGGAGAAGTTCGCCCTGGTAGAGGTGCGGTTTGTCTGCTTTCTCTTCCTCCTTCAACTCCAGCCTCAAGCTGTCTTCTCTTCCATCATACTTGTGAAAGTAGAGAATGCTATTGAGGGGGGTCTTCCTCTCTGAGTTGACAGCTCCCCCCAAGGGAAGGTTGATTGTGAGTGTCTGGGAGCATGGAGCAGCTTTGGGGAGCAGCTTCTGGGTCTCGGCACATAAGAGGAAGGAGACAGAGCCTGGGGAGTGAGAGAACGTGGGCTGAGTCACTGGTTCTCTGTTCGCACCCACCAGTTGACCCTTCCACCAGTTTCTCTTTCCCTCAATGGCCCTTTACCCCTGGTAACCACCATCCTGTTCTCAGAATCTGAGGGTTTGTTTTTGATTTTTCATTTGTTTCCTCATACTCCATATGAGTGAAATCCTGTGGTGTTTGCCTTTCTCTCTTTTTTTTTTTTTTTAAAGATTTATTTATTTATACAAGCACCAGGTACAGTCAGAAGCACGGGAGGGTGAGAGAATTCACCAGAGCCAGAGCGGGGAGCAGAGCAGGCAGACTGACGAAGTACACTGCTAAGGGGAGCAGCGGGCGTGGCAGGAGAGGTCCATTGCACCATGTGGGACCCTCGCCCTGAGGCTGGGGATTGAACCAGCTGCGGGCAGCTTCGCAGCCAAAAGCTCGACTGCTGCACCACTGGGGAGGCCCATGTTTGCCTTTCTCTTTCTCATTGACTTCAGTTCCGTCAAGGTCCATCCCTGTCTCACATGGGAAGATTCCATCTTTTTGTGCTTAGCTCATTTTTGTTCCACTGTGCGTATTCTTCATCCAGTCATCCGCCAGTGAGCACTTAGGTTGACTTTGTATCTCGGCTGCTGTGAATGTTGGAGAATAGTCACAGTGTTTTCTGTAGAAGCTGTACCATTTATACATCTACCAAGGGTACAAGGGTTCCTTCTCCTCCACAACCTTACTTTACTTTCATAATTCTTTTGAAGCTTGAAGATCATTAAGCTTGATAAAGGTAAGTTTATTTATTTATTCTTGGTTGTTGAGCTTTTGCTATCATAGCTAAAGAAATGGTTGTCTAACCCAGTTCACAGGTATACTCCTGTTTTCTTCCAAGAGTTTTATAGTTTTCCCTCTTACATTTAAATATATGATTGATGGCCTCCCCTGGTGGCGCAGCAGTTGAGTGCTGGGCTGCGAAGCTGCCTACAGCCTCTGCAGTGCTGGTTCGATCCCCGGCCACGGAGCGAGGATCCCACATGGCGCGCAGATCTCTCCTGCCGCCCACTGCACCCCTCAGCAGTGTATTTTGGTCCTTCTGTCTGCTCTGCTCCCCGCTCTGGCTCTGGTGAATTCTCTCACCCTCCCACGCTTCTGACTGTACCCAGTGCTTGTATAAATAAATAAATAAATAAATAAATAAATAAATAAATAAATAAATCCTAAATAAATAAATAAATAAATATGCATATGATTGATATTGATTTAATTTTTTTTATACGGTGAGTGGTGGGGTTGTGCTAGGATCTCTAAGACCCCTTGATTTACTAGAAGATCCCACCAGACTAAGTATCTGCTCTCTACTCAATTTTGTGTAATAATTATTACAGGAAAAGGACAAAGATTAAAATCAGTGAAAGGAAAAGGCACATGGATGAAGTTCAGGAGGGACCAGGTGCAAACTCTGTGTGTCCTCTATGTGCTTAATTCTCCTTGTGAGAATGGATGACAGTATGCGTGAAGTGTGCCAACCAGGGAAGCTCACCCAAGCCCTGGTGTCCAGGGTTTTTATTGGGGGTCAGTAATAGGGACATGCAGTGCCCACTTGGTTGACCTCAGATTCCAGAGCAAAAACAGATGGTCCCCATAAATTACACTGTTAGCATTTTCTTTTTTTTTTTTTTATAAATTTTATTTTTATATTCCCCATACAATTGCACCCCCTTATTTGGACCCCATCCCTCCCCTCCCCGCCCCCCACTCCCCCTATAGAGTATCTCTGGTTCATAGTTGTTTGTTGATTTTGATTTTCACTTTCTTATAGTTATTCATTTTCCTGGCCCCTTATTTAAGTTTTCTAGATTCCTGCTATGAGTGAGACCATCCGGTATTTTTCTTTTTCTTTCTGGCTTATTTCGCTGAGCATGATCCCTTCCAGCGCCATCCATGTTGCTGCAAATTGCATGTGTTTATCTTTTTTGAATGCTGAGTAATAGTCCATGGTGTATATGTACCACATCTTCTTGATCCAGTCATCTATTTTAGGGCATTTGGGTTGTTTCCAAAGTTTAGCTATTGTAAACAGTGCTGCTATAAACATAGGGGTGCAGGTGCTCTTTGGAATTCATGTTTCTGTGTCCTTTGGGTAAATACCTAGGAGTGGAATTGCTGGATCATATGGAAGCTCTATGTTTAGTAGGTCCAGAAATCTCCACACAGCTCTCCATAGTGGTTGGACCAGTTTGCACTCCCACCAGCAGTGCAGGAGAGTTCCTTTTTCTCCACCACATCGCCAACACTTGTTGTTGCTATTTTTTTTAATATGTGCCATTCTCACTGGTGTAAGATGGTATCTCAAGGTAGTTTTGATTTGCATTTCCCTGATTACAAGTGATGTTGAACATTTTTTCATATGCCTGTTGGCTATTTGCATTTCCTCTTCAGAGAAGTGTCTTTGTAGCTCTTCTGCCCTTTTTTTTTTTTTTTTTTTTTTTTAAATTTCTACAGGCATGTCTTATTTATTTATCTATTTGTTTGTTTGTTTGGTTTATACATGCACTGGGTACAGTCAGAAGCCGGGAGGGTGAGAGAATTCACCAGAGCCAGAGCAGGGAGCAGAACAGGCAGAAGGACCGAAGTACACTGCTGAGGGGAGCAGCGGGAGGCAGGAGAGGTCTGCGCGCCATGTGGGACCCTCCTCCAGTGGCCGGGGAGCAGCCGGGGATCGAACCGGCGCCGCAGAGGCCGCGTCTTCTGCCCATTTTTTGACTGGATTATTTTCTTTGTTGTTGTTGAGTCTCATCAGCTCTTTGCAGATTTTTGTGATCAGTCCTTTATCATTAGTGTTGGGTGCAAAAATGTTCTCCCAGTTGGTGGGGTTTTTCTTTGTTTTTGTTATTGTCTCTTTTGCTGTGCAGAAGCTCTTTAATTTGATGTAGTTCCAGCTGTTTATCTTTGTCTTCACTATCACTGCTTTGGGTGATGTGTCTGTAAAGATGTCTTTGATGTGCATATCCCGTAGTGTTTCGCCTATATTTCCTTCTATGTATTTTATGGTTTCAGGTCTTATGTCTAGTTCTTTAATCCATTTTGAGTTGATTTTTGTGTATGGTGTGAGGTAGTGGTCAAGCTTCATTCTTTTGCGTGTAGCGACCCAGTTTTCCCAGCACCATTTATTGAACAAACTTTCTTTGCTCCAATGCATATTCTTTGCTCCTTTGTCAAAGATTAGTTGACCATAGATCTGTGGGTTTATTTCTGGATTTTCTATTAGATTCCATTGGTCTGTGTGTCTGTTCTTGTTCGAATACCATGCAGTTTTGATGATTATGGCTTTGTAGTATAGTTTGAAGTCTGGGAGTGTGATGCCTCCATTCCCTTCTTTTTTTTTTTTTGTTTCAGGAGAGCTTTGGCTATTCGGGGTTTTTTGGTGATTCCATATGAATGTCATCAATAATTGTTCTATTTCTTTGAAGAATGACATTGAAATTTTGATTGGAATAGCATTGAATCTGTATATTGCTTTTGGTAGAATGGCCATTTTAATCATGTTTATTCTTCCAATCCATGAGCAGGGGATGTCTTTCCATTTCTTGTGTCTTCTTCTATTTCTTTTAACAGTGTTTTATAGTTTTCTTTGTATAGGTCCTTTACCTCTTTTGTTAGATTTATTCCCAAATATTTGATTTTTTTTGTTTCAATAATAAAAGGGATGGTTTTTTTGATTTCTTCTTCTTCAGATTTATTGTTTGTGTATAGGAAGGCTACTGACTTTTGCGTGTTGATTTTGTATCCTGCCACTTTACTGAACTGATTGATGCATTGAATTAGTTTTTCTGTGGAGTTTTTGGGGTTCTCTATGTATATTATCATATCATCTGCAAATAGTGATAGTTTGACTTCTTCTTTTCCTATTTGGATTCCTTGTATGTCTTTCTCTTGTCTTATTGCTCTGGCTAGGACTTCCAGTATTGTATTGAAAAGCAGTGGTGAGAGTGGACATCCTTGTCTTGTTCCAGATCTTAATGGAAGTGCTTTCAACTTTTCATCATTGAGAATGATACTGGCTGTTGGCTTGTCATATATGGCCTTTATGATGTTGAGGTATGTTCCTTGTATCCCAAGAATTTCAAGGGCTTTTATCATGAATGGGTGTTGCACTTTGTCGAAAGCTTTCTCAGCATCTATTGATATTATCATACGGTTTTTATATTTCTTTTTGTTGATGTGTTGGATAACGTTGATTGATTTTCGCATGTTGAACCATCCTTGTGTCCCTGGAATGAATCCCACTTGGTCATAGTGAATTATCTTAAGGATACATTGTTGGATTCTGATAGCTAAAATTTTACTGAGGATTTTTGCATCAGTGTTCATTAGGGAGATTGGCCTGTAATTTTCTTTTTTTGTGTTGTCCTTATTTGGTTTTGGTATTAGTGTAATGTTGGCTGCATAGAACGTGTTTGGTATTATCCCTTCCTTCTCAATTTTTTGGAAGAGTTTGTGAAGGATAGGCACTAATTCATTTCTGAATGTTTGGTAGAATTCATTTGTAAATCCATCAGGTCCTGGGCTGTTGTTTTGGGGAGGTTTTTGATTACCGTTTCAATTTTGCTGCTTGTAATTGGTCTGTTTAGGTGTTCTATTTCTTCTTTTTCTAGCTTTGGGTGATTGTAGAGTTGTAGGAATTTGTCCATCTCCTCTAAATTGTTGAACTTGTTTCCATGTAACTGTTCATAGTAGTTACTGATTATTCTTTTGATTTCTGCTGTGTCCATTGTGATTTCTCCTCTTTCATTTATGATCCTGTTTATTTGTGCTTTCTCCCTTTTTTCCTTTGTGAGCCTGGTTAGGGGGTTGTCTATTTTATTTATTTTTTCAAAGAACCAGCTCTTGGTTTCATTGATCTTTTGGATTGTTTTTTTTAATTTTGATTTCATTTATTTCTGCTTTTGTTTTTATTATTTCTTTTCTTCTACTGGTTTTGGGGTTTTTTTGTTGTTCTTTTTCTAGATCTTTGAGCTTTGAGATTAGGTTGTTTCTTTGAGTTCTTGTTTCTTGATGTGAGCCTCTATTGCTATATATTTTCCTCTTATTACTGCTTTTGCTGCATCCCATACATTTAGGAAATTGGTGTCCTCCTTGTCATTCAATTCAAAGAATTTTGTAATTTCTTCTTTAGTCTCCTCGTTAGTCCAGTGGTCTTCCAGTAGTTTGGGTTTCTATCTCCATGAGGTAGGAGAGTACCTTGCCTTCTTTTTATGGTTTATTTCTAGTTTGATGCCTTCATGGTCAGAAAAGATGGTTGATATGATTTCAATCTTGGTGTATCCATTGATGTTTGTCTTGTGCCCCAGTATGTGATCGATCCTGGAGAATGATCCGTGTGCGCTTGAGTAAAATGTGTACTCAGATTTTTTTGGGTTTAGTGTTCTATAGATGTCTGTTAAGCCCAAGCTCTCTAGATCCTTACTTAGAGTTTTAGTGTCTTTACTTATTTTTTGTCTGTTGATCTATCCATTGTTGATAGTGGTGTGTTGAAGTCTCCCACTACGTATGTGTTTTCTCTGATGTCTGTTTTCAGAGATGACAATAGTTGTCTGATATATTTTGGTGCTCCTTTGTTTGGTGAATATATGTTAATGAGTGTTATTTCTTCTTCAAGTATTGTCCCCTTGATCATAATGTAGTGACTGTTGGGGGTCTCTTTTTATCTTTTTGATAAGTCTGATGTCAGTCTGGTTGGTTTTCCTTTGAATGTTATCTGTTTCTTCCCTCTTGTCAGCTTCATTATTTTTTCCTTGTCTTGGATTCTTGGGAGCTTTACTATTATGTGTCTTGCTGTATTTTTCCTTTCGTCATGGAAGTTTGGTGTTCTTCTTGCTTCTTATATATCAATTTTCAGCTCCTTCTTTGCGTTTGGGAAGTTCTCTTCAATTATTTCCTTGAATATTTTCTCTGTTCCTACATCTCTCTCCTCTCCTTCTGGGATTCCTATAACTCTTATATTTCCTTTCCTCATGGAGTCAGACAGTTCCCGAAGTCTTTCTTTGGTCTTTTTCCTTCGTACTTCTCTTTCCTTTTCTGTTTTGGTTCTTTTTATTTCTGTGTCTTCAAGAGTACTTATTTGTTCTTCCATTTCATCTATTCTTTCATTGCTTTTCCCAGAGTTCTTTAGCGCCTCTATTAATTCTTTGATCTCCTGCATTTCTTTTACTTCCCTCTTTAGGGACTCAGTTTCATTCTTCTGATTGTTAATTATTTTTCCCTTATCATTGTTTTCCTTTATGATTTCTGTCAGTTTTTTAATCATGGCAATTTTAAATTCTGTTTCTGGAAGGCTCAGAAGTTCTTCCAAGTTACTGTCGTTGCTATCTGGGGGCTGGTTTTCTTTTTGTGGTGTGCTTTTTTCCTGACGAGTTGCTGGGTTGCATGTGGTTTTTCTACTCCCTACTGCCTGTTTTCTAATTTGCCGTATTCCTTGGGGCACTGTGTTGCTGGTACTGGCCGGCATCTTGGGCGAACTTCCCAGCTCACCTCTGGCTCCTCTGGGAGCCTTCTGCCGGTTTCAAGCAGTCTCTACTGAAGAAAGGTCCCTGTTCTAAAATGGCGATGCGGGGACGCACTCCCCTGCGTGCCCAGTCTTCCCCGGCAGTCCAGCATTTTCTTTTTTTTTTTAAGAAGTGTGGTACAGGCCAGAGTTGCAGGGGATAAGAACATTCACCAGAGAGAGCAGGGAGCAGAACAGGCAGATTTACCAAAATACACTTCTCAGGGGAGCAGCAGGTGAAACAGGAGAGGTCTGCTGTGCCAGCCTGCTGGGGATTGAATTCGTGCTGCAAAGGCTACGGACTGCCCCACCTTGCTGCACTCAACCCCCTGTGCCACCAGAGAGGCCCATTGTTGGCATTTTCTATCTGGTGACACTGGTGCTGCAGTGGTTCAAAGCCTCAGCACACGCACACTTTCTTGTGAGCAGAATATTGCAGTGGTTTAGAGTTCCTAGGAGACAACCAAGGGCCAGTTTTGAAGATAAGACTTTCTTGCGAATCTTTAGTGTTTGATAATCTTTTCCTGCACAGGAATCCAACTTTATTTTTTGCAGGTTGATGCCAAGTTGTCCCAGGACCATTTGTTGAAAAGATAGTATTTTCCTCATTGAGTTGTTCTCATGCCTTTTTCTCAGACCATCTGTCTATAAATGTGAGGGTTTATTTCTGGATACTTAATTGTATTCCATTCACCTGTAAACTGTGTGGTAATATCCCCCTTTTCATTCTTAAATCGTGTTAATTTGTACCTTCTCTTTTTAATCTTGATCCGTCTTGCTGGATATTTATCAATTTTATTATTCATTTATCTTTTAAACAACTTTTGTTGGCCTCCCTCTATAATATTGTTTCCTATTATTTTTTTTTCTTTTTTTTAAAGATTTATTTATTTATGCTTATAAGATCTGGGGTACAGGCCAGAGGTGTGGGGGGGGGGGGTGAGAGGATTCACCAGAGACAGAGTGGGGGTCAGAACAGGCAGAGTGAGTGAAATACACTGCTGAGGGGAGCAGCAGGCGACACAGGAGAGGTCTGCCATGCCATGTCGGTAGATCCCTGGCCAGGGATCAAATTTGTGCTGCAGTGGCTGTGGACAGCTTCATAGGCTGCGTCTTAATCCCTTGCGTCACTAGGGAGGCTCCTCCTATCATTTTCTGTCTCATTAATTTTGCTTTTAGACATGTTCCTCTACTTTGTTGGCAGTGGTGCTTTTGCTGTTCTTTTTAGAAATTTGGGATATTAATTTCATTTTCAGCCTTTTAGAACTCTTTCAATGTATGCGTCAAAGGATCACTTTTTCATACATCCCATACATTAGACTGCAGTATTTTCATTTTTATTCAAATTTGTTTGAATTTGAATTCAGTTGAATTTGAATTGGGGATTTGCTTTTTTTCCAGTACAAATTTTCCCTTCTTCCCCTCTCATGGAAAGCAAGAGTCATCAAACAAATCCCCAGAGCAAAAAAAAAAAAAAAATAGAAAACATGAGTGTGCAGTGAGGACTGTGTGGTCCTGATGCCATCCCAGGGAGGGACTTTAATTAGTTACACACATCAACTGTGTCTTTCATGCATGTTAATTCATGTGATATTGTTTAACAGGTAGGATTTGAGCTACAGAAATTGCAATTTCTCTTTTTCACCTGCTTACATGTTTGCTTTTCTGGATCATTTTTTTTCCTTCTTCTCCTGTTTTCTTTTCTTCTCCCCCCTTCCCTCTCCATTCTTCTGTCCTTCTGCTTCCTCCTCCACTCTCCATCTTCTTCTCCCTCAACCTCTTCCACCTTCTCTTCCTCCTTCATTTCAGAAGTCCTTTCCAAGAAGGTGTGCTGTTATGGATTTGGGACTGTTTTGAGCTTCTTACCAAACTCAAGGCCCTGTTGGCTGCAGGAAGAGCAGATCCGTCCCTGCCCTCCATGCTCCTGGAGGCCTGAACTATTGACCGAGTCTGAGCTCCTTGTTCTTAGGGAGAGTTCAAGGGCAGCTTCTGCAGAGGCAGAGTGCAGAGAGGCTCTGTGCATAGAGGGAGGCCGAGGCTCCAGCCCACATGAGGCATGTCAGAATGAGCCATCTCCTGTCACACTGGCACGCTGAAAGTCATGTGTTCCCTGCAGGTGATCGCCATGATCAAGGGCTTGCAGGTGTTGATGGGCAGGATGGAGAGCGTGTTCAATCATGCCATCAGGCACACTGTGTATGCTGCGCTGCAGGACTTCTCCCAGGTCACCCTTAGAGAGCCACTCCGGCAGGCCATCAAGAAGAAGAAGAATGTCATCCAGAGGTCAGCTCCCCTGCACGCACCTTCTGGCACTCAGCATGCAAAGTAGTAGGGTCAGTTTAGGCTTAAATAGTCATAGAGTCACATTTTCATAAATACATTCAGCGCATTTATCTTCAGCCTGAAGACAAGACACCCTCTTGGTGAATTCCCTCCACATGTGGTGCAGGGGGTCCACTTGTTAATGTCAACATGCAAGACATCAATCACAGAGTGCCTTTCTACACAGACTGGGGACCCAGGGGGCATCGCGTATTTATCTCAGGGCAGAGGGAGGATGTTTCAGGCCTGGTGACAATTCTGCTGGCCCAGCATCCCACACAAAGTATTATCTGCAGCATTTCTGCTTCTGTTCCTTTTGTCCTGTCTACATATTGGTCAGATATCACATGCATATTGCAGAGAAACCAGCATGATCTTCAGCTCTTTTCTCTTAATGTTTAGCTTTTTATATAAAGTTGTCTTTCAAAGACATCTCTGTAAAATGAAACCCACAGGACCCTACAAAGTTATTATGTTCATTTTGATACTTTATAATTGATGTATTTTTCACCTGGTGTGGTATGACTTTGAGCACTGATAAAATGTGTTATGCTGTGGGACTTTTGTTTTTTCACCTTTAGGCCTTAGTGGAGAATGTTGTAAATCATGCTTCCCATTTGGTAATAGAAGCCCCACTGCATTGTAAAGTATGCATTGCAGTCTAGAAGTAACTTAGGTTTTGATTAGAACCTTCTTCCTGTGTGAGCAGGCCTGGTGTGTGGGTGCATCTGCCCTGAGTGTGGAGCTCATGGGGTTCTCCATACGTAGAACCCTGGTGGAGACCTCAGGTTCCTGTTAGAAAACGGGGGATTGCCTGCAAGGAAGTCTCTCCTTGGGTGGATTCTGTGGCCTGTCCTCTCTCTGTCCTGCCATGAGTCAGTTTTATTCAGGAAATAAAACTTCACTTCCAGCTGATGCAAACTGGAACTACGCCTCTAGGTTCCCAAGAGAGCAATCTATAATTTAAATTTCACATTGAGTTGGTCCATTACTCCATCCTACCCCCACCCCTACACCCCCATCCCAAGAGGGTTTTGTGAGTGAATTAATAACTGTCAGGCCAGGAAATACAGTTCTGTTCATGTCCTGGGCCAGTCCCATAAATGGACTGGGCTGTTTAGTGTTCTGCAGGCCATCAGGAAGACCGTGTGTGACTGGGAGACGGGTCACGAGCCCTTCAACGACCCAGCTCTGCGTGGCGAGAAGGACCCCAAGAGTGGCTTTGACATCAAAGTGCCCCGGCGAGCTGTGGGACCCTCCAGCACGCAGGTTCTCGTCCCCCCTGCTCCCCTACCTCCCCCAATACCCCGAGCAGACTGACTCTGAACTGGGAGGGCAGTAAGCTGGGGTGGGAGTAAAATGCTGTCTCTGCTGTCTGTCAGGGCAGATCAAGTATTGCCCGTGTCTTCCTGCTCCTCAGTTCCCCTCCCGAGGCAATCTGGAATTCTCCTATTTGGCCATTTACAGGCAGAACTTAATTTGACAGCATTTCAGCTCCTGTCCTCAAAACGCGGGTGAAACTGTGTCTATATTTACACTGTGTTTCCTGATAGGTGTTTAAATGTATAATTAGGATGTTTATTTGAGGCCTAGAAATGATCATAACTAAAGAGAAGGCGTTTGGAAATAATATAGTGTTGCTTTCGTGCTTCCCTGGTCTTAAGCTGTTCTCTCCCCTGGCATGCTCGGCCCCCCGACTCCTACCCCCATTTAATATGCCCCTCTGCTATCCTCCCGTTTTGGGACCTGGTACTTCCTCCTCGTTTCTCTGTCGGAGGCTCTTATAATCTCTTCTGCCAGCCTTTTGGAGAATTAACAGCAAAGTGCATGCTGGCTCTAATACGGAACCTTGCGAAGTCCAGGGCCGGCCTCGAGCCCCTCCTGGGTCTGTCCCATCGCACGTGCCCTCCCTACCCTGCGTCTCGTGGATCCCATGTGCGGCCCCAGCCCCATGTCGTGCGTGTTTGTGACTAACGCTCTCTCCGCCTCTCCCGTCTGTCTGTCTGTGTCTAGCTGTACCTGGTGCGCACCATGGCCGAGTCTTTGAGCTCTGCCGAGCTGCTGAGGCAGCTCAAGTCTCTAGGCATGGAGAGGCTCTTGCATGTGGTACACGCGTTTCTGAGGCAGTCCTACATCTATCCGCCTCTTTTAACCTTCGGTGGTAAGACATTGTTTGTTTTTCTTGTTGACCTTTCCGGCACGGAGGTGAACCGCTCCGCAACAAGCTCTTCCTCCCAGGCAGCAGTAGCTTAGCTGGGCGCCCAGCCCCCTTTTGGGGAGCTGGCTTGGCGGGGGCTGCCCCCCAGGCCGGCTCCGGGCAGGGTGCAGCGGAGCCGTCCTTCTCTGGTGGCCAGTGGGAGTTTGGCGTAACTAATGTACCGTGTGTATTTTCTCCTCCACAAATATTCTCCCTGGATAATGCAGCTTTACATGGTGAGAACCATGCTAGAGTCCCTCATTGCAGACAAAAGTGGTTCCAAGAAAACCTTGAGAAGTAGCCTTGAGGGGCCCACCATATTGGACATAGAAAAATTCCATCGAGAGTCATTCTTCTACACCCACTTGATAAATTTCAGTGGTAAGAGACACTGCTGACCAGCGTCCGGCCCAGCATGTTCTAACACCGCTAACACCGTCCAGACGCTTCCACCTGCCTGACCTTCCCCCGCTCCGGTCCCCTCCTGCACCCACACGGTGACCTGTGTCGTAACCTTTGTGGCATTCCCTCACCTGTCGCTTTAAATGCACGGCCAGCCACAGGCTCCCTCCACGTGGCGAGGCCTGTAGAAGGGTGAGGGCTGTGGCTCCGTGGCTGGCCCTGCAACATGAATACAAAGTCTTCGTAATCCTCCGGGGTCGGAAACAGGCAAACATAATCCATTGCCTGGCTGGCAAGCAAGACAGTGATGCATACCAGAAATGGGCCCCCAGGCATGGGTGGAAGGTGGTAGGTGACCTGATGCTTGGCCAGGGTGCTGCGTGGATGCCTTCTGCCATCGTGGAGTCAGCACATTTACTCCTGTGCCGCTGCCTCGTGCGAGAGCAGGGGCCTCTGTCCCGGCTGGGCGGCTGCAGGTTTGAAGTATACAGTGAGGTTTTTGTTTTCCACTCTGAAAGAATGGGAACCTTTTTTAAAAATCTCTCAATTTTGCACGAAATAGACTTGCACTGAGTATTCATGTAATGCTGCGTCTTTATCCTAAGTAAAATAGTGTTTTTCTTCTCCTTTTAAAAGGATATTTTTTTCTCCCAATTCCACCAAGCGGCTCAGGGGGTTGGTGAGATCCCACTGGTGGGCGGGGATGTCATGCCAGGTGCCCTGTCTGCTAGGCAGGCCGAGGCCACTCTGCTCCTCTGCCAGCAGCGATACCACGATGTCTTGTCCCCCTGGGGGCATCCCCTCTCATCACGTGCCCTCCCACCCGGCTCAGGGCTGAGAGTGAGGGCGCCGGTGCCTGGCACGGGACCCCATCAGTCACCCTGCTGAGTCCTTTGTGCTTGTGGAAGATTGACTTGGTGTCCTTTGAATCCTTCAAGAAACGCTGCAGCAGTGCTGTGACCTTTCACAGCTGTGGTTCCGCGAGTTCTTCCTGGAGCTGACCATGGGCAGGAGGATCCAGTTCCCCATTGAGATGTCCATGCCGTGGATCCTGACTGACCACATCCTGGAGACCAAGGAGGCGTCCATGATGGAGTGAGTGTCCCTCCTGTATCTCTGCTCTCTGTTTGTGGTGACTGGGGTCCTTGGAGGATTTGGGAGGTGGGGATGGGGGTGAAACCATTCTCAGCATTTCATTTGAAGTCAGAATTCTTGGGGTAAGACTTCAGAGGTTAACATAAGTTAACAGGTATCTGGGCTTCAGACTGACATCGGGAGCCCAGACGGTTGGAGTAAGTGAGCCCCACTTGCCCACGTGCTGGCAAGTCCCCAGGGACTCAGCTGGGGTGAGAGAGGCAAGATGTGGCTGGCCAGGCCCCTAGGCACAGCCTCCGACACAGGTGAATGTGGGAGAGGAGCTACATTCTGAGCTCAGGACTCAGGACTGGGGCAAGGGTCAGAGACTTTCAAAATATGAAGTCTGTGCAAGGAAGTGTAATTAAAAAGGGGGTGTCTTGTGATGTCCAGATTGGGGATGGATCCAGTGGTCTGCTCATAGGACATTGGAAGCCATGCAACCTCTGCCTGCCTGTCAGCTCCCAGGCATGACTGCAGAGGGAGGGGGATGGCCTGCACTTCTCTGGAGTGGACACAGCCTCTGTTAGAGTATGAAGGGCATGAGGCCCAGTGCCTCTGTCACACCCCTTGGTTGGGTTCCCCTCTCCCCTCCCCTCTGCTGCTCACATGGCCTTGCCCCGGTGAAATGGGGGCAGCTTGGCACCCTCAGAAGGTGGCTGCTGGCTTGTATCTAGACAGTGGGCAGGGGAGAGGGGCTTTTAGCCATGCTAGGTGAGCATGTACAGTCAGCAGGACATGGACATGTGTTTTTCTTCTTAAGTCAAACAGCTCACTCTTAAAAATGAGAAAATAACTCAGTTTTGTTAGAAAAAATACTGCCTACTGGTGGTGAAAAACTTTGAAAGAAGTGAGAAGATGCAGTTGTGGGAGACCCTGTGGTCCCACCCAGTGCCCCAGGCCTGGCCGGGGTAGGCACGGCCACCTGTGGAGTCTCCCAGCTAGTGGACAGGTGCCCACAGGCCCTCGACAGTAACAGAGTTTGGGGCTTGGGGTTTGAAGGTATTGCTTTTCCTAGGCAATACCCATGTCTGGGGAAAACAGTGAAAGCTAGACTCTGGTGGCCTGGGGGCTGGGGACAAAGAGGCGTGGGAGCCGGCTGACCACACGCCCCTCCGCAGGTACGTGCTGTACTCCCTGGACCTGTACAACGACAGCGCCCACTACGCCCTCACCAAGTTCAACAAGCAGTTTCTCTATGACGAGATTGAGGCAGAGGTGAGGACGACCTTAATGAACTTTCCTTAATTTTCTTTTTCTTTTTCTTTTTTTTCCTTCAAGGGAAATACACTTTTAATTTCCTTTTTCCCTGGGTGAACCTTGCTACTTCTTCTTGACGTATCTACACGTGTTGATGGAGTCACAGCACAGACTCTGGGGGGTGATCTGCTCCTTCTTATCACAGCACCTGCTAAGACCCTGTCTTCTGTGAGCAGGCGTATTGTGCTCCATAGATGCCCTGAGCCACTCCCTATTTTTCATTTGTTTTGCTTTTCATGTTTGCTCAGTACATGTCATTTTTGATCAACCTCCTTGCATGTAATTTTTGTTACATTGGATTATTTCTTGAGGACAAATTACTGTAAGTAGAATTATTAGGTCACTATGCAAAGCTATGGAGATGGATCTTGTTCTCTAACTTAAGATGTTGGAGAATTGGTCCTCCCTGGTGGCGCAAGGGGTTAAGCACCACACTATGAAGTAATTCACGGCCTCTGCAGCAAGAATTCTATCCCTGGCCAGCCAGGGAGCAACCCACATGGTGCAGCAGACCCCTCATGTCTCGCCCACTGCTCCCCTCAGCAGTGTATTTCAGTCAGTCTGCTTGCTCTGTTCCCCACTCTGTCTCTGGTGAATCCTCTCACCCCCCGCATTTCTGGCCTGTACCCCAGCTCTTGTGTGAATAAATAAATAAATCTTAAAAAAAAAAAAAAGATGTAGGAGAATTGAACCTCAGCAGATTGCTTGGTGCATCTGTGTTCTTCCTGTGAACACCACCACAAAATTCTTCTGCAGGAGGTGTGTGGGCTCTTGAGCAAAGCAGGATGCGCCACCCTCCATGTACATGGTGTCACTTTCACAGTTTTGGGGGTAGATGTGAGCCCCATTTGCAGGGGAGGATGCATTTTGTGGGGTGAAGTCACACGACTGTGTCTCCCCTCCATCTCCTGATCTGATTGGCACAGTCGACCCCACTGCAGGGGAGGCCAGAGGTAGTGACTAATGGGGTGTTCCTAGTGGTGGCAGATGTAGCCCCCTACACCTAGTGGTGACCCCAAATGCAGTTCACATTATCCTTTCTGGGGATAAAAAGATGTTTCCATATTCCTTTGCTTTTAAGAAAACAGGAGCGGGCCTCCCCTGGTGGTGCAGTGGTTGAGCGCTGGGCTGCAAAGCTGCCCGCAGCCTCTGCAGTGCGGGTTCCATCCCCGGCCCCTGGCGAGGGTCCCACATGGCGCGCAGACCTCTCCTACTGTGCCCGCTGCTCCCCTCAGCAGTGTATTTCGTTAGTCTGCCTGTTCTGTTCCCCGCTCTGGCTCTGGTGAATCCTCTCACCCTTCCACACTTCTGATTGTACCCTGTGCTTGTATAAATAAATAAATAAATCTTTAAAAAAAAAAAAATAAGAGAATAGGAGCATTTTTCTCCAGCAGTGAGGAAGTCCCTGTCATAATTTTCAGTGGCTGCCTAATGGTCACTCTGGCCACGCCATGATATATTTGATTTGCTGTTGTTACTTGTTTCTATTTTCCAAAGAGAACCTCAGTTAGTTGCTGTAACAAAAGATTTATGTTGTGTTATTTGATCTTGATTTAGGGAATCAATATCTAACGCCTGCTTTCTTTTTCTGCAGGTAAACCTATGCTTTGACCAATTTGTTTACAAGCTGGCAGACCAGATATTTGCATATTACAAGGTTATGGCAGGAAGGTGAGTATCTGGTTTGTGATTTTGGTATGAAATCTTGCATAATTGGATATATATTTGCATTAAAATTCACAGCTCCTGAGACATGTCCTCCTTCCTTCTGTACTAGTTTGCTTCTTGATAAACGGCTACGGTCTGAATGCAAGAATCAGGGGGCTACGATCCACCTCCCGCCATCTAACCGCTACGAGACTCTGCTTAAGCAGAGGCACGTGCAGGTGAGCCCCACTGGAAGGAGCTTCGCAACAAGGAGGTGTTCGAAGGGCTTGCTGGGTTTTAGTATATGCTGTGTGTTTGTGACTGTGGAAACATCCTTATAAAACGTTAATAAGGGCCTCCCTGGTGGCGCAGTGAGTTGAGCACAGCGCTGTGAAGCTGTCTGCAGACTCTGCAGCATGGGTTCGATCCCGGCCAGCTGGGAAGAAACCCAGATGGCATGGCAGACCTCTCCTGGCTCGCCCACCCCTCCCCTCAGCAGTGTCTTTGGTCCGTCTGCCTGTTCTGCTCCCTGCTGTGTCTCTGGTGAATTCTCTCACCCTCCCGTACCTCTGACCGGTACCCCAGTTCTTGTATAAATTAATAGTCTTAAAAAATAATAATAATAAAAAATAAAATGTTAATAAGATTTTAAAGCTTCTATTGAATAACCTGAAGCAAATGGGAAGGCCTGCAGTGCCCTGTGCCTGCCCTCCCTGAGCCCCAAAGTACTTTGCTTCTCTCCAGGAGCACAGGGGCTGGGTCTTTTTTTTTTTTAAGATTGATTTATTTATACATATAAGAACTGGGTGCAAATCAGAGGTGTGGGGGTGTGGTGAAAGGATACACTCCTGAGGGGAGCAGCGGGCAAGACAGAAGAGGTCTGCTGTGCCATGTGAGTAGCTCCCTGGCCAGGGATTGAGCTCATGCTGCAGCGACTGGTGATAGCTTGATAGTGCTGTCTTTAACTCCTGCACCACCAGGGAGGCCCAGAAGCTGGATCTTAAGAACAAAGGCTTGTCCACTCAGTGTCAGAGACAAGATTTCTCTTGGCCAGCACAAAAGAACAAAAAAATATACATATAGTACTCATTTCTTATTTCTCTTAAAAAATTCACAAAATAGGGCCTCCCTAGTGGCACAAGGGGTTGAACACAGCACTGCACAGCACTGCACCACAAGTTCAATCCCCAGCCAAGGAGCTACCCACATGGCACAGCACACGTCTCCTGTCTTACCCGCTGCTCCCCTCGGCAGTGTATTTCAGTCAATCTGCCTGTTCTGTTCCCTACTCTGTCTCTTGTGAATCCTCTCACCCCCTGCACCTCTGGCCTGCGCCTCTGGCCTATACCCCAGTTCTTGTATGCATAGATAAATAAATCTTTAAAAAAAATTTCATAAAATATAATTCTACTGGCCATCCACAGATAACCACCACTGATATTTTGGGCCATTTTTTTCACTCAGATTTTATCCATATCTTATGTTGTTGAAATAATACTGAGATTCAGCTGTGCTGTTAAGTACCGTGAAATAGAGATGGAGTGATTGTATCTTATTCATCCCTGTAACTCCATGGAAGTTAGCTTTGTGAGGCTGGTATATTTGTGGGAACTGGGGCTGGACACTGTTTGAACGAGTGAAGACTGACAGACAAATTCTCCAGGGTCTCTAGTGAGGGTTGGGGTTTCTGCTTGTGATGTTAGTGTAAATTCAGTGCACACATCAGCATGTAAAGGCTTTGACTAACAAAATTTCAACTCCACGAAAGTAGGGTATTTGATCATGCGTGAACTTATAAATATGTAAAATTTTATGTAAGTATTTAAATTTCTTCTGTGTCCTTTTAGAAGCACATTTTATTTGCCTGACCATTTGGAATTGATTTCTGGAAGATATATTTCTCTACACAGTATTTTATCTTTTTGTTGTTGTTCACCCTCGCCCAGCTCCTTGGCAGGTCCATAGACCTCAATCGTCTGATTACTCAGCGTGTCTCAGCAGCCATGTACAAGTCTCTGGAACTGGCAATTGGACGATTTGAAAGTGAAGACCTGACATCAATAGTTGTAAGTACTCTCCCTATTAATCAGACTTAGCAGATTCCGGGGACATTGGTTACAAGACTAAAGCTAATTTTACTCTTGTCCTTATTGATAACTTGAATTAATGTTAAGTGCAATTCTTGCATAGGAGCCAAACAATGCACTAATTGAGCTTGACCAACCTGGACACCTTTATTACTATCCTTAGTAGCCACAATTCTAAATTGACCTCAACCAATAATCCTGGTCTTAAATATATTACACCTAATTATGACATATTTGATAAGGCAAATGAATGAAAGGAGGAAAGTTTTAAAAATCAAAAAGAAATGGAGACAGGAAAAAGAATTTGAGAAAGAATGATATAGAGGACAAGATCAACATGCATATCACTGAGGTCTCAGAAAAAGAAAATCAATGCAATGGATGGAACAAATATCATTGGTAAAATAAAAGATGATTTCTAATATATTGAAAACATATATCACAGACCTGTGGAACTGACCCAAAATCACCAACACCAAGAAATACTGCAGTAAAAGTATTGGACTGTATAAAAAAAAATCCTTTGAGTATCTGAGTAGAGCATTCAGGGAAGGGAAATGCATTTGTCCTCATAACGTTTCCAGTTCTTCATGTCAGAAGCCAGGGAAAGGAAATGCAAATTAAGGATTTTTGCCAAGCCAGACTGGTCTTCCAAGAATAACAGCTACATACAAATGGTGTTAGACTTGCAAGACCTTGCAAGATAATTATCATTACTTGAGAAGTGACTTCAGTTAGAACAGGAGAGGCCTGGGTGGGGCACAGTACCTTGCTTTGAGTAGCTTGCATAGAGACTGAGCCATGTTCTACCAGGTTGTCCTGGGGCTGAGACTCACAAGGGCGTTCTTGGAAACATAGTGTGATACAAGCTATGGCATTTGAGTTGTCATTGGCTTATATGATTTTTCAGCTGTATTTTTTAGAGATAATAATTGACAAATTAGTATACAACATACTAATTCAGATTTGATATTTATTTATGTTGTAAGGTGATCATCTTACATAGTTACAGATTTTTTTTTGTGGTGAGAATTTTTAAGATCTAGTCTCTTAGCAATTTTCAAATACACAATACAGTATTATTGCTAACTAGTGTCCATGTGTACTTCATATCCCCGTGACATACCTGGAAGTGTGCACCTTTTGATCGCCCTCCCCCATATTCTTCAACCCCCACCCCCACCTCTGGCAACCACCAGTCTGTTCTGCACAATGGAAATACAATGCAAATCATATGGGTGATTTTTAATTTATTCATAGTCATATTAAAGAGTGAAAAAGGAATCAGTGAAATAAATGTATAATTATTTTATTTAACCCAATATATCCAAAAATTATCAATTCAGTGTGTAATCCACATGGCAGTATTATTGGGGTGAATGTCTTACACTCTTTTGTCTTTGACATCTGGTGTGTATCTCTCATGCACCACACCTCTGTTTGGGCCAATCCTGTCTCCAGTGCTGAGGGCCACATATGGTCACCGGCTGTCTCAGTGGACAGCCCAGACGTAGGCAGGTTTTATGAACAATCCGTGTGAGCATGAATCCTGTGGATGAAATTGCCAGCTCTGCCTACACCATAACTCAGGTATCTAGAGAGACTGACACCTGGGGAATCAGTGTGCAGTGCAGCTGGGGCAGGGCTGGGCTTTGGTGGCACAAGCCATGGTCTCTGCCCTGTGTATGGAGGTGACGGTGGACAGTACACAGGTAACCACGGGTGGCCTGTCGGGGAGATGGTGGCAAGGAGGGGCGTTTCAAAGGCAATGGGGAGGCTGTGATAAACTTAGGTGTGAGAAACAAGCTCGTGATATCTGCCAGACCCCCACTACATCTCAGTCTTGGCCACACCTGCCACCCCGATGCAGCCCCTTACCATCCATCCCTCTGCATGACACTGCCCATGTGGAAGTGGAGGCCACTGTACTGGTCAAGTGCTGTCCCCACATGCCTGTCTCTGTGATTCCATAGGAGCTGGACGGCCTCTTGGAAATTAACCGCATGACCCACAAACTGCTGAGCAGGTACCTGACGCTGGACAGCTTCGACGCTATGTTCCGGGAGGCCAACCACAATGTGTCAGCACCCTATGGAAGAATCACCCTCCACGTCTTCTGGGAACTCAACTATGATTTTCTGCCCAACTACTGCTACAATGGCTCCACCAACCGGTGAGTGTGCTGCTTGATCCTCCCACGCTGCTGCCACAGGGTATCTAATACGGAGTCAGGACCTGCACCATGTCCAGATTCTGTGCCTCCCTCCCCATAATTTCTAGTGTATGGGATTGTCAACCTCCCCTCCCCTCATCTCCTCCCTTTGCGGGTGCAGCCCCAAGTCAACCAAGGGCGTTTGGGCCATCCTGTATATGGAGGTGAGCCATGTCCCTCTCCTCCACCCATGCGATTCAGGGCGTTCCCACAGGGGTGTGCTGCTTGCTACCAAGGTTTCACCGTTTCTAGGCCCTGTGGTCAGAGCTCAGAAATACATACCTGTGTACTGTATTAGGTTCCTGTGGTTGCTATACAGATAACCACGAACAGGAGGGGAAGCTTTAAACAACAGAAATTGCTTTTCTCACAGTTCTGGAGTCTAGGAATCTAAAAATGCAGGAGCTCAGCAGTGCTCCCTCTAAGACTCTGGGTAGACTCCTCCCTTGCCCCTTCCTGCCATCTAGTTGGGGCCAGCAAAGGCCTGGGCATTCCTTGGCTTGCAGCTGCCTCACTCCAGTGTTGCCCTCCTGAGACACTTGGCCATCTCCTCCCTGTGTCTCCTCTTCTTACGAGGAGGATGCCAGTCATTTGCATTCAGGACCCACACTACACTAGAGTGACCTCATTTTAAGAGAACAGTTAACAGAACATCTACAATAAGGTCATACCCTGAGGACTGGCGGTTAGGACTTTAGCTTATCTTTTTTTGGGGAGATACAGCTAGACTCACTCTGTGTGTGTGTGTGTGTGTGTGTGTGTGTGTGTGTGTTTACCTGTCTGTCACTGTCTTTACATTAAAACCACAAATTCATGCTAGTATCGTCAGCTCTGGTTCAGCACCACAGAGTTCATTCTAATATTCTCACTTTCCACTTTCGTAACTTCCTTCAACTTTGTATTGTTTCTTGTTTCACTGTTCTTAGCCTAATTATTCATTTGCTTATTTCTAGAAAATGTAAAATATAGTTTCAGAATTACTAATCCTTACCACTGAACACAAACCTACTAACTAGAGTTCAAAATTTCCAATTTTTTTTTCCTTTAGACTGGGAATATAAATAGTCAAAATATGGTGTATAAAAGGAGGAATATGGTGTTTTGGGAGGAATAGGGTTTGGATTGACTCTCTCAAACAACTGAAAAACTGAAAAAAAATTTTCAGACGTTGGGCGTTTCTCTAAGGGAATAGAAACAAATGGATTGACCCTGTGATTTTTCTGGCTCTGTGCCCAGAAGTGTCTTTGGGCTGTGATGTGGAAGTGGGAGCATTCATCCACAGCTTGGAAGTCTTGCTTGGAGATTTGCAAGATGGCTTGGAAATCGGGGACACTGGGACAACTGGAATTAGAGGACTGACTGAGTATGGGAGAGAAGAGAGCTGCCCAGGGAAATGGCTCCCCAAACAAAAAGGGACCCTTTAGTCTGTTTGAATGTTGTGCTGTGGGTTGTGATTCAGGAGGCAGGACAGAGAACAGCTCTGAATAATCCCCAGAGCTCACTGCCAGCAAGACCTCATTGATTACTCAACCTTTAGTAAAACTGCCAGGAGGGCCCATCTTCTGCTAGCCTGAGGACAGTGGCTACTGTGCCCACCCCCAATACCTCATGAAAGGATTCACCTGATGGGCATGTAATCTAGCAGCCAGCCTGCTCCCCAAACCTCAACACTCTTCAAAGGATAAGAACCAAATCCAGACACTTGACATCATGATGCTCAGCCTGCTGGTCGCTCCACAGATACGCACGTTCATTTCATGCATCAGCAATATTTTAAGTTACATCCCTTCTTTATATATTAAAGTGCAATGTGTTCTTCATGGATTTTAATAGTTTGCAAATCCAAATGTTTTTATTCTACTTCTTTGTAAAAGTTTTATATTTAAATGAACATTTCCAGTTTGAAAATGTTAGCCATCTGGGTGTTCCTGCTTTAAAATCCAAGCTTTATTTTTCAGTGGATTCTAATCTGTTATCATGCTGCAGTGCCTGAGTGAATGTGGTTATAAACACTTTGCTCGTTCTTCCTGTTAACTGGCCATCGATGTCCACCTCAGCCCTCCTGATCCTTTCCTGCAGGGCCACACCTGGAGGACCTGCAAGCCAAGTGCTTGGTCCTCACCACTCATCAAAAGGGCTGGTTTGGGCCTCCCCGGTGGCGCAGTGGTTGAGCGCGGGGTTGCGAAGCTGCCCGCAGCCTTTGCAGCACCAGTTTGATCCCCGGCTGCTCCCTGCCACCGGAGGAGGGTTCCACATGGCTTGCAGACCTCTCCTGCTGCCCGCTGCTCCCCTCAGCAGTATACCTCGGTCATTCTGCATGCTCTGCTCCCTGCTCTGGCTCTGGTGAATTCTCTCACCCTCCCGCGCTTCTGACTGTACCCAGTGCTTGTATAAATAAATAAATCTTTTTAAAAAAAAAAAAAAAAAAAAAAGGGCTGGTTTATACTTGAAATGGGTCTGGTACCAACAGAGCAGACTTTCTCCTGAGTTGGGGGACAATGTTTACATGGCAGAAGGACCATTGTGTTCTCATTGTGATTCTGAAGTTTTAAATACACTTAAGATATTCAAAATACTTATATCTAATTCATTCTAATTTTGATTTCCTAAAATTTTCCTGTGTGATGATCATATTAGTTAACTGAGAGCAAGATTTAATTGATGGGTCATGGAGAAGTACAGAATTTTGAAGAACAACTATTAAATTTTTGGTTTTCTTTTGAAAAAAATCTTTTCTGTTTAGGTTTGTTCGGACAGTATTACCATTTTCTCAAGAATTTCAAAGAGATAAACAGCCTAATGCACAGCCTCAGTATTTGCATGGATCAAAGGTAGGTTCTTCATTTTCATGTCAGTTTTTAAGCTCACAATGAAGTGTGTTTTGAAGTTTAGTTTAAATGAGTTTAGTGGTAATAATTTAAATGTACCCTGCCATGTATTTAATGCTATTTTTTCCTTCCTTTCCATTACCTCCTTAAAAGGTAATATTGAGCTGGACAGCTGCCAGCCATGTGGGGAGTAGCAAACCAGGTTCAGCCTCACCCGGGCACTAAAGTGAGTGAGATTGTTAGGACATTTCAAAGTTTAAAAACATCAAGCTAAGAAATAAGAAAGTATGTGGGAGGGCCTCCCCGGTGGCGCAGCGGTTGAGCGCTGGGTTGCGAAGCTGCCCGCGGCCTCTGCGATGCCGGTTCGATCCCCGGCTGCTCCCCGGCCACCTGAGGAGGGTCCTACATGGCGCGCAGACCTCTCCTGCCGCCCGCTGCTCCCCTCAGCAGTGTACTTCGGTCCTTCTGCCTGCTCTGCTCCCCGCTCTGGCTCTGGTGAATCCTCTCACCCTCCCGCGCTTCTGACTGTACCCAGTGCATGTATAAACAAAACAAACAAACAAATAAATAAATAAATAAAACATGCCTCTATAAAAAAAAAAAAAAAATTTAAAAAAAAAATTAAAAAAAAAAAAAAAAAAAAGTATGTGGAAGAGTCTCAGCCACATCTGCGACAAGATACACCAGGGCAGTCCCTCCAGGTGCAAGGAGAGGCACAGGAAAGCACTGGGGACATTCTGCATCCACAGTGAGACTTGTGCAGGTTAAAACCACACAGCCTGTCTAGAAAGATAAGACAGGGCTCCAGGCTGAGGGTGACTGGATCTGTAACTACTAAGATAATACTACGGGTTAATATTATTAGTACTTTAGGCATTCTTACAACTTAATAAGACAGGGACAGACATTGTGTAATAAAAAGAGGACAGATGCAAAGCAGAGTAAAATATACAGTAAAATTCTGACTAGTCTCTGGCCAGCTGTGTCTGCAGGTTGCTCTGCCGCCCCTGCCTCCAGCATCTGGGCTCTGATGTCCTCCTAGTGCATCTGCCATCCATCTTGGGCACAGTCTCACCACCCTTTATAAGCTAATATGCCCGTGTGAAGTGTTCAGCCTGTCAGCCTAGAAGAAAAGGGCAGGTGTCATCGTTGGAGGAACAAGCTGGAGTGTTGAGTAGAGGGTGATGGGGGTGGGTGGGAAACCAGTGTTAGTGGAAATAGAAACTGCTTATTTTGCAAGGACACATGGAACTTCAAGCTGGAAGTGATACTATTTATTTGCCGACCTTGGGAGGCCCTGTGTGCTCTGCGTGGTGTCTGGTCCTTCATGCACCCTGTTAGGCCCCCTGGGGCCTGTGTCCACTGCCCTTTCGAGGGTTTCATGAGCCATGGTGAATGCAAAGACAGAAGAGTCAGGGTTCTCAAGAGGTCATAATTCTTGCCCAGACTATGTATTATTAGGAATCTCTGCTCTGTATTCTTGCTTTAAAAAGTGTGGGGACTGCCCAGGCTCTGCTAGGAGGCAGCAGGCAGGCCTCCAAGGCCCAGATCAGCTGAGAGGGAGGTGTGGGGACTGGGAGGGTTGGAGGAAGAATTGAGGGATGAAACTGCTTCCATTTGGGGGGTTTTGTGTTTGTTTGTTTGTTTGTTTCTTTTTAAGATTTATTTATGCATACAAGATTTGGAGTACAGACCAGAGGTTGGGGGATGAGAGGATTCACCAGAGACAGAGTGGGGAACAGAACAGGCGGATCGACTAAAATACACTGCTGAGGGGAACAGCAGGCAAGACAGGAAATGTCTGCTGCGCCATGTGGGTAGCTCCCTGGCTGGAGATCGAACTCGTGCTACAGAGGCTGCAGATAGCTTAATAGTGCTGCATCTTAGCCCCTTGCGCCACCAGGGAGGCCCCTGTCTGGGATTTGAACAACTGTTTTCAAGAAGAGCAACCATCACTGTCCCATCTGCCGTGTTCTGGGACTGAGTGTCTTTTTTCTAATATTAAGTAATGTTTTTGTACGATGACTAAGTTCCAGTCACGGTCTCAGGGCTCACTCCCCTAGGACGGGGAGTCCCAGACTCAAGTCATCTGTGCCCTGCAAATGGCTGTCCAGGAGTCAGAATATCCAGACCGGACGTTGGGCTGGTGGTCAGCACAGCAGGAAGGGGAGGGAGGAGGCAGGAGCTGGAGATGTGTGGGCAGGAGCTTCCTGTCCCAGCCCCTTCTTCCCTTCCCTTGTACTCAGTTCCCCAGGAGCAGCTGCTCAGAGACAGGAGGTGGGAAGGAAAGCTCCTGGCTCACTACTGCCACTTGAGGGGCCCGGGGTCAGACAGGTGAGGGTGGGGCTGGAAGCCCAGGCAGTTAACAGACTTTGCCTCTTCCCCACACCCAGGTGACTTTCACTCTGTGGTCCCGAAGAAAAACCCATTCTCATGGCCTGGGTGCCTATAGTTGAGTGAAACTAACATTAGGGACAAACCTGGGATTCCCACCCGCCCCCTTTCCAGTGTGGGGAGGGCATGACAGAGGACATAGATGGGGAGCTAAGGGCTGCCAGCCACACACAGTGCACACCAGGACACTTTCTAAGGTACCAGCTGGATCTAAGAAGTAGAAAAAATATTTCTACCGCATTCTTCTCTAATCCTCTGTTCCTTAGAGGAGGAAGCTCTTGTGCCCATTCTCTTGGTTACCTTCCCCTCCACTCCCTATAGGGGAAATTTGAACTTAGTACTGGGGGGTGCTTATGCCTTGGAAGTGGGCAAACTGCTCCAGTTCAGGCTGGTGTATCCAGGGCTGCACCCTCCTACTCCACCCCTTGCAAGGGGCATGAGTTAGAACCTTGTTTAAAGGATTAAAATAAGCTCTATCATGCCTCCCTTCTGAAGTTAAAATTTAGTGTTTTAGCTCCTTGGAACTAAAAGAAGTTTTGTGTTTTTATGAAAACATATAGACTAAGATAAGCATTTCTTGGATACCTGATAACTGGAAGATTTGGTATAAACTTGATTCAGAAATGTTTAATCCTGCCCTTCTGCATGAATGCAGAGCAAGTTTTCATTACACCCTGATAAAGTAATGATAAAGTCCGTGGGAAGGCAGAACTGAGAAGTTAGGTGGTTCTTCCTGCTCTGCTTCCTGCTTCCTCCCCTTCACACCTTCCCCTTTATACCCCGCCCCCCAGCATTTGGAGAGGGTCACAAGGAGTCATGAAGCATTGACCTTTGAGCAAAGGTCTATCCTGGTGATTTACCCTGGGTCTGCACAGCACCTGGGCAAGGGGTTTGAGGCCAGCACCCCCAGGTTTCTAGAGGGGTGCATTCCTGGGAAGGGGGGCTCATGGGGTTGGTTCTGAATGGGTTCCCCACCAGCACTGATGTATCTGTGTGTTCACTGTGGTGCTAAAGGCTCAGGGAACACCTTTTCATTCTGCAGGGTTTTCCTCCAGGAAGCAGACAGCCAGGTTTCTGCTTACAGGAAGTTGCTGCAGTGAGCCCCCAGTTCCTGGGGGGCCTGGGTACATGTTCACAACTGTGTGTACCTGGAGGCATCTACAGAGCAGGTGCTGATTTCAGGGAAAAGAAAGATGAACTGAATTGCATTTCATTGTTACTTTAAAGCAACTACCTATGACTGAACTTGAACTTCAAAGATGTAACAGATTTTAGCCTGTTTGAAAAATGTGTCATTTCTATTCTTAAAACCCAACTGGTATTTTTGTTAGATTGTTTGAACTTGAACAGAAGTTCAGCTGAGTGACATTCACATTGCCATGCATTTTATGCATGTCATCTGATACTTCTTAAAGAAAAAGGCAGGGTGCCCAAACATGGTGTCAGAGTTGAGCAGTGTATGTGAGGCAGATACAGAGAAGGTTTTCGGACCACAACAAAATCACACTAGAAATCAGTGACAAAAAGATAACAAGGAAATCAAATACTTGGAAATTAACATACTTCTAAATAATACATGGGTCAAATAGCGAGTCTCAAGGGAAATAAATACATTGGACTGAACAAATGTAAATACCACATATCAGAATTTGTGGGATGCAGTGAAAGAAGCGCTGAGGAGGGAGATAAATACTTACTGTCTTTTTTCTGTTTTTAGCAAGCTGTTTTTCATAACTGCTTGAAGACAAACCTGGCAGGGAGGGCAGCCTTAGACATAAGTTCTCTGGATTCCTCCACTGCAGGGCTCTGTGTGTTGAATGTGACCTGGGAACAGTGGTCTTCATCTTCACGTGTGCAGGGACTGTGTTGAAAGCTGGAGGTTTCATCAGGCGCTTTTGTTCTCTGTCCCCAGGCTCTGAACCTGGCTTACTCCAGCATTTATGGCAGCTACCGGAACTTTGTGGGGCCTCCACACTTCCAGGTCATCTGTAGGCTGCTGGGCTACCAGGGCATCGCCGTGGTCATGGAGGAACTGCTCAAGGTTGTCAAGAGCCTGGTACGTGTCCCATGAGTGCCCTTCCTCCACCACAAAGCTTTGGATTTATCAGAGTGAGGGGGCAGGGAACAGGCCAGACTTCTCTGTGATCTTCTAACTGATGAAGGGTCCCTTTTTTTTTTTTTTTTTTTTGTAATTTAAATTTTTTTTTTCCATTTTTTTTATTTTAACATTGAAGGGGCTCATTTTAACTCTTAAGTGCTTCTGATCCTAAATCATTTGTTTTTTTCCTCCATCTTTCTTAGTTCATGAGAACGGATCCATGTTATTTTCATTCAGACAAGTTAACCACAATATTGCCTTACTTGTAAGAAAAGACTGCATTTTTACATAGAAGTATCTCCCCTCCTACCCTTCCCCCACTTTTCTGAAGAAACACTGCTGTTGCCCAGACTTGTCAAAAAAAACTGTGCTCTAGAGATAGAAGGTAGAAACCAGGCTGCATTTCAGTCAGCGAGTGCATAGAAGGAGACATTTCTGGGAAGATTCCCATTTCCATTTCTGAAATATCAGTTTTCTTAAAACACAGATTTCAAAGAAATACCTTTGCTGAGGGAAATGGAGCAGTACACACGGAGCTCTGAGCTGTTTCTGGGGAAGGGGTAGGTGGTTGGGCAGGGGGCTGCTGCTGGCAAAGCGTCTGACCTCAGCACAGCTGACTGGCGTTGATGAGGTGGACGACGTGTGCCCCTTGCCTGGGGGCCAAGCGTTAGGTCATGAGCCGAGGAGTCAGACACTCCTCTGTTTGACTTTAGGTTGAGGTCAGAAGTTATGTGTAGAAATTTTTTTTTAAGATTTATTTTTATTTATTTATGTATAGAAGAACTGGGGTGTAGGCAAGAGGTATGAGGGGTGAGAGGATTCACCAGAGACAGATTGGGGAGCAGAACAGGCAGACTGACTGAAACCCACTGCTGAGGGGAGCAGCAGGCGAGACAGGAGAGGTCTGCTGTGCCATGTGGGTCCCTGGCTGGGGATCGAACTCATGTCATGCCACAGTGGATATGATAGCTTGATAGCGCTGAGACTTTAACCCTGTGCCACCACGGAGGCCCCTTAGAAATCTCTTAAGTCTTTTTGAAAAGGGAAAGAGAATCATTTCTAGATTTTTTTTAAAGATTTATTTATTTATTTATACAAGGACTGGGTACAGTCAGAAGCGTGGGAGGGTGAGAGAATTCGCCAGAGCGGGGAACAGAACAGGCAGACTGACGAAATACACTGCTGAGGAGCGCAGCGAGCACGGCTGGAGAGGTCTGTCGCACCATGCGGGACCCTCGCCAGTGGCCGGGGATCGAACCGGTGCTGCAGAGGCTGCAGGAGGCTTCGCAGCCCAGCACTCAACCGTTGCGCCACCAGGGGAGACCCTAGATTTAGTCTTCTATAGGTGATTTATTTCTATTAACTAGGAGAGAACTTCATATAATCTTTGTCTTTATTTTTTTTCATTACTCATCTTTCCATGACTAAGCCCACATCTTTGACTTTATTGCCAAATATAGATTTTTCTTATCTTTCCTGTGATTCACATAGTAGCCAGGAGAAACCTTGAGACTGAATTTCTGGCAACCTCTTTAAAGCAGCTGTCCATCCAAAATGGTATGGTCATGAAGAGAGTAAAGCAAAGGCTGGTGGAATTTTGAGAAGCTTGCACATCTGTAACCATGTAGGTCAGGATCAAAAATCAATTAAAATGTAGAAGAGTTGACTCTTTGGCACAGTGGGGACTCTTTAACCACCCACACCCCCCGGCCCAGAAGGACTCCCAGCCAGAGCCTCAGTCCCCAAACACGTGGTAACTTGGAAGATGTTAGGAGCACAGGTGATGTGGTCCAAGGCTGGCACTGGACCACACCCAACAGAGGCATCTGGAACCCACAGTAGCATGTGGCTCCCCTGGGCCTCTGTGCTCATCCAAGCGCCCTGCCCACCTGCGGTCACCCCTTGCCCCCTAAAAGAGGAGGAGTGTGTTTTAGGGCGTATGGTTGGTGAGCCGTGTCGTCGCCCTGGCAGAGGTTGCTATCTGTCTGTGGGTAGGATTTCCTTTCCCAGCCAGGGCGCTTCTCAGTCCTGGTGGTGACTGTGCCCTCACCACGCGCTGGCCACAAGCTCCTGACAGTGGTGACTGGCCCTGACACCTGTGTCTCCCTCAGCTGCAAGGCACCATCCTGCAGTATGTGAAGACGCTGATGGAGGTGATGCCCAAGATCTGCCGGCTGCCCCGGCACGAGTATGGCTCTCCTGGTGAGTACAAGGGCCAGGCCCCAGCCTCCCCCTGGAGAGGGGTGAGCGTTAACAGGCCCCAGGAAAAGAAGTCAGTGCTAGGCCCATGTTGCCTGCCAAGGCTTGCGTGTACCTATCCTAGGTCATCTCAGAAAGTATCGCTCGTCATGAAATTGGGCTACAGGAACCCTGTCTCAACAAAACTGCCATTAGTTTTGTAGCTTTTTTTTTTTTCTTTTAAATGTTCATTGAAATTTTTTTTTTTTTTAAAGATTTATTTATTTATTTATACAAGCACTGGGTACAGTCAGAAGCACGGGAGGGTGAGAGAATTCACTGGAGCCAGAGCGGGGAGCAGAACAGGCAGACTGACGAAATACACTGCTGAGGGGAGCAGCGGGCGCGGCAGGAGAGGTCTGCGCGCCTGGAGTCTCATTTATTCTTGTAATGGGGTGCCTCCCTGGAAGATTAATGTTAAAAGAGAAAGAGGTGTTGGAATGGAGGCCCAGTTTCAGGAAAGGTGCTGAGGTACGGGCTGTGGCCGTCTCTGAGCATCGAGGCAGGGCCCAGCGAATGTCACTTGCCCAGCACACGAGCTCCCTGTTATGGGCCCCAGCTGCCCCTTCTGCGGCTCAGCCCCGTCAAGCCTCCCCACCCCAATGGTCACTCTGCTACCACAGGCATCCTGGAGTTCTTCCACCACCAACTCAAGGACATTGTTGAGTACGCGGAGCTAAAGACGGTGTGCTTCCAGAACCTTCGGGAGGTGGGCAACGCTGTCCTCTTCTGCCTCCTCATTGAGCAGAGCCTGGTGAGTGCTCAGCCCCCAAGCCCGGGGCAGAAGGTGCTGATGTTTATAATCCTTCCGGTAAGGGCTTTTGTGTGTAAGGTGAGATGTGGAGGAAGTTTCATTTTTCTGTCTGACATAACCAGTTATTCTTCCTCCAGTGGCTGAAGGCCCCCCACCCTTTCCTTGGGGTCACCCTGTTATTTGCCTACTTTCTGTGGATCCCCTGGTCTATCTTTGGACTTTCTGCCACATCCATTGGTCCACGTGTATGTCCGCCACATAAAAACATGTTGTCTCTCTTTATGGTTCTGACACAAGTCTTTTTATTTATTTATTTATTTTAAAGATTTGTTTATTTATGCATACAAGAGCTAGGGTACAGGCCAGAGGTGTGGGGGGTGAGAGGATTCACCAGAGACAGAGTGGGGAACAGAACAGGCAGACTGACAAAATACACTGCTGAGGGAGCAGCGGGTGAGTCAGGAGAGGTCTGCTGCGCCATGTGGGTAGCTCCCTGGCTGGCCGGGGATCGAACTCATGCTGCAGAGGCTGCGGATTGCTTCACAGTGCGGTGCTTAATCCCTGGCGCCATCAGGGAGACCCACGGATGTTAGTCTAGATAACATGTTCCCTACCTTCTTCTTCATGTTTATTGCCTGTCAGTGATCTTTGCTCTGCCTGGAAAGTTTGAGAATCTTGCCAAGCGTGTTGAAAAAGCTCACTGGCACTTCAGTAAGAATCACATTGCTCCTTTAGACCTACTTGGGGAGATCTTTGCTCTGTTGCTTTGTAAAGCAGCCTCTTGTTTTCAGGGCCTCCACTTTTGGCAGAAGCAGGGGTGTGCTCTGTGCCCACCGGGGCCGGGGAGCCCTGTGCACAGTTCAGGGCATGCCAGGCCGCTGGGGCCCCAGGGGCTGGACAGGCTACCACTGGCACAGATGAAGAGGGAAAATGCGCTGGCTCACTTGTTGGGGGTCTGAGATTGGTTGTGGACACGTCCAAGAGCTGACCACCTCCCATCAGGACCTGCGTTTCTCAATTTTCTCCTGTCATGGGGTTGCTAGGCAGATCCTGTCACCATGGAGACCCCAACTGGTCCCCACCACTCCTGAACTTAGTAGTCACATGTGGGTGGTGGGTACCGTACTGGACAGCACATACAAAGAACATTTCCACCATTCCGGAGGGTTTTGTCAGACAGTGCTTCCTAGAGGGTTTCTTTACACTCAGTGCCAAGATGCGCCTTGTTCTCTGCACCAGAGGCTCATGTGCTGTGGGATAAGATTCCTCACGAGATCTCTCTCTTTGTTCTAGTCTCTAGAAGAAGTGTGTGACCTGTTGCACGCAGCCCCTTTCCAGAACATCTTGCCGCGGGTACATGTGAAAGGTGAGCGTGCCCCTCTGACCTGGAGGTACAGGTGCATGGTCTGTGCGGCCAGGGCACTGACAGCATGTTTGAGGTTGGTGCTCTTTAGCCATCACTGGGAGTAACTGGAAGAGCATCTCTAGGCCTCTTCAAATGAATGTGGAATAGCTGAAAAAAAATTTTTTTAAGATTTATTCATGCAGAGCCTCCCCGGTGGCGCAGCATTTGAGCACTGGGCTGCAAAGCTGCCCACAACCTCTGCAGCGCCAGTTCAATCCCTGGACGCCAGCGAGGGTCCCACATGGCGCGCAGACCTCTCCTGCCACCTGCTGCTCCCCTCAGCAGTGTACTTTGTCAGTCTGCCTGCTCTGTTTCCCGCTCTGGCTCTGGTGAATTCTCTCACCCTCCCACATTTCTGACTGTACCTAGTGTTTGTGTAAATAAATCTTTAAAAAAAAAAAAAGATTTATTCATGAATACAAGAACCAGGATATAGGCGAGATGTGTGGGGGGGTGAGAGGATTCACCAGAGACAGAGCGGGGAACAGAACAGGCAGACAGATGAAATACACTGCTGAGGGGAGCAGCGGGTGAGACAGGAGAGGTCTGCCGCACCATGTGAGTATCTCGCCGGCCAGTCAGGATCGAACCCGTGCTGCAGAGGCTGCAGACAGCTTCACAGCGCTGCACCCAGCCCGCTGCGCCACCAGGGAGGCCCTGGCATTGCTGAAATATTTAGGACAGAAATGCTGTCTCTTGTAAAAAAAAAAGTGGTGGCGTTGGTCATCCTGTAGGAGATGATGGGTATTGATTACTTCTGGTTTTCGATAAGTTTTGAACAGTGACTATTGAGCAGATAATCCTTTCCATCAGTTTGAATTAAAATATCGAATGAGCCAGGTCTAGAAAGGTTTTAATGTAGAGTCTGCATATACATTCACTTAAAAATTTTTCTTCATTACTTTGCTTTGATAAAATTAAACTTCTGCAATAGTTTTTCAGACACAGGAAGAGTATAAAATATGTTTTCCACTGCAGAGGGAGAGAGACTCGATGCCAAGATGAAACGACTAGAATCAAAGTACGCCCCACTGCATCTGGTCCCCCTAATCGAAAGACTGGGGACCCCTCAGGTATGCATGCCGTGACCGCTGTCACTGGCGCCATTGGGCGTCCTCATTGGGCCATGGTGGGGTTGAGGCCAGGTGTGGGGGAGGCCACACGAGGTTGGACAGGCCACTTAGCCCCATAGGCTGCTTCTCAGGGTCAGAACAGGGCCTCTTCGTGGGGTGGTTGTGATGTGTGAATGAACCAAACGTGGGAAGGGCCCGGACCATCACCTGCACTGAGGTGTACCCAATAAAGGGTATTTGTTTCTATTGTCCATTCCTTCACGACGGAAGCTTTTTCATGGGTTTTTAGGAACAGAAGAAAGTGGGTGTCTCTGAGAAAGGGGGAAGGTGTCAGGGTAGAGTCCCGCTCTCCAGTGTCACCTGTGATCCTTCAGGGTTTCTCAGCCTCAGCGCTTTTGCCCTGTTGCACCAGGTAATTCTGTGTGCGGGGGCCAGTCCTGTGGGTTGTGGGATGTCTAGCCCTGCCCCTGGCCTCTACCCATTAAATGCCACCAGACCCACGCCAGGTTGTGACAGCCAGAAATGCTTCCAGAGTGTGCCAAGTACCCCCTGGAAGCAAGATCACGCTGTTGTATTGAACAGTTTTGACTGAAAATACCCAGTCTTGTAAGACATGTAGGTAATAGCTGACATACTTATTTTGTTGGTGCTTGTTTCTGTAAATCCTTTTCTGCAAGTAGAGATAGTTTCATGTTGAGTCAGAGACAGGACTGGAGTAGTGTGGTTCCAGCTCTTCAGCTTCCTCCCATGATCCATAATGTTCCATCCCTCATGCAGCAAATTGCAATAGCAAGAGAGGGGGACTTGCTGACCAAGGAGCGCCTCTGCTGCGGCCTGTCCATGTTTGAGGTCATCCTGACTCGCATCCGGACCTTCCTGGACGACCCCATCTGGCGCGGGCCCCTGCCCAGCAACGGGGTCATGCATGTGGACGAGTGCGTCGAGTTCCACAGACTGTGGAGCGCCATGCAGTTTGTCTACTGCATCCCTGTGGGGACACACGAGTTCACGGTCGAGTGAGTGGGTGTTCCTGGGGGCGGGCAGCAGCGGGCATTAGGCTAACAGAAGACCACATTCCTCTGGAAATGGGCCAGAAACTTGCTGAGCTGCTTTAAACCACTTCAGAGCAGTTCTTGCTTGACATCCCAAATGTGGCACAGGACTAAGCTTCTAGGAATCTCTGAAGCCAGGGAAACTTAAGCAAGTCGGGTGTGCGTTTTTGTGGAAGGAAAGTCCACACCTTCATGAAGTTAGTCATGGAGGGTCCATGATCTAAAGAAAGTTCAGGAAACAGTGCACCAGGAGGACCCCCTCGAGGTATTTACCAAACCAAGGACCACCACCGGCTGCTCAGCTTCCCCTTCCTGGCCCTTCCCAGCGGCTGCAGGGACTGGCGTGGGGGCGAGTGGCCTCTGGCTGACGGCTGGAGACGGACTCGTGAAAGACTTTGACTTTTTCTTAATCGCCATTTCGATTGCTCGTTTCCAGGCAGTGCTTCGGCGACGGGCTGCACTGGGCGGGCTGCATGATCATCGTCCTGCTGGGGCAGCAGCGGCGCTTTGCTGTGCTGGATTTCTGCTACCATTTACTTAAAGTCCAGAAACACGACGGCAAGGATGAGATTATCAAAAACGTGGTATGTGGAAGTTTCACCGAAGAGCTTGCCTTTTATTTATAGAAGTTAAAGTTTTCCTGGGGATGTTTGCCATCGCAGTTACAGAAGGTGCTGGCAGCTGACATTTTCTTCTCATTCACAAAATGATACTAACCGGAAGGGGTGGGTAAAGCAGGCTGGCGGGTAATGTATTCGTCGTTCTATTTTTCCTTTTCAAGGTACATAGATCTGTCCCACTTCATTTTTTCTTCAAAGATTTATTTTTATTTATTTATGCATACAAGAGCTGGGGTGCGGGTCAGAGTGCAGGGGGTGAGAGGACTCACCAGAGACAAGAGTGGGGAGCAGAACAGGCAGACTGACTGAAATACACTGCTGAGAGTCAGGGTGCTCCCCTTTATAGAGCTGTCCAGCATCTGCCTTCTCAGATGATGACATTCTATTGTAGTCTTCGGGCTTCCTTTGTTTCAGCCAGAGTGTTTTTTAACTGCTTTTAAAATAACGTGTGTCTTTTTGTGTATTCTTTGTAATTGTATTCAAGAAAATACTCAGCTATTATCTTTTCAAATATTTTAGCCTTTCTTGTTTTGGGACTTGACGATTAGACATGTTAGATCTTATTCTGGTCTTCACATCTCTCACCCTAGCGTAGCAATTTTCTATTACCCCCATAACAACTCTCCACAGACTTAGTGATTAAAAACACATCCACGTATTGGGCCTCCCTGGTGGTGCAGCGGTTGAGCGCTGGGTTGCGAAGCTGCCCGCAGCCTCTGCAGCGCCGGTTCGATCCCCGGCTGCTCCCCGGCCACCAGAGGAGGGTCCCACATGGCGCGCAGACTTCTCCTGCTGCCTGCTGCTCCCCTCAGCAGTGTACTTCGGTCCTTCTGCCTGCTCTGCTCCCCGCTCTAGCTCTGGTGAATTTTCTCACCCTCCCGCGCTTCTTACTATACCCAGTGTTTTTATAAATAATAAATAAATAAATCTTAAAAAAAAAAAACACACCCATGTATTAACTCAGTTTCTCTGGGCAAAAGTCTGGGTACAACCTGGCTCTGGGGCTTCCCTGCTTATCGTCTCAAATGGCCAAAATCAGTGTCCATGGGGCTCCTGGAGGCTACCAGCCCATTCAGGTGGGTGGCTGAATCCAGCTCCCTGGCAGTGGGAGGATGGAGGCCATTTCCTGGCTGGCTGTTAGCCCACATCACTTCTCTTGCTTCTTGTCCCGCTTCTGCTAGAGGAAGTTCTCTGCTCATGGGATGAGTGGATCCGCCTGGGTAATCCAGCATACGCTCCCAATCTTAAAATCCATAACCTGGGCCTCCCTGGTGACGCAGGGGTTAAAGTCTCAGTGCTGTCAAGCTATCGGCAGCCACTGAGGCATGAGGCATGAGTTCTATCCCCAGCCAGGAAGCTGACCCGTATGGCACAGCAGACCTCTCCTATGTTGCCCTCAGCAGTGTATTTCAGTAGATCTGCCTGTTCTGCTCCCCACTCTGTCTCTGGTGAATCCTCTCATCCCCCACACCTCTGGCCTGTACCCCAGTTCTTGTATGCATAAATAAACAAACCTTAAAAAAAATAAATAAAATCCACCACGTTAACCACATCTGCAAAGTCTCTTCCCTTTGTGAGAATGTGAAGGTTAACATTCACAAGCCCCAGGGGTTAGGGCACAGACATCTTTGAGGGGCCATTTTCTCTCTCACACCTTTTCCTTGACTCTCTGGGCTGTACCAAGTACCTTCTTCAGGTAGCTAATGATTTTAAAGATTTGATTGGGTTCTTCTTCAAATCTTAATTGATAATTTTATCTTCACTGAAGGTATCTCTTTTTTATTTCCTTTATTTTATATTCTTTTTTTTTGTGTGTGTGGGACCCTCGCCTGCAGCCGGGGAACGAACCGGCGCTGCAGACTGCGGGCAGCCTCGCAGCCCAGCGCTCAACCTCTGCGCCACCAGGGGAGGCCCCCTATTTTATATTCTAACCTTTAATTCTGGTAGGGTTACCTAAAACTCTTAAGTTTTGTTTTTTGTGGTTTTTTTAGACTATTTGATTGAACTTAATTTGCTTTTCTCTGATTACTTTCACTTATGTTTCATCTACGGGGGCTGTTAGTAACCTGGGGCCACTTTAGCCTAATTAGAGGGTTCTAGCTCTCTGAGGAGTTTGCATGTGTTGTCCGTCTTGCTCAGGCAGGGCCCGGAGAGCTCTGCGGGCCCTGCTGCTGTGGGAACCCGTGCCTGAGGAAGTCCTGGCTTCTGCTCTACCTCCTGCGTATCCTTTTAGAAAACCACGTGTTTTTTGGTTTTTGCTGTTCTGTGTATGTGTTCTTTACCCTGTTCTATTATAGGACAATCTGTCAAAACATCCTAAGTAAACCGAGCACTGAAACTTAGTTTACTGGTTTTTCCCCACTGACCACATTATCGTAATCTTCCCAGCTTTTAGCACAGGTTCTTAATACCCATTTGTTGAATGAGTAAGGCTGTATAAATGGGACAAACAAGACTCTCCAGTTAGTAGCATGAAACCAACAGAGAAATGTGTTCAAATGCAGAAATAGATTCCTTGTCCCAGTAAGCTGCCTAAGAGGGTAGATGTCAAGTTTGCAGTCATTTTTTGAGAAAATATTAAAATACTGATTTTTAATTATGATAGCCTTTGAAGAAGATGGTGGAGAGAATTCGCAAGTTCCAGATTCTGAATGATGAGATAATCACTATCTTGGACAAATACTTGAAATCAGGCGATGGGGAGAGCACACCTGTGGAGCACGTCCGCTGCTTTCAGCCACCCATCCACCAGTCCCTGGCCAGCAGCTGAGGGCAGTCACCTGTTCTCGAAGATTTCCCCGTACTGACTGCATTTAATAACTGTAAGGGCATGTTTTCCTTTCCGTAAACTATGTAGTGAGGTTTTTAGGGCTATTTTTCAGTATCTCTGTGCAAGGGGGTGCTTTTCAATCTAAAAGCTTAATTTTATAAAATTGACTTATTTTTCTAGACTAAAATTGTATATGCTTTTGGTAATTAGAAACTGAGACTACTGGCTGCTAATAGTTGCTGTCATGTTCTTACAAAATTATTTCCCATTTTTCTATGGAATGTTCCAAAAGCTAGCTGTGTCATAAAGTGCTGCTGGGCTCATCCACTCCTCCCATAGCAAAGGGTCAGTAATGTTCAAGGAGAGATTTATGGACTTAAACAAGGAATTTACTACCAGCTAATTGTAATGAAACCCTGTGCTGATTAGAATTATTTTGCTTCTGTTTAGGGAATTTTTTGGTGTCTTTTATGAATAATCTTTTCTAAGTCCTTGTTCCCGTCCCTTTTTCGTGTCAGTGTTTGAGAAAAGTGAATGAAATTCTTTGACTCCAACTAAACCCAGTTGTGACAAAACCTAAATTGTGAGGTATGATTTATTAAAGATTAAAGAAATAAAACTAATGAAACCTCTAGTGTTCATTTCCTCTGATCCTGTGCCCAGGACTTGGGCAGGTTTCTCTATTTACCTGAACGCACAGACTGAATGCACTAGACTCAGAGCGCAGAGTCTAGGTTACCTGCAGCCTGGAGTGAGACTAGATCCAGAGAGGGAGTAATGTCCCTATGCCTTTGGAAACAGCACTGAAGTCCAGGAACATCGCACTTGCTACAGATCACAGAATCTATGTGTTGTACTGCTTAACCTTGAGTTCTGTGAAATGGTACTTGTTTTTTAATTTTCCCTTTTTTTTTTGTGTGTGGGACCCTTGCTGGAGGCCGGGGATCGAACCAGCGCTGTAGAGGCTGCGGGCAGCCTCGCAACCCAGCGCTCAACCGCTGCGCCACCAGGGGAGGCCCTTTTAATTTTTCTTTCTAAAAATGTTGCTTTAGGTGAAGTGAACTAATAACCCTGGGGCCAGTATTCTGCTACTACAGATAAAGAGGTACTATCTGTGCTCACCCTATACTGAAAGTATAGAATGATGAAAATTTAAGATTAAGGACTAATTTAAATAGCTCATATTACTGAGTTTTGTAAGATTTAATTATAAACCACAATAAAATGTAATAAAAATTTATGTACAACACAATTTCAAGTGCTGTGAGATGGTAATTAAAAATTTATCATTATTAATCTGTGCATTCTCGATTAGGGCAATTATTACCCCCAAGGGGGTGAAAATTGGTTTTTACTCAATTCTGAACAAAGCACAGATAGAGGTACAGTACATAAATATACAATATATCTGTGGTATTAAAATTACATGAGTTGAGGCAATTAGAAAAAAAAGTCTAAAAATAATGGGGGAAAACATTTATGTCATGAAACTTAGAGACTCAACTTTGCCCTGATAAATCCAGCGGAGATCTGTGTCTGATATTAATGCCATCAGTCATCATGTGAGGACCCCATGCCCCCCCCAAACAAGGACAGTGAGGGGCCGGCAGTGGCTGGTTATAGAGCAGGGTCAAGGTCAACCACTGTGAATGACCTAGGGTGGAAGCAGTGGCGTGGGAACAGCCCGTGTTCTTCCACTACCCACGAGGACACGAATTTGGTCAACGTTTTTTTTTTTTTAAGGGCCATTAATTTGCTATGAATGGATCGTTCTGAAGTTGCTTGGAGGTCACCGTACAATGGTACATTTTTTGCATGTTTGAAGTTTTCCACTAAGTATTTTTCATGGATGTTTTTAAAAGACCAAAATACACAGAGTTCTAAACAAACTCTTAAAGTAAAATACTTGGTACAAAGAAGCCATATTTTACAAACATTTTAAGATTGTTCTAAGCATTCAGACTTAGAAAAGAACTTTACTTTCTTTATTATAGGCTAAATTTAAGAAACTCCCCCTGGTCTTCTAGGGTAGTTAGAAGATCTAAATGACGGTAACTCATGAAAATATATTGAAAAATACAAAAGTTGAAATAAAATGGTAATCAACTTTCCAAGTATCAAGCTTAGAGTAGCCAAGAAATAAAACCATCCAGGCTGCAAAGCAGGAACTCAGACTCAGGTGGGTGGGTTCCATTAGGTGCCATCTAGAAAGGCCCTCAAATGCGTCTCCTTCATTCATTCAATAACTTAAGATTCTCAAAACTGTCATTTTCAAAATTAAAATCACTGAATTGGGAGCCATTTTTCCAAGTAAGGTGTGTGACAAGATACTGTGCTAAGAAATTTCATTCTTTTTTAAATAAAAAGGCCTTAAAATGGTCAGGGATTGATGAAGTGGGGATGACAAATGTACATTTCAGACTTTCATCACCAATGAAAAAATAAAGCACTTTTATAGACTTAAAACTCATTAATGCATTTAGATTTTGGTGAAGGAAAGTTTTAAAATACCCCCCAATAACAACAGAAATTGGCCATGTACTGAGGTCATTTTAGTGGGCTACCGTCATTTAAATATAAGAAAAGTAATTTCTTGGTCCCAATTAGCGAACCCTTAAAAAAGATTGTCTCTGGAGAACATTGAGGACAGTGCTTCTCAGACACATTCTGATAATCAAATTCACTTTATAACAGAATTCTATATTAACATTACATCCTTCTCAAAAAGAGAAAGATTTCCATTTCTTCGAGAGATATTTTCACCAGTGTGTTGTTCAATTCCACAGGTTAAGCTTTCTTCATCATTATTAAGAACTTCATACATATTAGAGAGATTGCCATTCATTGCTTTTTCGTCTTTTCGAAAAGACACAGGCAGGCTTGCTAGACTAAAGCTGACGTCTTTAAAGGCATGCAACAAGAATATTCCCAGAATGATTGTGAAGAAGCCACTCAAAGTACCAATGACATCATCAACAGGCATATCTTGCCACTCCTTAAAAAGAATAGCTGAACAAGTTAAAACTGATGTTGTAAAGAATACATAATATATTGGAGTCACGATGGAAGTGTTGAATATATCCAGCGCCCTGTTCAGATAATTAATCTGTGTGCTCACACAGACTATAAGGCTCAGCAGCAGAATCCAGGCCAGGGGTTGACGCAACACAGGCTTTCCAGCAAACAGCTCTTTGATAGCAATGCCCAGGCCCTTCGCACAGGAGACTGAGAATGCCCCAATCACAGAGCAGATAGTTATGTACACGAGAATGTTTGTCTGTCCATGGCGAGGTCCCACCACGCAGATTAATATCAAGGACACAATGACCACAAGTGTGGCAAAGATCACAAAACCTAGAAAAGGCAGAGAAAATTTCTATTTAGTCAAAAGTTTAAGTGGGGCCTCCCTGGTGGCGCAGGGGTTAAAGACACAGCACTATCAACCTATCACCAGCCACTGCCATGTGAGTTCAATCCCTGCCCAGGGAGGTGACCCACATGGCACAGCAGACCTCTCCTGGCTCGCCCGCTGCTCCCCTCAGCAGTGTATTTCAGTAGATCCGCCTGTTCTGCTCCATACTCTGTCTCTGATGAATCTTCTCACCACTGCCTACACCCCAGTTCTTATATGCATAAATAAATAAAAATAAATCTTAAAAAAAAAAAAGCATCTAACACAACAGACAGAAACTGATTCACATTTAAGCACGTTAGTGGGTAATTTCAGACAAGAGCAGAGGATATCCTAACAGTTTCTAACGACAAAAGATGACAACATACAAAAGATAAAGAATCAACATAAGACAGACAATAAAGTCGCAGTAAAATGAAGATATTCTGACATACACAAACTCCCAAAAATCTCTTCTGTGTCTTTGTCTCCTATAAGAGTGGCTCAACCAAAACAAAGGGGCAAACCCAGGATCAGAAGATAAAAGATCTAAGAAAAAATAAAAGTTGAAGGGGATCTCCCAGGATGCTGGTGAAATAAAATCCATGACAACTGTGGTAGAGACCCCGAGACACCAGTTTAGACTGAGGACTGAAACACATGCTTTGGCTAAAAAGATTTCCAAAAGAAAACCTACTGTGGGCCTCCCCTGGTGGCGCAGTGGTTGAACACTGAGCTGCAAAGCTGCCCACAGCCTCTGCAGCGCCGGTTCGATCCCCAGCTGCTCCCCAGCCACCGGAGGAGGGTCCCACATAGCGCACAGACCTCTCCTGCCGCCCGCTGCTCCCCTCAGCAGTGTACCCTTGGTCCTTCTGCCTGTTCTGCTCCCCGCTCTGGCTCTGGTGAATTCTCTCACCCTCCCGCGCTTCTGACTGTACCCAGTGCTTGTATAAACAAATAGATAAATCTTTAAAAAAAAAGAAAGAAAACCTAGTGTTCTGTAAGTTAGTGACAGGAGAAATAGACCAGTGGGGAAGAGCTTCAGGATTTCTGATACATTCATAAAAAACTAAGCAAAAAATGATCAAAAGTCATGCAAAAAAGGATAAGTATTGTGTATCGAGAATGAAAGTTCTGTAGTGAACTCAACTATACTGAAAGATGAACTCTTTTTGTATAGAAAACTCCGTGGTTAGAACTGGAGGGGACTGTGCTAAGCGAAGTCAGTCAAGAAGAGAAAGACAAGTATTGGATGGTGTTTGTTACATGTGGAATACAGAGAAACAAAACAAAGGGTCAGATAAAGCCCAACCAATGACAAACCCTAGAAAGCTACCAGAGGGGGGAGAGCAAAGTGGGCAGGGAGCACAATGGACAATAGTGGAGGACTATGGGTGTCTTGATGGTGGGTGAGGTGTGGTAATGACACGTGAAGAGGGTGATCCTTTACCTCTAAATCATACACAATGTTGTCAACTGGTGTTATCTCAATGAATAAGTCAGGCAGTAAAAATAAGTAAACACCTTAAACTGAACAGACAGAAGAGGTAATGCCTAAAGTCAAGGAAGAAGTAGTAACATAAGCAAATTGTCTAGAAACACAGTTACAGACTAGAAAAAACAAGGAATTAGGGGCTAGGGCAAGGAGAGGAAAACACTGATCAGGTAAAATAACTTACCTCTTTATGTGGCTAAAGATTAAAAAGTAAAATACTATAGGACTAATAAACTTCCCTTTTAGTTCTTACCCGGATCTCCTAGCTTGTCAGACATTTCCTTTAACGTCTCGATCTCCTCCTCTTTTGGAGCATGAATAACCATAACTGTGGATCCTAAAATACTTAGCAAACAACCAATTTTCCCATGAAGATTAAGTCTTTCATTTAGAAAGTATGAAGAGAGAATGGCACTAAAATAGAAAGACAGAGAACATTAAAATTATCAGCAACTTTTTTTCATTATTAAATATCAAAGCAACCCAGAATTTAAATTACTGAACTCAAAATAGAGTACTGTGAACTTAGGAAGAGTCTGGCTTTGAGCTAAGGTAAAGAAAATGCACACTCATTCATAAAATGAAAGTTTCTCAGGGACTGCCTGCATCACTATACACCAAACCAGTAGAGTGACCATCTTTCTACCGTAGAAAGCCAATACAGCAAGGCTTTGTACAATTTTACTACCTAATTAAGATTTTTTTTTTTTTGTTGGACCCTCGCCGGCAGCCGGGGAACGAACTGGCGCTGCAGAGGCTGCGGGCTGCCTCGAAGCCCAGCGCACAACCGCTACACCACCAGGGGAGGCCCTAATTACTATTTTACATCCAAGACAATAGTTAAAATTTGTTCATCTTTAATTTATCCCTACTGCTTGATGCATCCTTCTTAATATGTTTATGTAATTCTTTATAATTTGACTACTAATTAAGTCCTCAAGTTTTAATACTTTATAGCTTATTTTAGCCAAATCTAAGAATACAGTGTAAACTTTTAAGAATGGCAAAATACACAAAAAATTAAAGGTAAAACACATGTACCATAATATATATCCTTCCTTACTTGTATCTTGAAAAATTATATAACATGTATTTTTTTTAATATATATATAAATGACAGAATGCCAGATTTTGGAAATAGTAACCAAAATCCAAATCTCACTGTGGGTTTAGTTTTTGAGCTAGCCACTAAAATAATAGAAAGTGTGTAACCGCTCCTTCCAAACAAGTGCCCAGGGTGACTGTTCAGGATCCCACCCATCAATGATTTTCTGTAGTGGGTATAGTCTATCCATCACCAACAGTCACCTACAAAAGCACACGTGTCAAATGATCAATATTTTAACAGGCACAACTTAGAATTTAAAATATTTCAAATTAAAGTAGAATTATTGCTGGTTGTAATTACAAGCAAGACAAAGCAAAAAGGAACTTTCTCCCACAAACTGGCAGCTTACCACGCACAGAAGGTAACTTTTTACAAGCAAATTATTACTCAACATTAAAAAAAGTCCTTAAGGTTGTTTAAATTATGCTGACCATGTGTAATCAAATGGCACTGAGTGTTTTTCAGATTGAAATGCCGACTGCTGCTTCTACACCAGAAGCGTGATGTCCTTACCTTACTAAGACACTGAGAGCTCCTAGTGGTGTCACTAGGGTGGCTGGTGCAAAGGCGTACGCAGCAAAGTTGGCCACCTCACCTGCTCCCACTAGGATGGACAAAAAAAAAAACCTCTCAGATATGACCATATTTACTCAAAATGGAAATGTCTACATTTACTCACATATTGTTACATAATACTTCAATTATATTAGGTACTTTCTTATTTTCTCCCACCTATTCCTAAGGGATCTCCTGTAAGTTATCAACATTCAAGTACACACCAATTAGAAATGACACAAATCTACAATTTTAATTGAAGAGATCTAATTTATGCTTGCAGGTAAGTTTAACAGAAAATTTTAATAGATATTTATATCCTTGGACAACAACTGCAAATCAATTAAAAGCAGTGAAAGTCTCAAGTCTTTTTCACTGACTCTACTTTTATTTAAAAACATCGCCCAAAATATCTTCACGGGTACCTATGTGCCAGGTGCCATTCTAGGAACCGAAAATACAGCAGGGCAGCAAAACCAAGACACTGCTTTCATGAAACTTCTATTTTAGTGAGGGAGGACAGACAAACAAGTGCATGTCCAGTGCGCACGGTACCATGAAGAAAAGCTAAGGGAGGGAAGGACTAAGGTACCTGGCAAGAGCACTCTGATGGGAACCTGACCAGTGGGCTATGATTCGGGTTTCACTGCAAGCTGTCTGGGGGAAGCACCCCACGAAAGGAGAACAGCAAGTACAAAACCCTTACTCAAGACCATGTCTGGCACGTCTGAAGGCAAGTAAGCCAGTGACAGGAGAGTCACAGCCACATCACAGAGGATGCCTGTGCGATCAGGAAAGAATTTCATCAGTTGAAAAGTCACTGGAGAATCGCATACCAGGCAGGAACTGATCTCTCTGTTTTCCAAAATGGTTATGCCAGGTTTCACTTAGCAGTGTATGACAGCTCCGCGTTCCAGTCTCCTTAACACTTGCTGTTGTCAAATTTGAACAATTGCTATGCTGTTCACAGAGAACTGGTTACTTTATTATGCTTTTAAATTTGCATTTCCCTATCTTTTCTCAGATTTATAATGAAGCGTATCCCATTATTTTTAAGTATAGCAGGTGGCAATGTAAACATTTCATTTTTTAACTGTTGATGATATATATAAGTACAACTGAGTTTTTACATGTTTACTTTGTATCTAACAATGTTGCTCAATCTTTATAATCTCTATATATATATTCTTTGGATTTTTATAACCACTATCACAAAAGGAACTTACATATTCCTTTCTAATTTCCTTTCTTCCCTTATTGTATTGGCTTGAAATTCCAGTAAAACGTTGAAAGAATGATAAGGTCATTTACTTATTCCAGTTTCAAGAAGAAAGCCTTTAATATTTCCCTATTTTGGTACTAATTGTGTGATTATTTAGTTTGGTTTTGTCTTAGAAACCCTTTATAATATTAAGGATATTTACTTATTTATTTGAAATGGTTTCTTTGTAATCATGAATAGTTGCTGAATTTTACAGAAACAGTCATGTAATTCTGCTCCTTCAATTTCATGGCTATTATAGTAATTGGTTTTCCAAAGTTATACCAACATTGCATTGCTAGGGTAAGTCTAACTTGCTTGAGGTATTATGTTATTTAGAGAAATATTCCACTTTTCTATTTCCTCTTCAGTCTTGACAGATTTTACTTTTCTAGAAATTTGTCTACTTTACCTAAGTTTTTATACTTACTGGAACAAAACTGTTCATCCAGTTAAAATCTACAACACCTGAACTACAACATGAGATTAAATCAAGTACCGCTAACAATTCCACCTTCTCTTTTTCTTGATCAGTTTAAATTTGTCAATTCTGACCATATACTAATTAACCTTTGTTTTCCACTTAAATAAATTTAGCTCTTCTCTGTATTTATTTACATCATACTGCATTCTGAGGTTTATTTTCACCATTCTTGTCCTATAATTAGATACTTCACCTTTCTTATTTTCAATTCTGTGTATTTTAAACCATAAATTTTACTGTAATTACTTCAGTTATACGCCACAAGTTAGGATATTTTGTATTTGGCACCAACATATTATTTTCATTAAAAAATAGGATTTAGTTTTAAAATACGCTAGTAAGGGGAGACTATAATTATACCTGCAAACATTTCAATATATAACTGTGTTTTCCTGCAACATTCTCCATACTTACTTGATAGCAGTCCAGCCCACCACAACCATTCTTTAAGATATGCATGGCCACCTTGACCTGCGAATGAAAAATCATTTCACTTCTTTGGAAAACCAGTAGACTCTTCTATAAATTATGCCAACTTTCAGTAATGACAGATTTAAAAGTTATCTCACTTGTTGACTATTACAACTTTAAATAAAGGTTTCATCATGATTATATGACAGAGTTTCTCAGATAATTTTTTTATCTTAGAAAAGGAAATATGAAAATGTTAAGTGAAGGAATTAAATTAATCCTTACATTCAAATCATACTTCATTCTTTTGTAAACTCAGCTTCAATAAAGTAAAGGGAATGAACCAAAAAGAAGTAGCCAAACTTCAAATTAATTAGTCTGAAAGCAGGTAAGTCATTTAGGTGTGGGGAAGCTCATTTATGAGGAAGCACACTTGGAGAATGGGGTCCTATAATGACCAGAAGTAAGACTGAGCACTGCTCATGGTCTGGGGCTAATAAGGATGCTCATCGTTCTTTCTCTCTGGAACTCCCTCCCAACTAAACTAATAATAAAATCAAGCAATCAGTACTCAAACCAGTGTTCAAAAGAGAAAAACCAGTGCAAGCAAACTGACCATGGACAATCAATGTCTGCCTTACACCCATGAATAAGGGATATACTTTTTCAAGCAGTGCATGCTAATACTCTGTTCTGTCCCGTAAACTCCAGTAAAGGCTAATTGTTTCAAGACTGCCTTAGTAAGTTTGGTCACAGAAAAGGCACTGGGGAGAGGGAAAAGTTGGTATTTTTCACTGCCAAAGCAGGTCTCCCCATAGGTCAGAACCACATTTAGAATTGAGGCAGACTAACTGATGGCACATAGCATATAACACAACAGAATGCTGGAGTTCTGAAGGCACCAAGTGAAGAAATCAGAGTGACAGTTAATCACCCCCAGTCTTGTGACTCATCAGCAGTTTATGGAGAAACAACTTGTATCACCCTTTAGAAGTTCATTGAACTGAGTACTCTTCAACCCAGGGAAGTCCTGTCTTTCCTTCCCACCCATGAGATCATCAGGAAAATTGTCTAGGATAAAAGCCAGAACTTCTATTATAGACGAAGATCCTAGCCGTTAATAAGATTGCTTCTATTCTTCCTTCCTTCTTGGAAAATACATCAAAATTTAAAAAAAAAGGCTAAATGCTACCTGGGCTTCAGTCCCTATTTCCACTGTCGTTAAACATAAACAATCTCTTTACTTTTCATTTTTCTCATTACAAATCAACACTTGATTCTCTACAAACATCTACAAGCTCTTGCACAGGCTCAATATGCACAGTAGAAATGAAGATAAGATTTTCAGTTACAGAGTCTGAGTACATTAAGACACATGGTATCATTCAGAGTCACACAGGGCACCACCTACCTGCTCTCATGGAGCCTTTCCTGGCAAGTCGCAGAAGGCCTTTTTTTTTCAAAATGAAACTCCCTCCAATGAAAATGCTGGAGCTCATAGCCAATCCCAGACCAATATAAAAGTCATATTTTCCACGCCCTTGGGTCATTTCGTTTGTTACTTAAGAAGTTCCTGTGAATCACATTGATCACAAAACAGAGAAATTGCTGGTGCTGGAGGCAAGATGACCTACTTTTCAAATCTACAATGCAAAAAAAAAAAAAAATGCAAGTTTCAGAGAACGAACATGATAGCTCACTCACATGTAATTCAATTTTTACTCCATTTTTCATAAAGGAAGAGTATCTTCTCTATAATTACAACTGATAATACACTTATTTAAAGGGCCTCCATGGTGGCACAGGGGTTAAAGACACAGCGCTATTAAGCTGTCGCCAGCCACTGCAGCACGAGTTCCATCCCCGGCCAGAAAGAAACCCACATGGCACAGCAGACTTCTCCTGTCTCACCTGCTGCTCCCCTTAGCAGTGTATTTCAGTAGATCTGCTTGTTCTGCTCCCCACTCTCTGGTGAATCCTCTCACCCCCACCCTCCGCCCCCACACCTCTGGCGTACAACCCAATTCTTGTATGCATAAATAAATAAATCTTTTTAAAAAATACACTTATTTAAATTTCATGCTAATCTAATTATATTTCTTTTATTTATGACAAAAGATGAGATCATGACATAAAAAACATCTTTAAAAACAGAAGTCGCAGACAGAGACATTGGTGGTTGCCAGAGACAGAGGGTGAGGAGTGGTGGGGGGAAGTACAGGTGAAGGTGGTCAAGGGTACAAACCTCTAATGAGATACACCTATTGGGGCACAGAGGAAGAAGGCAGATTTCACATTATTTTCTCAGCAGAGGATGAGTCTACAGACAGATGTTTGTGGTTCTGTTGGACTTTTTTTTTTTTTTAGTATGTACAAGGACCGGTGTACAGGCCAGATTCGTGGGAGGGTGAGAGGATTCACCAGAAACAGCGGGGAACAGAACAGGCGACCGAATGAAACACACTGCTGAGGGGAGCAGCGGGCGCGATAGGAGAGGTCTGCCGCACCATGTGGGACCCTGGCCGGCTGGCCGCATTTGGCCGGCCAGGATGAAACCCGCGCTGCAGAGACTGTGGACAGCTTCACAGTGCTGCTCTCAACCACCTGTGCCACCAGGGGAGGCCCTCTGTTGGACTTTTTAGAGAACATGAGGAGGACATACTGCTAGAGGGGTCAAGCCCCAATACTAGATGGAGAGCAGAGGCTTTCCAAAGACGGCAAGTTTCTTCCCAAATGGCCAATTCATGAACTCTGCTGACAAATGAACTAAAGCAAAGTGTAGGAAGCAGAAGAAAAAACTATTCAGCAGTAACCTGCCAGTCCAACTTTATGCCATGTCTTGAGATTTTCAGACCCACAATTTAATTAAAGCTAATCTGCAATTCAGGCAGGATCCTCACTGACAAGCCAGTTTTTCCATTCTTCAAGTTTTCAGGTTATGAGACTCACTTTTAACCAAAGCAACTTCACTTCCTCTCCATCTAGTCCCTCAATTACTTTATCCACCCACTCAAATGGTATTTACTGAGCATAGGCTATGGACATAAATTTAGACTAAGGTCTCTGGATAAAATCTTTTAATCTTCAATGGGGAAGCAGATAAGAACAGTTAGATAGGGGCAGTAAGTACCGTGCTTGTGGTAAATAGTATTACCACACTGATCAACATTTCAGATAAAAGAGCCATTGTTTGTTTTGCCTGATGAGATATTCAATACATCATGGTTCCAATAGCTCCCTAATTTGTGGCTTGGTCAGGTGTCCTGCTTTGTGCAACAGGAGGCAGGAATAAGTGACAGGTGCCCATTCCAAGGCTAGGTCTAAGAGGCCCCGTCTACTTCTTTGCCCCTCAGCACTCTGCTATCACCACATGAAAAGCAAACCTGAGTCATCACTGCTGACCTACTGACCTGCGAACATGACCTTATTGCTACATGCCACTGAGATAGCTGCCTGGCACAACTGACTAGCTTTTTATGGGTAAATATAAGATTCCCATTAGATTTTTAAAAAACTTGTCTGCAGAAAATGGGAATCACTATTAAAGATAGGTGTTAGGGGGCCTCCCCTCGTGGCACAGCGGTTGCGCGCTGGGCTGCAAAGCTGCCTGCAGCCTCTGCAGCACCCGTTTGATCCCCGGCCGCTGGGCGAGGGTCCCACATGGCGCACAGACCTCTCCTGCCGCCCGCTGCTCCCCCCAGCAGTGTACTTTGGTCCTTCTGCCTGCTCTGCTCCCCGCTCTGGCTCTGGTGAATTCTCTCACCCTCCCATGCTTCTGACTGTACCCAGTGCTTGTATAAATAAATAAATATATCTTAAAAAAAAAAAAAAAAGATAGGTGTTAGGCACATCAGGGCTCACTGTATTCACTTTTAGGTATATTTGGACATTTTCATATTAATATTTTTAAAACACACAGTACAGGCTCAAGAGTTTCTAGATTGGCATCCAGAAATCATTAGCAAGACCCAAAATCAAGGTTACTTCAATATCTAAATAATACTGAAACAGGGAAATTAGATAAAACGCAAGTAAAGGAAGTAGTCTAAGTTTTTATGTTAGTCACATACAAGATGGATAAGATTAAATGTCTACTTGAAGCCATTACAGATCTGATCTATCATCAATGATTGGGGAAAAGTAGATCCAATCATCCCAATGGCCTAAGGCAAGAAATACACTGAGATAAGTTCTGGGATGGGGGGGGGGGGAGGGCGGGGAGTGGAGTCCCAGTTCTGCCTCTAGCTGGGTGTATGACCTTGGAGGAGTCACAACCTTAACAGACATTGAGATAAGTAGAAAGAAAAGCTAAACAAGATATAAGGTCACTAACATTTTAATTTAACCTATGCCTTCTGGGGCCTTCCTGGTGGTGCAAGGGGTTAAGATGCAAACTATGAAGCTGTCCACAGTCTCTGCAGCACAAGTTCAATCCCCAGTGGCCAGGGAGCAATCCACATGGTGCAGCAGACCTCTCCTGACTCGCCCGCTGCTCCCTTCAGCAGTGTACTTCGGTCAATCTGCCTGTTCTGTTCCCCCCTCTGTCTCTGAATCTTCTCACCTTCCTGCACATCTGGCCTGTACCCCAGCTCTTGTATGCATAAATACACAAATCTTTAAAAAAAATTAAAAAAAAAGCTACTGCCTTCTTTAAGTGCCAAACATTGGTAACTTCAAGCCTCAACTTTGGCTTTCCTGGAGTAGGTCTAGATAGAACCTCATTGTGACAACCAGTTTGTAGAGAGGGTTAAACAAAAGCTGAGGAGGAAGTAGAGAATGTGGGGATATTTGGTTAGGGACAAGCATTATTTCTATACGCTAGTAAGCACCGAAAGTGTGCTTACCCTATCTCTATCACATGCCACATCACTTGTTTATCACTTGTGTCAACTTCCTGCACATGAGTCACCTTATTTATCCTGTGCACCTAGCTAGTTCGGTCTCAAAATAAATCTTAATATGTTTTCTGGGTGAACACAGATGAATGGAGTGGTATTTAATTGACACCAAAACATAAAGTTGCCTATTCTTCACTGGCCATTCATAGAAAACCACGGTCCATTTAAAAGGTTATTAAAGCATTCTGGGAAGTGACAGCACTACATACAAATGAAAATACAAAGATAAAAGTAATAAGGTCTGGGGGCCTCCCTGGTGGCACAAGGGGTAGAACATAGACTGTGAAGCTATCCGCAGGCCCTGCGGTGCAAGTTTGATCCCCCAAACCTCTGGTCTCTACCCCAGTTCTTGTAATCATAAATAATCTTAAATATATATATAGGGCCTCCCTGGTGGCGCAGAGGTTGAGCGCTGGGTTGCGAATCTGCCCGCGGCCTCTGCGGCGCCGGTTCGATCCCTGGCTGCTCCCCGGCCACCAGAGGAGGGTCCCACATGGCGCGCAGACCTCTCCTGCCGCCCGCTGCTCCCCTCATCAGTGTACTTCAGTCCTTCTGCCTGCTCTGCTCCCCGCTCTGGCTCTGGTGAATTCTCTCACCCTCCCGCGCTTCTGACTGTACCCAGTGCATGTATAAACAAACAAACAAACAAACAATAAATAAATAAACATGCCTCTATTAAAAAAAAAAAAAAATATATATATATTTAAAAAGTAGTAAGGTCTAAGAAAATGAGAGTAAATAAGCCTAGCTATCAAAACATTTCATCCCATGTGGCTGGTATATCAAAGGTCACCTAACTTTCCTCAGGAAGCAATGACTATTTAATATTCCAGGGTTCATAAATCTTCTTTCCGAAAATTGAACAGAACAAAATAATTTATAGTCTGAATTTTCTGCTATCAATAATGTGGAATTTTATTATCTACAAAGAAGACACCTAAGAAACAATTCAGATTTATCTTCAATTGCAACAGCAATATAATGACAGTCTCATAAATCTGAATTCAGACTTATATAAACCTGTCTTTTTAATAGCAAATATATAAGTATTTACTAGTAGTGTAACTTTCACTAAGTGCAAGTTATGTAGACATGTGGTATAATTTTCTTAAAATTAAGAACCAATATTAAGGACTACCTTTGACGTCTGGTGAAATTGGGAGGGCGCTCCCTGTCCTAATCACCAGTTCCTCTCCCCATTCTGCTCCTATTTTAGGAAGCAGGCACAGTTCCTGCTTTTTCCTGAGTAGTGGGCTTCATTGCTCTGCCAGTTCATAGGATATTAGAGCAAGTCAGTCATATCTCCCTACAGCAGTCAAGGGGCACCTCAAACTCCTTTCACCACAGAGCCTGTCTTCCAGTCCCAGGTCCTTAGCTCTGCCACATCCAGTGTGGCTCTACATGATGTGCATATCCTCCCCCAGCCGAGTATAAATGGTTGATAAACCATCCTCCCTCTCCTTTGTCCAGTGTCACAGGAAGGGAATCCCCTCTCACCAAGGTAAAAGAGAGTAATTAAAAAAGCAATTATAGGGCCTCCCTGGTGGCGCAAGGGGTTAAACACTGCACCATGAAGCAATCCGCAGCCTCTGTAGCACAAGTTTGATCCCTGGCTGGCCAGGGAGCAACCCACATGGTGCAGCAGACCTCTCTTGTCTCATCCGCTGCTCCCCTCATCAGTGTATTTCAGTCAGTCTGCCTGTTCTGTTCCCCACCCTGTCTCTGGTGAATCCTCTCACCCCCACATCTCCAGCCTGTAACCCAGCTCTGTATGCATAAATAAATAAATCTTTAAAAAAAAATTTTTTTAATCATAATTTTATCCTAAGATTACTTAAAGTGATTGTTCCTACCTTTATTATGTTTATATCAATTTTAGACTTACTTATTTTACATAAGGTTTCATGATGCTATTTAAAATCTACTTTCCTTTTTATTTTTACCTATTATGGAAATATTCAAACACACACTAGAGAAAAGGCCTTTTTCTGACCAGTTGGCTTTGATGAGTCCCCACAGTGAGAATTAAACTCCTCCAGCCCATTACATTTGGCAACACAGGATGTGGCTCCCTTCAGACAGATGTCACCACTGTGCAGACATGCCACAGACAGCCCATCCTCCTGCCCGTAGGTCACACTTCAAGTAGTGCTACAAAGACTTCTCCAACAGCTCTAGCCCACAGGTATTTTCTCTCCTTTATACTTACTTATAGCCATCCTCATAAAAGTTAATTCTCAATTACTGTTCTATCTTCAAAGACAAACTCTTTCAAGACCCTTAATGACAATTTTTTGTCTCTTTGTGTGACTTCCCCACAAAAGGCACTCATTTAGAGTAGCTAACTTGATTTATAAGATTTTTTTAGGCGGCTCTTCTCCCTGCCTGCCTGTACCTATACAGGTATCTCTTTTTCCCTTTCCCCCTTCCCTAATAAACCTAAAAATTTGAAAAAAAATTAACTTATGGGCCTCCCCTGGTGGCGCAGGCGGTTGAGCGCCGCGCTGTGAGGCTGTACGGCAGCCTCTGCAGTGCCAGTTTGATCCCAGCCGGCAGGCGAGGGTCCCATATGGCGCAGTAGACCTCTCCTATCTCACCTGCTGCTCCCCTCAGCAGTGTGTTTCGTCAGTCTGCCTGCTCTGTTCCCCGCTCTGTCTCTGGTGAATCCTCTCACCCTCCCACACATCTGGCCTGTACCCCGGTTCTTGTATAAATGAATGAATGAATGAATGAATGAACTTATAATTACATTTAGTTATTTATTTTGTTTGTTCACTGATGGAACTATACCAGTTGGGGGTGGGAAGAGGTGGGGAGAGTGCTGAGTCTTGCAAGTAACATAAAATTTGCAAGCCAAATGATAAAGCAGCCTCAGCCACAAAGTACATGAATAAATTCTCTCATTGGACTTACAGTTTGAAAACAGGACATCAGTGTGAATGTCCAGAAGGGAATGAGTTGCTTCACTATTCTCAGATCTAGTGATGTACAGCTCCCACTCCCTGTAACTGAAGGTCAATCACGCTGGGAGAGCCTGAAATAGAGATATTTTTTAATTCTTAAGGACTGCTCGGAGGCAGGGTCAGGTTTAAAGACAGTTAAACAAGAAAACAGTTTCACTTCAACAAGCTCCCCAAATCAGAAATGACAAACTTCAGGTGGTAATCTGTCCATCTCCTCTCTCAGAAGAATTAAGATAGAAGCTGCCACCCTGCCCCCAACATACACACACTTAGTCCCCAGTACTGTTACTTATCTGTGGCTGTCCTTCAGTAAACAAGTACTGAACACTTATTCTGTGACAAGCAGTGGCGTCATGAAAGTGATCATAAGTGCCTGTCCTCAAGGAGTCCACTGCTTAAGTAAACTGAAAATAACCTATTTAAATTTTAAACATACCTTTAAAGACTGATAGAAGTTCTAGCTTTCTAAATTTTAATCAACTTAATATTCACAACTGATTTTACTAATACTTACGAATACTTACAACACTAAATTTTATTAAATGCAAGTGTATCAAAAATGAAGTATATCTCAAAAAAGGTAAAATTATGACACTGGTCCACCTTCTTCTAAAATATGGAGAATACATTAATTTAAGAAACAGAAAAAGAAATGGACCAGCATTCTGCCATCTATAAGGAAAGTCTAAGTTATAATTGACTTTTACAAAATGACTAATACGAGGCAACACAATTACTAATGTTAGCTGACTTCAAAAATTTTCCCAGTCGAAGTATGTTTTTATAGTTTTGAACTTGTCATTGTACTTTTGACAATTAATTTTCACAAAAGCTTGACGAGGTATGAGGTCAGGGCCTCATAAAGAGAAAACCACCACAAAGATGCCAACGTCTCAGCAGCATGAGAAAGCTCTCAGCAAAAGCAGGTCTAGAATCCAATGCTACTCATCCTCAGCCTCCCCCACGTAGCCCCAGAGGTGGAAGATGCCCAAATGGCATATGAAACTCTCCTACCTGCTGCAGTACCCCCGTCACCCAAACTGGACACAAGGGCTGAGGACACAAGGCGGCTACTGCAGCACAGCCCTGAATCGCCTTGTTTCTCATCATTCCAAGCCAGCTTCAACACACGGCTCTCCACATTGCTCTATCAAACATTCTGCCAGCCCCTCTAACTTAAAAAATTTGGAATGGCTACCACAACTTACAGAATGACGTCCACATTTTATAACCCAGTTACTAAAGACCTTTCATCATTTATTCCATACCTGCCTTTTAAATTTTATTTCCCAATTCTACAGATTTTCTTCAACTTGCAATAGGGCTAAGTCCCAATAAACCCATTGTAAACTAAATATATCCTAAGTTGGAAATGCATTTAATATACCAAACCTGTCAAATACTGTAGCTTAACACAGCCTACCTTAAATATGGTCATAACACAACATTTGCCTACAGTTGGACAAAATCATTTCGCACAAAGCTCATTTTACAATAGTGTTGAATGTTTCATGCAATTTATTAAATATTGTACCAAAAGCTAATAGTCTGCAGAATATTAGTTGTTTTCCTATGTGGCTAAGTAATAACTGGGAGCTGCAGTTTAACCATAGCCTGAGAAAGTATTATGTCACTAGCCCAGGAAAAGACCTGTAGTAGGGTTTGTACTGAATAACTATCACTTTTGCACCATCAGCAAGTGAAACCGTTGTGAATCAGGGATTGTCTTTATGTATTTCACACACCCTGTGTCCTACCCAAGATCACACACTCCTGCCATTCTTTTTTTTTTTTTTAAAGATTTAATATTTATTTATTTTTATTTATACAAGAGCTGGGGTACAGGCCAGAGATGTGGGCGGGGGGCGGGGAGAGAGGATTCACCAGAGACAGAGCGGGGAACAGAACAGGCAGACTGACCAAAGTACACTGCTGAGGGGAGCAGCAGGCGAGTCAGGAGAGGTCTGCTGTGCCATGTGGGTTGCTCCCTGGCTGGCCGGGGATAGAACTCATGCTGCAGAGGCTGTGGATTGCTTCAAAGTATGGGGCTTAACCCCTTATGCCACCAGGGAGGCCCCACTTCTGCCATTCTTACCTACTCCTTTCCCTCCTCGTTATCTTAGTATATATTATTTCTTTCATCTTTCAGGACCCCGTTTAAAATACAATGATGCCCTGCTTTGATTCCAAAAACCAGTGTAATCAATCTTTTCTGAATTTCCTAACCTTTAATATACATCTCTCTTTGGATACTTTTCTGGCAGGTATTAAGGTTACTTATGCATGTGAGTCAGCGGTGGCTCCTATGGACAAATGGTATGTTTCTCCCATTACTCAATAAATACTTCTATGAGTTCACGCTGTATTCCAGAAACTGGGGTAGCAATAAATAAAATGGACCAAAACCTGGCCCTCGTGAAGTTTACCTTCTGATCGAAACACACATAAGGACATTTCATAGGAAGGTGATAAACGCTACGGTGAATAGTAGAGCATGTTTACAGGCATTGGGGAGTTGGCTGGAGGGCTATTTTAACTAGGGTTGGCTGGAAGCTTAGTGGCTAAGGTAACACTGAGCAAAGGCTTGAAAAGATGCGAAAAGAAAAGAGGAAGAAGCAAGTGCAAAATCACTGAGTGATCAGAGTATGCAGTGTTCTAGGACAAGAGAGAATACTAGGGCCTCCCCAGTGGCGCAAGGGGTTAAGCACAGGGCTGGGAAGCTATCCACAGCCACTGCAGCATGAGTTTGATCCCTGGCCAGGGAGCTGACCCACATGGCGCAGCAGACCTCTCCTGACTAGCCCGCTGCTCCCCTCAGCAGTATATTTCAGTTAGTCGGCCTGCTCTGTTCCCCACTCTGTCTCTGGTGAATCCTCTCACCCCCCACACCTCTGGCCTGTGCCCCAGCTCTTGTATGTATAAATAAACAAATCTAAAAAAAAAGACAGACTACTACAACAATAACTCTTACATTCTGTCAACAGAAAAGTGATTACCAGAGTGGAACCAGGAGCTGGGGTGGGAGTGGGGGATAAAACTGGCAATGGGGTTAAATGTATGGTGATGGATGGAAACTACACTTTTGGTATTGATCACAATGCAGTAAATACATATGTGGAAGTATAAGGTTGTGTGCACCTGAAACTTCTACAAAGCTACAAACCAATAAGGGAGGGAGGGAGGGAGCAAGAGAGGGAGGGAAGGAGGGAGGGAGAGATCTAAGACTGAAAGTGTGAGAGAGCAAGGGTAGGAGAATATCTCAGCAGGGTATTTTTATACAATACAAATATCCTGAAAACTAGTGTAATTATTACTATACTGTTCTGGGTGATTGATATACACTAGTTGTAATACATACAACAAGGAAAAGAAGGCATTCGTTACCCCCAATTTATAGCTAAAGAAAGCAAATCTCCCAGAAGTTAAGTCACATGCAAAGGACCACAGAGAAAGTTATACAGCCTGAAATGGTACCTAAGTGTCCACTGAATTCTACTTCTATTTGGGCTGCCCACATAATATTAAAACTTCAAGAGTTCTTAGTCTTCCTGCCTGATATCTACTGTTATCTACTTAGCTTTAATTTTTTTCCAACCTGTCATTTGCCTAATTATGTTTATAAAACAGTACTTTATAAATACTACAGAAACTAAATCTCCAACCTAATTTAGCAACATTCATTATAAATTAAAATTTAACTTACATGTAAGTTTAATATGGTCTCTCTTATGAAAAAAAGGCTGGAAGAGGTTAGAGATGATTTATTCATTCTCATTTCCTCGTAAATACTACCCTTTATTCTCATTTAAAGTTTTAAACCCTGGCAGAGTAGTTCCGGCCTGGAAAGAAGAAAATACAGAAGTAGGCAAAAAGACTAATGAAGTTACTCATTATTTCTAAAGGTTTCGTTACTAACCTCTATACTCCCTTTATTACCAACTAACATAAAGCCTACTCAATTGGCCTAACATCCTGTTTCGCCACATCATCCTGGAATGAAAGAAATAAAGAATTCCATTCTCTCATATTTCCTCTCACCAAAAAAAAAAAAAAAAAAAAAAGGACAAACTGGGCACATGATGAAGAATTTCTACAAATAGAAACCGGACAAGACGCAGTCCTGTATTAAACGAATTGGAAAAAAAAATCTAGCAAAGAGATTAAAGACACACAGAAGGAAACACTGAGTTTTGCACAGCTGTACGCACAGGAGAGGCCTCGGTAACTTCATAATAAAGCCAGGAAATTAAAACAGCACGTTCAAGCTACAGAAGACTTCCAGAGAGTGTTCAGCTCTCCGTTACTACCTCCGCAATAGCGGAGACAATCTTCCAAAACTCACCGCAGCAAAATAAAACCATTTCAATGAACTTCACGACACGCGCCCTGGAAACCAAGGGAGGTTTCCGCGGGACTTCATGACCAGCTCGTCGGCCGTGGGATTCCTCGCCGCCGCGCGCGAGGACCAGCGCTCCCTCCCCAGCACACACGTGCTCCAGGAGCCCCCGGGGAAGGCAGGGCGCCGCGGGCCCGTCCCGCCCAGGCCCGGCGGGCTGGCCCCGGCCTCGCGGCGCCGGCCAGACGCGTGAACGCGCGGGGCCCTCACCCCGTCCCGGCGGCCGCGCGGCTTCCCCTCCGCGACGCGGCCCGGGTCACCTCCGCTCACACCCCCACACAGGCCGCACGGGCCACCCCGTTCTGCGCTCGCGCGGCCGGCGCCTTCGTCTCGGTCCAACGGGAAGGGCACGCATCCGGGACCGCAGCCGCGCGCGCCGCCTCCTCCATCGGGAAGAAGCGAGGGGAGCTGCCTCCGACGACCCCCGGCCCCGTCGCAGCCCCGCCCGAGGCCAGAGCCGCGGAGATCCTGGGCGCGGCCGAGTGACGCAAGAGGCTGCGCGCGCGTGCGCAGTGCCGCCCGCGGAGTCCCGCCCCCGCGCCCGCTAGGGTGGGCTCCGGCTTCCTCGTCCCGCGCTGGTGAGTGGAGGGCGGGCCGAGGGGCCGAAGGCTGGAGGCATTGTTTTGCTGGATAGCGTTTGCGGACCCAGTGGTCAAAATCTAAGTACTCTACGTATGGCGCTTACTTAAAACGCGAGTTCTCCGGGCGGTCAGCGGCGACGCCCGGGGCCAGGGTTCCGAGAGGGCAGGGGGCGGGGCTTCCGCGCTGAGGGCTCAGGGGGCGGGGCGGGGCCGCGGAGGGGCGGGGCGGGGCCGCGGAGGGGCGGGGCGGGGCCGAGCGTGGGGCCCCTTCATCCCGAAGGTTCACTCATGGAAATCCTGGAGTAGGTGCGTTCTTGGGGCGCTTGTGGTTTTGTGGAAGTCGGTCCTTTTTCACTTGGGGCAGAGATTTATTGTTTCATGAAACACGTAGGACACCTGTTAGAAGAGGCGAGCTGGTGAGGTGGGAGTCTCATAGCAGAGTGAGCTTTCCAAACTCTGCCTCCATTTCTAAGCTACAAATATCTCAGCTATCTTGCATTATAACTGGCAGCATGCTGTGAAGAATTCCTGAAGGAGGTCTTTTGGGAACTCGGAGCAGAGCTGAGTGCCTATGTAGGACTTAAAAACACTCAACAGGGGTGCCCATGGAATGTCTGGCCATTTTGGGGTAGGAAGGACCACATCCTTGCAACTACAGGCTGGCCTATAAATTCATTCATTCTCTCGCCTGCCCTCCCTCGCTCTTTCCCACCCACCCTCTCCCCCTCACTCCCTTTTCTCAATATAAGTAAAGTGGTTTTTGCTGTTTCTAAGTATTTGCTTTTACCAGGTCATTCTCTTCTTGGGGATTTGCTCTGTTTCACACCCATTGATGGACATCCTGCCTTGAGATATCTTGCAATGGAGAAATTCCCTGGGGACCCCGCCCTCCCAACCACCACCACCATCATGATTTCCTCTAAAAGGAACAAAGACAGAGGGTCATTTATAAGAAGGAGGGAAAAGCAACTAGTGAAATAGGGTGTAAGGCCTAAAATAATACAGATTTATTTTAATATTGACAATAAATCAATGCCTTGGTGGAAATGTCTTTTACAGATATCATCCCAGCTTTTGACTAAAAAGAAAAACACCATTATATGAAATACAATCATTTCTAAAACATATTGAGCCAGAAAATGCCAAATATAATGGGCTCTTTTCAGAATGTAATCTTACTAGATTGTTATGGTCCACACTACACAGCCCCTGACCACCTGCTTTTGGTGTGATTATGCAGCTTCTAATTTTAAAGCTTTTAATCTGTGAGATTGGCAACCAGACAACAAATGTGCATTTTAGAACTGGATCAGCGGATCCTTTATTTTTTTTAAAGATTTTTATTTATTTATTTTATACAAGCACTGGGTACAGTCAGAAGTGGGGGAGGGTGAGAGAATTCACCAGAGCCAGAACAGGGAGCAGAATAGGCAGATTGACGAAGTACACTGCTGAGGGGAGCAGTGGGCAGCAGGAGAAGTCTGCGCGCCATGTGGGACCCTCGCCGGTGGCCGGGGATCGAACCGGCGCTGCAGAGGCTGCTGCAGCCCAGCACTCAACCACTGCGCCACCAGGGGAGGCCCCTTTAATTTTTTTTTTAAAGATTTATTTATTTATGCATACAAGAGCTGGGATACAAGCCAGAGATGCAGGGGGTGAGAGGATCCACCAGAGACAGAGCAGGGAACAGAACAGGCAGACTGACCGAAATACACTGCTGAGGGGAGCAGCGAGCGAGACAGGAAAGGTCTGCCTCACCATGTGGGTTTCTCCCTGGCAGGCTGGGGATCAAACTCATGCTGCAGAGGCTGTGAATTACTTCATAGTGTGGTGCTTAACCCCTTGCGCCACCAGGGAGGCCCGATCAGAGGATCCTTTCTTGCATCTTTTTTTTTGTCTCATTCAAGTTGGACCTAGATGACATAGCCAAGTAAAGAATTACATTGAGTATTGAGAAACTGTTGGCAAGTTGTTCTCTGATGATGTGATAGATTGGTGAGAAATGGCTCTGGCTTTCTACCCATCCTTGTCTCCACACATTCTACAGGACTTTGCAGCCTTACTCCATCCCCTGAACCTGCCTCGCTCTTTGGGTTGTCTTTAGCCCAGAAAATGTGGTGGTTCCCAACCTAAATCATGATGAGAAGCCTAGACGAGTTTGCAGATTACTGGAGTAGAGCAACTGGTAAATTGCCCCACTGACCCATGATTGAGGCCAGAGATGAGGCCAGTAGGTAAAGTCCTTAAAACTGTGCCAGTGACAGGGCCTCCCTGGTGGCGCAAGGGGTTAAGCACCGCACTATGAAGCAGTCCGCAGCCTCTACAGCATGAGTTCGATTCCCTGGCCTGCCAGGGAGCAGCCCACATAGAGCAGCAGACCTCTCCTGTCTTGCCCCCTGCTCCCCTCAGCAGCGTATTTCAGTCAGTTTGCCTGTTTTGCTCCCTACTCTGTCTCTGGTGAGTCCTCTTACCATCCCCTCCCTGCAAATAAATCTTTAAAAAAATAAATAAAAAGGATGTTTTAAACCACTGTTTGAAATGGGCTGGTATGTAGCAATAAATCATAACATGTAACTTTAGGAGGCAGATAATCATAATGAAAGTAAAAGAATGTCTAGAAATTGTTAGTTTAACCTAACAAATGAATTTGAATTTGCTAGGTTTTTTTTTTTTTTTCTGCCAGTATTCTCATCATCCCAAGCAAAACTCTGCCACATCTAACCATCTTTCTCTCATGTTGTAGCTAACAGGCTTCTCTTACATTCACTAACCCAGCCACTACCTGACACTTACTGTCACATTACATGCATTGCTTTTGGGTTTTTTTTTCTTTTTTAAATTTTTTTTAAAGATTTATTTATTTATACAAGAACTGGGGTACAGTCAGAGGCGCGGGAGGGTGAGAGAATTCGTCAGATACAGAACAGGGAGCAGAACAGGCAGATGGACTGGACACTGCTGAGGGGAACAGCGGGCGAGGCAGGAAAGGTCTGCTGTGCCATATGGGTTTCTCCCTGGCCAGCCGGGAATTGAACCCGTGCTGCAGAGGCTGTGGACAGCCTCATAGCACGGTGCTCAACCCCCTGCACCACTGGGGAGGCCCACACGCATTGTTTTTATAAGTGTATACATTGCTAATGATACAGGCTCCTTAAGTGCCCAAATCACTTTTTTTGAACATTTATTTTGTAAAAGAACTAGGGTGCAGGCCAGAGGTGCAGGAGGTGAGAGGATTCACCAGAGGCAGAGTGGAGAGCAGAAAAGGTGGATTTACTGAAATGCACTGCTAAAGGGAGCAGTGGGTAAGACAGGAGAGTTCTGCTGCATCATTATCTGGGTTAGCTCCCTGGCTGGGAATTGAACTCAGGCTGTAGGGGTGATAGTGCTGCAACTTAACCCCTGGGTCACCAGGGAGGCACCCAAATCAGTTTTCTAATATCTAATGTACTATATATACTGTGAATGCGCAAGCATAGATCATGAGATAGCTTAAGCTCTTAACAAAAAAAAAAAAAAAAAACTTAGGCGCCCCCCCCCCCGAGTGGTTAAGTCTCAGCACTATAAAGCTATGTTGGCAGCCACTGCCGCACCAAGTTCAATCCCAGGCCAGGGATCTGACCCACATGGCCCAGCAGACCTCTCCTTCCTTGCCTGCTGCTCCCCTCGGTGTACTTCCGTAGATCTGCCTGTTCTCTTCCTGCTCTGTCTCTGGTGAATCCTCTCACCCCTGCACCTCTGGCGTACACCCCAGTTCATGTATGCAGAAAGAGAGAGAGAGAGACAGACAAAGAAAAACCTTTTTATTTTTTTTTTTTAATAGAGGCATGTTTTATTTATTTATTTATTTATTTGGTTTGTTTTGTTTATACAAGCACTGGGTACAGTCAGAAGCACGGGAGGGTGAGAGAATTCGCCAGAGCCAGAAGCAGACCAGGCAGAAGGACCGATGTACACTGCTGAGGGGAGCAGCGGGCGGCAGGAGAGGTCTGCACGCCATGTGGGACCCTCCTCCGGTGACAGGGGAGCAGCCGGGGATCGAACCGGCGCCGCAGAGGCTGCGGGCAGCTTCGCAACCCAGCGCTCAACCGCTGAGCCACCGGGGAGGCCCCAAAGAAAAACCTTTTTAACATCTCATCTCTAATAGGCTATTTTATAGTAAGTTCAACAAAGACAGTTAATTATCAGTGAACAGCCTTCACTCCAGGCGGTTAACAACTTCTGGGAGGTGTCCCGTCTTCCCAGCAGCTCCACCTCTGCTGGCATCTGGATTGAGAGCACTTCACTCCTGGGATAGCTCAGTCTCTGACAGAAATGGCATCCATCACTCTTGCAGGCGCCTCCTGGACTGGAAAGTTAACTCAGAGCAAACAGGTCACAAGTGAAATAATGTGTGTATGTGCAGATCCCTAAACTATGTGTGGTGCCCTTCTCAGCCTCCTCCCAGCCCATCACTAGGTGTGGAGCTCAGGTTCATCACTAGCTTCACTAGCAGTTAGAACTAACAGTTCCATATTAGTAACCAACCAGGGCATGTTTTTGAGAATTTGGCACTTCACTGATTTCACAACCCCAAAAACCTGTGTAGAAAGGGTTATCTATAGAAACATTTGGTGTTTCGTGAAAATGTCTGTTCCTGATTTCTGTGCACGTATACTTTGATAAAAATTTAAGTAAATAAATATTTTCAGGGCCTCCCTGGTGGCGCAAGGGGTTAAGCACCGCACTATGAAGCAATCCGCAGCCTCTGCAGCATGAGTTCGATCCCCATCCGGCCAGGGAGCAACCCACATGGCGAAGCAGACCTCTCCTATCTCACCCGCTGCTCCCCTCAGCAGTGTATTTCAGTCAGTCTGTCTGTTCTGTTCCCCACTCTATCTCTGGTGAATCCTCTCACCCCCCCACATCTCTGGCCTGTACCCCAGCTCTTGTATGCATAAATAATCTTTAAATAAATAAATAATTCTTTGCATACAAAAAGGAAAAAATTTGCTCAAATAAAACATTCCTCTTATTTAATGAAATGACTTATAAGACATTAATGAAGATTTAGATGATTTTTGATATTTGGATATTTAAAATGAGTTATGATTCTTTAATTTTCTGTTCTAAAATAGTGTTATTTACCATAAAATGTGTAAAAGTTGGGCCTCCCCTGGTGGCGCAGCGGTTGAGCGCTGGGCTGCGAAGATACCTGCAAGCCTCTGCAGCACCGGTTTGATCCCCGACCTCCAGCGAGGGGCCCACATGGCGCGACAGACCTCTCCAGCCGCGCCCGCTGCTCCCCTCAGCAGTGTATTTCGTCTGTCTGCCTGTTCTATTCCCTGCTCTGGCTCTGGTGAATTCTCTCACCCTTCTGCGCTTCTGATTGTACCCAGTGCTTGTATAAATAAATAAATCAATCTTTAAAAAAACAAACTTTTAAAAAAAAGATAAAATATAGCTGACTTTTGGGGTCTCCCTGGTGGCACAGGGAGTTAAGAAGCAGCACTATGAAGCTATCTGCAGTCTCTGCAATACGAGTTGACCTCCCGCTTCTCCCCTCTGCAATGTATTTCAGTCAGTCTGCCCCACTCTGTCTCTGATGAATCCTCTCACCCCCAACACCTCTGTTCTGTACCCCAGTTCTTGCATGCATAAATAAATCTTTAAAAAAATATATAATGCCATCAATTCATTGTATCAGAAGGTAATCACTGGGTGGTGAATTCCTTCACACATAATAAATTTGCTCCTAAAATAGGCACAGGTGGACATTTTCTGCATAATTATGAAGACTCAGATCATTTGTTTCTACAAAGAAAATGGGAAATATCTGAGGAAGTAAGAGTGTTCTTGAACCTGAGACAAACATTTCAAGTGATGGGTAAAAAAAAACGACTGTTCAGCTAGAAATAAGTTATTTTATTTTAAAACACATACAGATTAATAAATATTATTGGAAAACTTAATAAATAGCCTATTTACATAAGGCAGTTACAACATGCTATGCCTACTTCTATAAAGCAAAATAAAAGCAATTCTTAGCCATTGACAAAATGTGTGGTATGTATGCTAATTGGAAGCTCCCCTGACACATTTACATGAAAAAAACTTTTATGCAACTGATCAACATTTTACATTTTTACCTAGTCTTCATCCTTTTTTAACAACTATATTCCATTTTAAAAGAAAATAATATTCTTTTAAAAAGGCAAAAAACACTCAGGAATGCTGCTGAAAAATACCCTTAAATTTTTCCAAAATGCAAAAACACTAACATGGGGGTGGGGGGCAAATTATTTATATTCTTCAAAAAAGAAATGTTCTGAGCTTTTCAATGACCCTTTGGCACTAGTGGTTTGGGAGCTCCTGACATTCACCTGGGGTTGGGTCATTCATGGCCGGGGTTGAGCTGCTTGGAAGCAGGAAGTTCAGCAACATTCACTACAAATTCAACCAATAGAACAGATCTGATCTACAGGTCACTGAATCTTCTACATAACACAGTCAAACCTATGCAGAATGTCAGAGAAGCTCATCACACCAGCAAAATGTGAATTTTCAGTGCAGCCTTTAAAAGTCCCTGTTTAATTTTCCATATTTTACAACAGAATATATAAAACACTTCCTCTTAAAACAAAAAAAAGGAAAATTAAAGCTTCATGGAGTCATGCAAACTTTACAGTGCTGCCTTTGCTCGCTCTGTGCTTGAAGCATCGTGTCTATAGCGTGGTCCCAAGCAGACGGGGATGCCCAGGGCAAGCCAAGTGAATTTCCACTGTGTCACTCAAGAGCAGTCCCGAACTCGCTCCCTTGGGAGACCGTGGCACATGCTACAAGTGCAAGCTCTCGATCAAAAACATAGATTTGGAGAACCATCCCACCCCTTTAGAGGTAGAGAAACTGAGGCACAGAAAGGTTAAGTGACTCACCTGTAGTTGCACAATTCAAGAGAAAATAAAGAACAAACAAATGCTTCTCCCCTGCTCATGCTCTGAGCCCTAGACTACACTTTTGATCACATGGGATATCTGAAATTGGTATTTGTTTACATAACTGAAGTTGTTATACTGAGTATCAGTCTTGTCCTAGGCATTTTTTTATGTAACATAAAGTTACATATTCTTAAAATATAATTCACTTGTTGCATTTAATAGCATGTGAGAATGTGTCTGAACAGAGTAGTGATACTGGGCCAAAATTCTCATTGCCTTTTCTATAATTTTTAATCTTTTCAAGTATATGATGGAGGTATAAAAATCTGGCCAGATGTGAAAAGGACAGACCTTTAAAATTCATCACCAGTACAATTGTGAGGCAGAAGTGAGGAATGCAGAAAATCGAGGTATTTTATATGAAAACTGTTTTATGCTGTGACTGGTGTGCAACTTGATCTTTTCTCTTTCCAACTGGAGTTAACAGACCTCTAGCTACGGCTATAAGTTAAACACCCGAAAAACTAACATGGACAAGTCTTGGGGGGGGAAAGGTTAACACTAAGGAATTATTTCTATTTTTTGGTCCCTGAGAAGGTGGCACAGCAAGATTCCTGCTTCGTGAGTGAACTACTTCTGTGGGGTCACACACAGTGAGAAGGACAACTTCTTCTGACCACTGGCCAAGCAGAAAGTCATGAATAGATCAAACCCCGAGTTTTCTCCTTTCTTCCAGTCTCCTGTTCAGTCACAGGAAGCCCCCAGGAGTGTCTAGCTGGCATCAGAGAAGAGGATGGCTGCCCAGAGAGGACATGCTCAGACCTTCCAGATTAACTGAGCAGCTTGGAGGAGACAGTGATCACCTCCTACCAAGAACCAGGCCACACAGTCATGGTCACTGTGACTGTGCTCCCAACACTCAGTCTCCATGCTCTGAAATCTCATCCACACCTGGAAGACACTACATCTCAAGCATGTACAGATGCTTAGGAACTAGCCTCAGGAGTGAGTACAGTATTCACGAGGAGCTTAGTTGTTGAAGAGACAGGAGGTGATGACACACTTTAACTACTCTCGCTTCTATCAGAAAATAACATGAAACCCAAAGAAAAAGAACAAAGATCAGCCTACTATTCCTGAAATTAACTGCTGAAGCTAAAACTGAATATAACAAATAGGTTTCAAAAATAGGAATTAAAAGACTATTTCTTATTGCTGAACCAAGTGCACCATAGCATATTTCACTAACATTCTAATGTGCAGAGACAATAAAGACATCTGTATGATGATTTTTTCCCTAGGTTCCAGCTGTGGGCACTTCCCAGCCCACAGGTGGCAGGGAGCAGACTGCCCTTCCCCTCCAAAACCTTCTCCATAGAGATGGAGCCATCTTTCAGAATGGCAAAAACACTCAGGGATAATCTCAATGTTTGACTTGTGTTAGATCCTCAGTAGGCCCTATCTCTCATCAGTGAGCAGAACAGGAAGTCACCTTTTTAAATGCAAAGACTCAGATGAGAAAACAAGGCCTTGTCCAGGTAGGAGAGAAATGGTCTATTTAAGTGTCCAAGCAGAATAAATCTGCAAACTGTGATCAGAAATGTGATTTTAGAGAAGGCATGAAATCAAGTAGTCAGGTGTTTTTTCTTAGTTTCAGCAGATATAAAACTATAAACAGTATAGGAAGGAAAGTGTTCATTTGCTTTATAACCAGGCCAGTGGGGGAGCCTCCTTCATTCTAAGCCCGCCTCTAAAACTCCCACTTCACGGCTTTTTCTTTGCAATTCAGAATGAATGACAAAACATCAATTTATAAAATAACTGTATTAAACCGTAAGTTATATGCTTTATGTTAAAATTGGGATTTAGGCTTTTAGATTACTCTGAGGCTCATTCCACCTTGAAATACAAACGATAATGTGAACTTGGTTCCACTGAAGGAATGCTGTGAATCCTATGAAAGTAATCTGCTGGACAGACATAAACTTGGTCTGACTGTTGGGGGCCAGTCACCTTCAAGAGGGGTCGAGCCATTAATACAGAGATTTTGTTTTACTCTGAAAAAAATCATAGGAAGATCATCAAGAAAATATCACCACTGAGGATTCATGGGATAATCCTGGATGAACTGTAACAAAGACCAACTCTGCTTTGAAATTAAATTCTGCTTGTAAATTGTAACAAAATACTCATGATAATTTTCCTTTATGCTTGTATTCTTTGAATACCTCAAATTCCTTACCTATGAAACTATATTTATGCCTAAAAGTATATTAATACTGCTACATTATTTTTTCAGAAAGTTCAGTTCAATAAGTTAAGGCCTGTATTCCTAAAAATACTGATTTAAAAAATAATAATCTTGTCATTTCTCATAGTTCACAAATCACTGACAAACCACAATCATTACATGTACTTTGAATTCAGAAAGGGGATTTGCTCTTTGTTAACCTATCCCCATTTTCTTCAGCCTCTGTATTCAACTCTTTAGGAAATGACTTTTTTTTTTTTCAATTTAAAAATGTTCTTTTTGCCTGAAAATAATTTTTTCCTTAGTAATTTTCATTGGATGTTACTAAATTTCATACTTAATTTCATACATAAGTTTCTACTTCACCAAATCTACCTTACCCAATCCCAGCTTTCAACGTGGCATAGCTCTCTATTTAGATAAAACACTGCATATGAAATATGTGATCACCTGATACAATATCTGCATCATTTTGTGCTTTGCTCCCAATTAATACACAGGGAAGGTTACTGTAGATAAATGAATAACCTCTTGGATCCAACTACTAGCATAATTAATGGTTATTTTCCATTTCAGAAATGTAATGAGAGGCTGAAGTTCTCTGACCTCTCAAACAACAGTGAGATAACTCAATTGATTTTATTTTTGCTAAAACTTCTTTTGAAAATTCAAAACACATAATAGAGACTAGCTTAACTGAGTCCTTTAACTTGTTTCTTTACTTTAGGAAATTCACTAAGTGCTACTGAACAGTTACTCTCTCATTTCACAGCTTTATTAATAAAATTAAATAACTTATTTCTTCTGAGTGGCAACAAAGCTTGCAAAAAGAGAAAGTGGATATATTTGATACTGGATCCCAGTTAGATAGATTAAATGTAAATAAAATACCTCATGCTACTTAAGCCAATTGTCTGTAATTGGAATATAACTACATGCTAAAAGGGTCAATTTGCTCTAATGTAGCTTTTAGTCTTGACTCTCTTCCAACAACTAAATATATATTATTTTTAACTGCTTTAAACATTTATATTTCGAATAGTGAAATATTAAAGTATAATTAAAGAGGTTGCATTATTCTATCTAAAAGAACATACACACAGTTAATAGTCAAATTAAGTGAATAGTTCAAGTGATAAAGGCACTGAAATTGATTTGAGCTATTGGAAAGTCATCTTGCAAATGGAACAGTGCAGCATATCCATTCACTTCTCTCTCTTGGCAATTAAAATTTCTTGGAGTGTGTGTGTGGGGGGTGGGAAGGGTGGGAGAGCTTGTTAGAGGAATAAAAACAATTAAATGTATATACCTATTTGGATGTGGTACCCGAATGTTACACATGCTCAATGCTTAAATCAAAATAACACAATTACAAATTTACTGTACAGAGTCAGGTTTCAGGATGACAATTTCTCCCATTTCCAAAGCAATCTTCTACATAAGACTACCTGCTCTCCTATAAAGTCTACCCAGAAAGAGCCCATCTTTATTTTCTATTTCAATATTGTTTAAAATGCTTTAAAAGGAAAGAGAATTCATGAAAGCTTCCAGGTTAATGGCAAAACATGAGATTGCTCTCTTCAGAGAGAGATGACCCCTGGACAACCAATTAGCACTTCCTCCTGCAGAGGGCCAAACCCCCACCCTGGTGCTGAACAATGTTCCCCCAGTGTTCACTGGCTTACCCATTAATATACAGGCAACTCCAATACCAGATTCAGGTCTCTTCTACTTCACATCAAATTAGGACCAGAAACCACACCCACGTCCTGTTCCCGAGCCACCCAACCCCCTGCTGCATCCTAGTCTGTTTTCATATTAGATTTGTTCATTTCCCCAAGGTTGAAATTGAACTCTTTGAACACCTGTATGAGGACAATCCCCACCGAGACAGTGGTGAACCCGCAGGCCATCCCCAAGAAGTCCACCAGACCCACATTGCTCCATTCCCGGAACAGGATAGCCGAGGCCAGCAGGACCAGCGTGGTGAACACGACATAGTAGATGGCCCCGAACACGGAGGAGTCGAAGCACTCGAGCGCCTTGTTGATGTACCTGAACTGGACGATGATGCTGCAGCCCAGCACGGCCAGGAGCAGCAGGCATAGGCAGAGCGCGCGCTGACTGGAGGGGTTGTTGTGGAAGATGTCTTGGGCTGCCAGCCCGATGCCCTTGGTGGAAGGCACGGTGAAACTCCCCAGCAAGGAGCAGATGCTAATGTAGACCATGATGTTGGTGGGCCCGTGGGCCGGGGCAATCCAGAAGATGAGCAGCAGCAGCATGAGAAGCACGATGCACAGATAACCGACGAACACTGGAAAACAGAGTACACGGTGACTAGGAGGGGTGCAGCAGGGAGCCCCCCATTACCACCACGTACAGCCACAGCTGTGACAGCACCCCGGACGGCAGGCGGGTACCCTGAGGCCTGGTGGAGCCTACCAGCCCCACTGAGTTCATTCCAAAAGATTATTCCCCACATATCAATAAAAAAGCCCTCTTTCTATTACATTTTTGTAACAACAATCCTCTGAGATGTTTTTTAAGTCATTCAAAAGATGGATTTTCTCACTTGAGAGTCAGTTCAAACAGAATTTTCCTGGGGGTGTGGGTTGAGGTGGGGAAACAAAAGGGTCATATAGGGAATATGTGGGGAAACTGCAGGGCTGCTGTGGCTGCTGCAGTCACAGGGGTCATGTCCACTGGGCAGAGGCCCGGCCCTGGGATGTGCAGACAGTTCCCCACAATGAAAAGTCCTCCTACTCTGTCGCCTCGGACTCGTAAATGAAAAATACGTTTTAAATAATTAGACCTAGAGCCTATTTTAAGTATAAAACAAAGTAACTTTTGCATGGATTTAATATACACTGAATTTTTCAGAGCATCGAGAGTTACTCTCCATTTCAGAGGATTCCCACAGTGGATAACAAGACCTCTGAGTGGTTAAATCAGTTAACACGACACCTCCATATCAGTGTGTATTTGCAGCTTCCAGATTCTCAGCAACTCCATACATGGTGTGGGGTCTGCTGGTTTTGGGATCTTCTGTGGTTACACCTGAGAGTTCTACTGGATTGTAAAGTAACCATCATGCCAATTCTTTATGACAATGGGGGCATTATGTTGACTGTGTTAAAAGTAGTGTGGACCGAGGCTGTATTCTTCACAAGTCATAAAGCTGGACCAACAGGGCTGGAATATGCACCCCAGCAAGCAGGGGATTCCTCATCTCCAACAATGACAAAAGGAATGTGAGCCCTGCTCTTGTGGAAGGTTCAGGAAGGTGCTACAGGGCAGGAGAACCGGAAGGACACGGACACTGCTTGGGAGCCGGACCTACAAAATGGGGATGGCAGTGGTGGGCAGAGAGAGAAGGGGGTGGGGTGGGTGGCAGTGGCAACAGAAGCCGCCGAAGGCAGGTGCGCGCTTCATTTCAGGAAACGCAGCTGGGCTTTCTCTCATGCCAAGGGAGTGCTGCAAAGGGCTGTCCAGCTGGGACAGAATAAAACTGGACATTACACAAGAGTCCCAGGCATTGATATGCCTTTGAGGAAGGGGAGCATGAGGGGCCACACCCCAAAGGTGAGCAGCACAGAGGAAGAGGAAGGAAAAGTAGGCAGAGTGGTGGTGGGCATGGGTGCAAAGCTGGAAGGGTGCGTGGACAGTGAGTCTCAGCAGTTATGTGAACTGCACGGCTCAGAAAGAAAAGCCTGCAGCCAGGAAAGCTGTTTTCATGGGATCAACCTTAATCTATTTTTTAAGAAAAAGCAGTTTGTACCCCTCAAAATGTTCAAGACTCTAACTTTACATCATTCTTTTTCAACCCTTTATTTTCCTCATCAAGCCCCTAAGGAATCATTTTATATTTTTCCCCCTAATGGTTCACCCCTATAAAATTTTACTATCACAGATACATATTAGACCCTTAAACCACACAGGGATTAGGGATACTCATTCAACATAGTCAAAAATCTGACTCCCCCCAAATGTAATTACAGTCCTCCCTTGTTATCTGTGGACAGTTCATCTCAAGAACATCCCCTCCCCCCCAGCCCGAACCACACTCCGACTGGGGAGGTGGAGTGGGGAAAGGGCCTGGAGGAGGCAGAGTGGGAAGGCCTGTGGGGAAGAAGAGGAGCAGCTGCGGAGGAGCTTAGCCACCCAGGCCCCTCCTCTGGGTCACAGACGCACCCGAGCTCTCGTGAGCAAGGAACACTCGTGAGCAAGGATGGGGCTCAGCCGAGAGACACCGGTGCTGGAGGGAGAACAGAGGGCCTGGAAGGGTCTCAGTGGGTCTGGAAGGCCCTCGGGTTGGCTGGGACCCCTGCAGGCTCATCCCCGAGAGGGCAGCTCTTGCTGAGATGCCAGAAAGGGTTACCTGGGTTGGTCAGTTTTTCTTCCAGCTCGGCCTGAGTGGTCACACTCTCAGATTTTGGGGAATGGATAATCAGCACGACAGAACCTGCACAGCTTAGCAGACACCCCAATTTGCCCAAGATGTTGAGTTTTTCCTTCAGAAGATAAGAGGCTAAAATGGACCTTCAAAAAAAAATTCATTAAAGTTTATTAAATCAAACTATTAAAACAGTACTGAAGGACAGTGCCAAAGGACAGTGTCATGGATGGGGACAGGTCACTGTATGTGGGGTCTCAAGACTATTCAGGCTCAGGGTGCAACTACAATGGGGTTTATCTAACAAACAGGACGCTGGAGAAACAAAGAGTTTCTAAGGCCGCAAGTTGCCGGCTGTCTCACCCCAGACAGCGCAAGCAGCCTCGGGGGAGCTCCCACAGCCAGGCTCAGCAGCCTCAGCAGCCTCAGCTCCACTGCCTATAGGCAACCCTCCCCCAGTGCCAGCTGGGTTTGAGCCCAGCATCCCCTTGGGCCACAGAGGCAGGAGTTTCCCCACCTGCCACCCAAGTGCACTGCTTGGGTACAGCGATGGTTCCCCCGTCCTGCCACACCAGGGTATGCCCTACAGCTCCCCGAGGGCTTGGAGAAGAGTGTGGGGCACCTCCCACCCACCCCCACCACACAGCTGTAGGCAGCAGAGGCCTGTGGAATAGGGGGTGTCACTGGCACCTATTGGATGGAGGCCAGGGATGATGCTGAATATTCACACAGGTCAGTCCCTCGTGGCAAAGAATTTCCAGCCCCAAACAGCAACAATGGGATTTGAGGAAGCAAACGGAGCATATAGGATAAAACATAAACCATTGGTGTATCCGGATGGGGCGTGTTTGGGTGTTGGATTATTCTTAGTTTTGTAACTTTCCTTTAATTTGGAAATAATTTCCACTAAAAGGCTTTAAAAACCGGGCCTCCCTGGTGGCACAGCAGGTTGAGCATAGCACTGTGAGGCTGTCCGCAGCCTCTGCAGCGCCTGTTCGATTCCCGGCCGGCCAGGGAGATACCTACATGGCGGGGTGGACCTCTCCTGTCTCGCCCGCTGTTCCCCTCAGCAGTGTGCTTTGGTCCGTCTGTCTGTTCTGTTCCCCATTCTGTCTCTGGTGAATCCCCTCATCCCCCACACCTCTGGCCTGTACCCCAGTTCTTATATAAAAATAAATCTTTTTTTAAAAAAAAGGCTTTAAAAACCACTTTTAAAAATGCTGTTGAGGGGCCTCCCCTGTAGCACAGCGGTTGAGTGCTGGCTTGCAAAGCTGCCCGCAGCCTCTGCAACGCTGGTTCGATCCCCACCACCGGGCAAGGGTCCCACATGGCACGCAGACCTCTCCTGCCGCCCGCTGCTCCCCTCAGCAGTGTATTTTCTCAGTCTGCCTGCTCTGCTCCCCGCTCTGGCTCTGGTGAATTCTCTCACCCTCCCGTGCTTCTGACTGTACCCAGTGCTTGTATAAATAAATAAATAAATCTTTAAAAAAATTTTTTAAAAAAAGTGCTGTTGGGGGGCCTCCCTGGTGGCCCAAGGGGTTAAACACCGCACTATGAAGCAGTCCGCAGCCTCTGCAGCATGAGTTCAATACCCAGCCAGCCAGGGAGAAACCCACATGGCATAGCAGACCTCTCCTGTCTCGCCCGCTGCTCCCCTCAGCAGTGTATTTCAATATGCCTGTTCTGCTCCCCACTCTGTCTCTGGTGAATCCTCTCACCCCCTTCATCTCTGGCCTGTACCCTAGCTCTTATATGCATAAATAAATAAATCTTTAAAAAATAAAATAAAAGTGCTGTTGGGGGGAGGAGGAGGGAGAGGGAGGAAGAGCGCAGGGGACTGAGGTGATGGTGCACGGGTGCACTGGTGAAGGAAATTCTATGGGGACTACACCTGAGGGGGTGAGGGGAAGCAAATATTGTTTAAAAATGAACAATGATGTAAAAAATTAAAGAAAACAAAAAACAGAGTACTGTTGGGATGATTACTTTATCAAACATTAAACCACTGTAGAGAAACATGGATCTACTGCAGGGTGCTCTATTCTACTTCACTGATACTCATTTTTTTCCTTTCCATTTCTATGTAATTCTGACAACTTCATCTATTTGACATTATCAAAAATAGAACTTTAAAAAAAAATATGCCAACACTGTTAGCTTTACTTTTTTTCAAATTAATTTCACTTTTTTTTTAAAAATTGGGATCCTGAATTGAACAGTCTTTTTACCTATAATATCATCTTACGTGGTTCTCTGGGTGAGAAACATCTCCTGAAGACTTGGGGCAGCGAACATATCTGGTGAGGTGACTTAATTATCAAAGTCAATGAGGACAGCTCTAAGGAAATTAAGGCAGTAAGGCATTTTATTACACAAACATTACATGTTCAATGTGCAAAGATCACAGGGCTGGTCGTTCCTTTGCCTAATTGTTTTTCAGAGGAAAGAGTTCGAGCGTGAAGCTGGTGTAGTGATTAATAGTATGAGCGCCAATCATGCAATCCAGCTTTTCTGAGGCATCCAAAATGCAAAGTGACATCAAGTCACATGCGAAATTAGGTCTATATTTGGATAAGGGCAACAAGCTACAAACATATTTTCCCAAAGCTTCACATGTGAAAAACATATTTGTGTTTTTAGGCCACAGAAACATATAGGCGATATGAATTTAAGATATATAATTAAGGGCCTCCCTGGTGGCGCAGCAGTTGAGCGCTGGCTTGCGAAGCTGCCCGCAGCCTCTGCAGCGCCGGTTCGATCCCTGGCTGCTCCCCAGCCACCGGAGGAGAATCCCACATGGCGCGCAGACCTCTCCTGCCACCCGCTGCTCCCCTCAGCAGTGCACCTCGGTCCTTCTGCCTGCTCTACTCCCCGCTCTGGCTCTGGTGAATTCTCTCACCCTCCCGCACTTCTGTCTGTACCCAGTGCTTGTATAAATAAAAAAATAAATAAATAGATAGATAGATAGATAAATAAATAAATCTTTAAAAAAAAAAAAAGATATATAATTAAATACATCCATCATGGATGCACTTCTATCCAAGAATTTGAGGGTCTGTTTGGAATCCAGCAGAATTCAAAGTATCTAGAGCTTATTTCCCTTCTAGCCTGTTTTTAAATAATTTCTTCAAAGGTAAAAACAATATAAATAGGTTCACAAGAGGCTGTGAGTTATTTATTAAATGTCTCACGAGAGACCGGGCGTGCAAGGGAGTGCGTTCCCGCATCGCCATTTTGCAGCAGGGACTTTTCTTTGGTGGAGACTGTGTGAAACAAGCAGAAGGCTCCCCGAGGAGCCAGAGGTAAGCTGGGAGGCTTGCCCATGCCAGGCGCCTTCTAGCCTGCAGTCCCAGCCCAGAGGGGAGCAGCACCCACCGCTGGGGCAGACCGGGCGTGCAGGGGAGCGCGTTCCCGCACTGGCATTTTGCAGCAGGGACCTTTCTTTGGTGGAGACTGTGAAATAAGCAGAAGGCTCCCCGAGGAGCCAGAGGTAAGCTGGGAGGCTTGCCCATGCCAGGCACCTTCTAGCCTGCAGCCCCAGCCCAGAGGGGAGCGACACCCACCGCTGGGGCAGACAGGGCATGCAGGGGAGCGCGTCCCCGGCACGGGCATTTTGCAGCAGGGACCTTTCTTTGGTGGAGACTGTGAAACAAGCAGAAGGCTCCCCGAGGAGCCAGAGGTAAGCTGGGAGGCTTGCCCATGCCAGGCGCCTTCTAGCCTACAGTCCCAGCCCAGAGGGGAGCAACACCCACCGCTGGGGCAGACCAGGCGTGCAGGGGAGCATGTTCCCGCATCGCCATTTTGCAGCAGGGACCTTTCTTTGGTGGAGACTGTGAAACAAGCAGAAGGCTCCCCGAGGAGCCAGAGGTAAACTGGGAGGCTTGCTCATGCCAGGCGCCTTCTAGCCTGCAGTCCCAGCCCAGAGGGGAGCAGCACCCACGACTGGGGCAGACCAGGCGTGCAGGGGAGTGCGTCCCCGGCACCGGCATTTTGCAGCAGGGACCTTTCTTGGTGGCGACTGTGTGAAACAAGCAGAAGGCTCCCCGAGGAGCCAGAGGTAAGCTGGGAGGCTTGCCCATGCCAGGCGCCTTCTAGCCTGCAGTCCCAGCCCAGAGGGTAGCGACACCCACGACTGGGGCAGACTGGGCGTGCAGGGGAGCGCGTCCCCGGCACCGGCATTTTGCAGTAGGGACCTTTCTTTGGTGGAGACTGTGAAACAAGCAGAAGGCTCCCCGATGAGCCAGAGGTAAACTGGGAGGCTTGCCCATGCCAGGCGCCTTCTAGCCTGCAGTCCCAGCCCAGAGGGGAGCGGCACCCACGACTGGGGCAGACCGGGCGTGCAGGGGAGCGTGTCCCCAGGACTGGCATTTGCAGCAGGGACCTTTCTTTGGTGGAGACTGTGTGAAACCAGCAGAAGTTCCCCAGAGGAGCCAGAGGTGAGCTGGGAAGGTCGCCCAAGATGCCGGCCAGTACCAGCAACACAGTGTCACAAGGAATACGGCAAATTAGAAAACAGGCAGTAGAGAGAAGAAAAACCACATGCAACCCAGCAACTCCTCAAAAAAAAAGCACACCGCAAAAAGAAAACCATCTACCAGATAGCAACGACAGTAACTTGGAAGAACTTCTGAGCCTTCCAGATAGAGAATTTAAAATTGCCATGATTAAAAAACTGAGAGAAGTCATAAAGGAAAACAATGATAAGGGAAAAATAATTAATGACCAGAAGAATGAAATTGAGTCCCTAAAGAGGGAAGTAAAAGAAATGCAGGAGATCAAAGAATTAATGGAGGCGCTAAAGAACTCTGGGAAAAGCAATGAAAGCAGAATAGATGAAATGGAAGAACGAATAAGTACTCTTGAAGACACAGAAATAAAAAGAACTAAAACAGAAAAGGAAGGAGAAGTACAAAGGAAAAAGACGGAAGAAAGACTTCGGGAACTATCTGACTCCATGAGGAAAGGAAATATAAGAGTTATAGGAATCCCAGAAGGAGAGGAGAGAGATGTAGGAAGAGAGAAAATATTCAAGGATATAATTGAAGAGAACTTCCCAAACGCAAAGAAGGAGCTGAAAATTGATATACAAGAAGCAAGAAGAACACCAAACTTCCATGACGAAAGGAAAAATACAGCAAGACACATA